ACCAACTGAAAGCAGCTAACTCAGCACAGACCAGGAATTGAATGAAGCACATTCCTGAGCTATGTGTACTTCTGTACCTCACAAAGTGATGCTTTTTATCCACCAGAGAAGACACAAGTAGTTGAGTGCCTAAAGTAATGTTTTCCATTTCTAAGAGCTGATGGGTGGCATCAGCTAGGAAGGGACTCTTCACCAGGTTTGAAGCTCTCTTCCATTCCCCCCTTCCTCTATCCCTGTGGCTGCCTGTGTCGGGCTACGGGCTCATGGGAGCTGCTAAAACCAGTGAAATTCAGCTACAAGGAAGAGTTACATGGAGCAGGGCTAGGTATGAACTGCAATGCATGCATGACATAAACAAATAGTGGTTTGCGAAGCTGCACAGAGGCCAATAAGTGGAGGTAATTTTCTCCCAAGTTTTAACTTATCTCTGACCATGGATCAACTCTGCTGGGAAGTTTCTCTGCTACAGTGCTTACCCTGCAACATTATTCTGCAACGCTCTTATTACATTAAAATAAAATTGTTGCAGTTGCAGGTTCACTGTTGCCTGAGGAAAGCAATAACCGTAAAATATCAATGCAGTTTCTGACTGTTTCACTATAGCAATCTTGCCAATTCCATTGACTGATAGTTCTGCTTTTAAATGTTCAGTGAATTTGTTTGGTCAGATGATTGTTTTAAAATGTCATGTTAACACAGTGAAGTGAGCCACAAGTAGCACTATAATATTGTTTTCAAACAATCTTCCTGTAAATGATCACAAATGAAACTTGAAACCAAGGTCACCTGTTCTCCTACCTGTTCTCAAGTGGACATTAAAGATCCTATGACACTGTTGGAAAAGAGAAAATATTATTTCTCCTAGTGTTTTGGCCAACAATCCTCTAGATAAAATAATAGGTCATTCACTTCATCGGACACTGTGGAATATTGCTGTGTGCATAATGTACACAGTACCACATTTTTCTATATAAAACAGTCACTACAATCAATAGTGACTATAAAGCACTTTGAGATGTTTTAATGTGACAAGGCTTTATAAAAGTTATTTTTGTCTTTCAAGTCCTCATAAAATGTATAAATCCAAAATCCCTTCTCCTATTGTTTTAGTTGTTTCTACAAATACTGATTTATAAGCTATTTCAGAGCTATTGGTGCCAATGCACCTTAGCCTGATTCACAACCTTCACAAGAGAAGCATCCATCAATTGAAACCTGCAGAAAGTATTTCTAAATTCGGCTGAGGGACAGCTAGGTGTCAGCCTGGCTCATTTGATAATGCTCTCATCTCACATTGGGACTGACTGTCCTTTAGACAGATGTCAAAGCAAATACCGATTTCCCTGTTCAGGTAGATGTTAACGATAATATGGCACAATTCAAAAGAGAAGGGATTTTTTCTTGGTGTACTGGCCAGCAATCCCCACCCCCAATAAAATTGGTCATTCACTTCATAGCTGTCTACGAGACATTGCTGTGCGCAAAATGGCTGGTGCGTTCACCTACAAAATACACACTTTTGTTGTGATGCTTGTGAAGCGTGTTGAGAGATCCTCCTAATATGGCAGGCACTGTATCAAATAATAATAAATAATAATCCTTGCATTTAATATAGCACTTTTCACGTCTTCTAGACGTCTCAAAGCGCTTCACAGAATATACTGTAAAGTGAATTGACTGTATATTTGTGGGTGAAATGCGGCAGCCAATTGCATACAGCAGTGTCCCACAAAGAGTCGTGGATTGAGTGACCAAATCATTATTGTTTATTTTTCTTGAAGGATTATTATCAGGCGAGTGGAGTAAGGAAACTTGCCCAAGATTTCGCCCTGCCAGGAATCAAACCCAGGTCTCTCGCTTGCGAGGCGAGTGCTCTAACCACTGAGCTACAGGACTCCAAATTAAATGTTTGGTTATTATTTTTCATGATTTTCCTGACCCTGCTGGAATGAAGGTGCAGGAACACCTAGCACAGGCAGGATTGAGAATGTATATAATCCACCCCTTCCCCCTCTCCACTTAACCAACTACTAGCATTCACTAAGTGGCTCATGAAGAATGACCGATTTGGCAAAGTATACAGGAGAGTTTCCAGAATACATAGAACCAGATCCCACCATGAGTCAGAATCCTCGGGAAGATGTTAGGGTTAATTAAAATCAGGGCTGTACTTTTTCATTTAGTTGCATTAAGCAAGTTTAATTTGGCACTTTGACATGATATAAAAAACAGCATAGTATATTGTGAGACATATTGTTTACACATACAGCTGGACTTTCTTTCCATTTCCTGGAATGCAAATGAAGCAACAAGGGCAGGCAACAAGATTCCTTTTTGTAAGTGTAAGAATACTGGGCACAGGCAAATGCCAACAATTATCCAACAGTTCTGCTACATGGCCAATTTCTGGGCAATCAACCACAGAGGACTACAAAAGAACTAGCTTGATTGTGTCCCATATAACTTGAGGTGGATGCAAAGAGGCAGCAGGTCAAAAACAATTACAAGAGATATAAAGCAACTCGATGGTTGAGCCAGCTGAATCCGAGGCTTCAAATTTTTGATTTTAAGGTCATTAGCTTAAAATTTAAGATTAAGCAGAATTTTGGAAAATTTGGAGAAAAGGACCCCAGGAGATTGCAGAGATAGGGTAATGAAGACCACAGAGGCATTTGGAGATGAGAATGAGAATCATGGTTGTTTTGCTGAGAGATAGAAGAGGGCACCAGTGGAGCTGGGTAAGGAAGGGCTTCATGGGCTTGCAGAGCCTGGTGCGGGAGAGATACAGGCTGCAGAGTTCTGCAAGGTCTGTTGAGTTTGTGCGGTATGGAGCTGGCAAGGTTAGAGAATAGGGATTTAGAAAAATTAAATGTAGAGGTAATAAAAGGCATAGATCAGTTTCAGCTGGGTTGAAGGTGAGGTAGTGGCAGACGTGGGCAATAAAGCAGACACGGAAGAAAGCAGATATGTTCAGAGTCTGGATGAAAGATTAAAGGAAAGTTGAGTCAAACAAAATGCAGAGGTTCTGCATAGTCTCCAAGAGCACAAGAGGTGTATATGGCCAGCATCTGAGGCTGGCAGGAGCCAACCAAAGACCTCAATTTTATCTACATTGTCATAACAGTAGTGCTTGTGAAGTCAAGTGTGGAGACAGAAAGGTAGAGTTGGGTGTCATCCACCTACATAAGGAAGTTGACCCCTTGCCTGTGGATGATTGTCAATAAGGGAAAATTAGACAGACAAGGAAGTTGGACCAAGGATAGAGACCTAATGAACTTCACACTTGACTCATTTAGTACTTTGGAGAGGTTGAGGGGAGCAAAGAAGTCAGCAGAGATGGGACAGGTAGGGCCGAAGTGTGGGTTAAAGTTTTGCGTTACGAGGAGGTGCTCGGTGCAATGGGTCAGGGAGGATAGGAGAGACTCGCTTAAGAAAGTTTGAGAATGTCATTGGAAGGTAATCTGTTGGGAATTGTGGAAGGATTGCGATCAAATTGGCCAAAGGGCCTTCTCCATGTGAATCTCTCGTGTCTCTTTTAACAACTTTGGAGTCAGTGGGTAAACTTTCTGAATTGCATGTGTATTGATTTTTGGTGCCATCTACTGTATAGATTCGGGTACTACATGGAAAGTGCAGCAAAAATACTGTAATACCAAAAAGCCTCCATTCTATAAACAGAAGTTATACGCTGTATGATGTTGCACATGTTCTGGAACACAGTATTACAACTGGTGTAAATGGCCTGGGTTAGGGAAGAAGGAAGAAACAGATCAAAAAGAACATCAAAAAATTATTTATGATGTTGTTGGGGTACAGTGAATTCTAATTCACTTATGTTGCAAAGTCTCCATTACTGATAGTACTTTCATTCGATATACAGTATTATGTCAATATGGCTCATTTGGTAGGATTCTCACCTCTGAGTCAGAAAGTTGTAGGTTTAAAAACTCACATCAGGACTTTTAATGCACATAGTCAAGGCTGACATTCAATTGCAGTGCTCAAGAGTGCTGCATTTTTGGAACTATCATCTTCCCCAGTCAGCTCTGTGAGGCACTTTGAAATTTGCAGGGAGTTCTTTGTACATGCTGTCCACCTAGTGAGGGATCAAACCTCATATCAACAAACCTCAAACGTTTGTCAATATTAAATGACCAACTAGTAACTATCTTATGTGGGATGGAACCGGGGTTTCCTTTGAGCTAAACAGAACACATGTTTGGCAAGAGTGTCAGAATCAAGCCAGCTAGCTCTCTGTGGTGGTCTTGGTAGCCCAGTTCCTGAGCCAGGTGAGTCTGCAGTACTTCAGGGTACTGCTGACTACAGCACAGCCAGCCTGGCTCATCGGCGGGACTTGGAAGGGCAGATCAGTCACAAGGAGCAAGAACTCTTCCCGCTCATCTCCCTGCAAGCCAAAGCCCTAACGGGTAGAGTTGTCCTCGCTGGACAAGCAGCAGGAAAGCTTGCCAGACAGCCTTACCAATGGCAACCTATGTGATTTTAGCTGGTCAGACTCCAGCAGTTACCCCCAACACATACTGAGATCCCCAAGCCTTGGCTCTTTCCAACCTTCACCTCGTACTTTTCGCAGTTGGGTGCGCAGGGTACACCCCTCGGGGGACAGTGCGCGCAATTCCATTCCAATAAATTTCCCTGGGATTTCCCCGCGCAGGTGGCCCTGCACGGAAACCTGGTTTGGATACCCCTAAGCACGGTGATGGGTTCCGCGTGAGTCAGACACCCGGCTGCCGAGCCAAACGAAGACTGCTGAAAGATTTGAAAATAAATGTGTTTTTTAGGCAAAATCATGTGCTGTGTGATGGTGGGGGGGAGGGGGGGCCGTGCCCAGTCATCTGTTGCCAGCAGTGCAGGGGGAGGGGAGGGGGGAGGGGGGGCTCCTGACTTCAAAGGCGCTGTGCAGATATGAGATTAGTGTTGGTGTTGATCGGCTGTGAGTGACAGACAGACACAGAGGGACGGGGCTGTGGAGCTGTGTCTCTCTCTCTCTCTCTCTCTGTGTGTGTGTGTGTGCGCTGTGGGGCCGGGAGTGTGGCGCAGGCGCAGTGTGGACCTGAGTCAGTCCCAGGGAGAGGCGGAGAGGCGGCGGCGCCCGTCCAGAGGCCCAGTCCGGGAGGTGAGCCACAGAGAGCGGCCAACAACCCCCCCCCACCCCCCCCCGACACCTCCTCCCCCCAACCCCCACCCACCCCGACACCACCCCCCCAACCCCCCCCACCCCGACACCCCCCCCCCACCCCGACACCCCCCCCCCCGACACCACCCCCCACCCGACACCCACCCCCCGACACCACCCCCCACCCCGACAGCCCCCCCCCCACCCACCCCCGACACCCCACCCACACCACCACCCCCCCCGACACCACCCCCGACACCACCCCCACCCCGACACCTCCTCCACCCCGACACCTCCTCCACCCCGACACCTCCCCCCCAGACCTCTCCCCCCCCACCCCCCCCCCCCAGGCCTCCCCCCCCCCCCCAGGCCTCCCCCCCCCCCCAGGCCTCTCCCCCCCCCCCCAGACCTCTCCCCCCCCCCCCCCCCCCAGGCCCCTCCCCCCCCCCCCCCCCCAGGCCTCTCCCCCCCCCCCCCCCAGACCTCTCCCCCCCCCCCACCCCCCACCCCCCGCCCCCCCCCCCCCCCAGGCCCTCCCCCCCCCCCCCCCCCCCCCCCCCAGGCCTCTCCCCCCCCCCCCCAGGCCTCTCCCCCCCCCCCGCCCCCCCCCCCCCAGGCCTCTCCCCCCCCCCCCCAGGCCTCCCCCCCCCCCCCCCCAGGCCCTCCCCCCCCCCCCCCCAGGCCTCTCCCCCCCCCCCCCCCCAGACCTCTCCCCCCCCACCCCCCCCCAGGCCTCCCCCCCCCCCCCCCAGGCCTCTCCCCCCCCCCCCAGGCCTCTCCCCCCCCCCCCTCCCCAGGCCTCTCCCCCCCCCCCCCCAGGCCTCTCCCCCCCCCCCCCCAGGCCCACTCCCTCTCCCCCCCCCCGGCCCCCCCCCCCCCCAGGCCTCTCCCCCCCCCCCCCCCAGCCTCTCCCCCCCCCCCCCCCCAGGCCTCCCCCCCCCCCCAGCCTCTCCCCCCCCCCCCCCCAGCCTCTCCCCCCCCCCCCCCCAGGCCCCTCCCCCCCCCCCCAGGCCGCTCTCCCCCCCCCCCCAGGCCTCCCCCCCCCCCCCCCCAGGCCTCCCCCCCCCCCCCCCAGGCCTCTCCCCCCCCCCCCCAGGCCTCTCCCCCCCCCCCCAGGCCTCTCCCCCCCCCCCCAGGCCTCTCCCCCCCCCCCCAGGCCTCTCCCCCCCCCCCCCCCAGGCCCTCCCCCCCCCCCCAGGCCTCCCCCCCCCCCCCCCCAGGCCTCTCCCCCCCCCCCCCCCCCAGGCCTCTCCCCCCCCCCCCCCAGGCCGCTCCCCCCCCCCCCCCCCCAGGCCTCTCCCCCCCCCCCCCCCAGGCCTCCCCCCCCCCAGGCCTCTCCTCTCCCCCCCCCCCCAGGCCTCTCCCCCCCCCCCCCCAGGCCTCTCCCCCCCCCTCCCCCAGGCCTCTCCCCCCCCCCCCCCAGGCCTCCCCTCCCCCCCCCCCCCCCAGGCCGCTCCCCCCCCCCCCCAGGCCTCTCCCCCCCCCCCCAGGCCTCTCCCCCCCCCCCCAGGCCTCCCCCCCCCCCCCAGGCCCTCCCCCCCCCCAGGCCTCTCCCCCCCCCCCCAGGCCTCTCCCCCCCCCCCCCCAGGCCCTCTCCCCCCCCCCCCAGGCCTCTCCCCCCCCCCCCAGGCCACTCCCCCCCCCCCCCCAGGCCTCTCCCCCACCCCCCCCCCCAGGCCTCTCCCCCCCCCCCCCCCCCCACAGGCCTCTCCCCCCCCCCCCCAGGCCTCTCCCCCCCCCCCCCAGGCCTCTCCTCTCCCCCCCCCCAGGCCTCTCCCCCCCCCAGGCCTTCCCCCCCCCCCCCCCCCCCCCCCCCCAGGCCTCTCTACAGCAGAGTGAGGTGCATTCTGGACTGAACTCGGATGAACCTGAGAATCAATCTGTTAGTTCCAAAAGAGGATTGTGAGTGAATTTTTTTATGATTCTCTTATTTAGATTTCGATGACTGTCACAGATTCCAGTCTATCGAGCATGACGCAGAGTGACTGTGTTCCTTCTGATGCCATAGGGAGAAGGATCGTCTGCAGGGAAGAATACGGGACTGTGCGATTTGTTGGAAAAGTACCGCCAACGGAAGGTACAGTTCAGCAACAACTTTAAAGTCCTTTCCAACAACTTTAAAGTCTGATATTTATAATAATAATAATAATCCTTGCATTTGATATAGCGCTTTTCACGTCGGGAGGACCTCCCAAAGCGCTTCACAGAACACATTGTAAAGTGAATTGACTGTATATTTGTGGGCGAACGCGGCAGCCAATTGCGCACAGCAATGTCCCACAAACAGTCGTAGATTGAAAATGACCAATTTATTTTTGTTTTGTTTTGGAGGGATTATTATTAGGCTCTGTGTGGAGTAAGGAAACTTGCCCAAGGTTTCGCCCTCTTTCTGGAATTGAACTCTGGTCTCTCACTTGTAAGCGAGTGCTCTAACCACTGAGCTACAGGACTCCACAACAGTTTATAAGTTGAATCGTTTTAATGCTAGTATTCTTGCAATGAGTTGGCGAAGACATTTATGGTCATTCAACATCAGACTATTGATGATGTTGAGGAGAGGATGTTTTATTGGCTTCTGTTTAGCAGCATTGGTTATTTCAGTATTGGTTGCTTAAAAGAGGCCCATGGAGAATTAGTGCAGTTTGATGGAGTGACGGAAGGCACTCTGAAGGGAAAGCTGTATCTGCGCCAAACGGTTGGATGCCGTTAGTTGGTTATGGAGTTAGTTATGCGCAGGCAGAGCTTTCCCAGCTTGTCGGGCAAGAGATGAACGTAAGAGCCACTGACTGTGCATGGTGTGCAGGCACAGTGCTCAGGACGTGATGCCTGTGGTGACTTTAACAACCCAGAAAAATCAATTTTATTGTTGAAAAGATCATTAAAAATTTGAAAAAAACATACAAATTTACATTTATGTAGTGCCTTTCATGTCGGGAGGAGGTCCTACAGTGCTGGAGGGGTAGCAGAGTTGGTGGTTGGAGTCAGGAGGGGTTGGTGGGGACGGGAAAGATAACAAAAAAGAGCGAGAGATGCCCAAAAGTCAGAGGTAACCCTTGAGACCTGCCTTGAAAGAGGGCAGGGAGTAAGTCAAGGTAAAATTAAGCAAGGATGTTCTCTTTTAAAAAAATTTAAAACTGGCAACCTCCAATAACAGTTGATTAAAATTTACTGCTTCTATTCAAGGAATCTGGCTTGGAGTGGAATGGGACAATCCTGAAAGAGGAAAGCATGATGGAACTCACGAAGGCAATCACTACTTCAAGTGCAGGTAATTACCTTTACTCTCTGCCTCTTCCTTGGGACTTCCTTTCACTTTTGTTCACAAGAATTGTTTGAAATATGTATTGCTTTTTTTTTGTTTTCTCAAATGCTGTCTCCTGACATGAGGGTGTAGGAGTGACTTGCTCTCAGACCTCAGTCAATGCTGCTTTGTAACCAGACATTTGGAAATGCTGCCTGTTGTTCTTTCCTTCAGGAAAAAGGCTTGGTCATTGCTCAGAATATACTCCCCCCTCCCACACATACACTTTACGTAGTAAAAGTTTCAGTTCAAATTGGCCGTTGGTCCATCTAATTTCTCAAAGATTCCTTCAAAGACATAATTTCTAAATCTAATAATCCAAATCTTTTTAGGTGACGAAAACGTGTCCACTTCATTTTTGAAATAGCCCAACTTGAAAACTATCCAGGTGGGAGATTGCAGGGAAAACCTACATCCAATGATTGCACGGCACAATGCATTTCTGCCACATTTGGAGTCTTGTAGCTCAGTCGTGGAGTCCTACAGCTCAGTGGTTAGAGCACTCACCTCGCAAGCAAGAGGCCTGGGTTCTATTCCCGTTAGGGCGAAATGTTGGGCAAGTTTCCTTACTCCACACGCATCTGTTTACCTAGCAGTAAGTAGGAACCCAGTTGTTAGTCAATTGGCGGATCGCTTTTCCAAGGATAATAATCCTTCAAAAAAAATAAATAATAATAATTGCTGTGCGCAATTGGCTGCCGCATTCGCCCACAAATATACAGTCAATTCACTTTACAGTGTGTTCTGTGAAGCGCTTTGGGACGTCCTCCCGACGTGAAAAGCGCTATATCAAATGCAAGGATTATTATTATTATTATCACTCAATCCACACTGTTTGTGGAATGCTGCTGTGTGCAATTGGTTGCCGCATTTCACCAACAAATATACGGTCAATTCATTTTACAGTATATTCTGTGAAGCGCTTTGAGACGTCTAGAAGACATGAAAAACGCTATATCAAATGCAAGGATTATTATTTATCCTGCAAAATTGCTTCTAGTAGTAAAATGATTTGAAGTGGGGAAAGTGCATTTATATTTGCAGTTCTGAAATCTCAATCCTGGGGGCTACATATGGTACATGTGGATACCTATTTGATTCACATTACCTACATTTATACTTTATATCGATTTCCTGATGAAATTGTCTTCTCGGTGCAGGCTTAGACTGGGAGCTGAAGTCTCGACATGAGGGTTGAACCCACAACTTTGCCTTCTGACACAGAGCTGAGAGTCTTATGAGCTGTACCATACTGCTCCCTAGAACTGGGGGCAGGTCACCAGCTACTCTCTCACCTACAGAATGGTTTGTGTTAGTTACAGCCCTAAAAAGGAAAAAAAAGTAACATGGAGAAGGAGGAAACCAATGTTCTTCGGTGGGTTCTCACACAGAGATACAATTCAAGATCTTGGTCCTCACCTTCAAAGCACTCCACGGCCTTGGTCCCCCCCTACTTCTCCTCACCCCCTAAGAATCTGCCCGCCCTGGGGGCTCCGGCTTGCTCCACATCCCCCGCCTTGCCCGCTCCTTCAGCCATTCTGTCCCCACCCTCTGGAACTCCATTCCGCAGTCCCTCCGCCTCGACCCCTCCCTTCAAGACCCATCTCAAGACCCTCCTCTTCAACCATGCCTTCGATCGTCCTCCACCCTCCCCAATCCTGACCACCAGCTTGGGCTTGAAACACTGATTGTCCAGCGCCTTGGGACGTCCTGACGTGAAAGGTGCTGTACAGATGTAATTTTGTTGTTGTTGTTGTTCTGTCCAGTTCACAGCTTTTTCACAAATCTGATTCGCTGCAACATTGATGAGCCATTCATCCATCCCTCACTGGTCGTGTGTTCTTTTAGTTTAAAGGAAGTGTGGGAGTTCTCATACTCTGTATTTTTTGGTGTAGTCTGCTTCCCTCAGGAGCTGTCTTACAATACTGTATCATCATTATATAATAATACATAATAATATATAAGAGCTCCGAGACACTGTTTGGTGTCAAGGGCGCTATATAAATGCAAATTATTGTTATAATATCATCATTGGAGGCATTGCTGAATAAAGTCTAATCAGTACCTTACTCTGTCAGCCATCCCACAGGTGGGTCGTTTATTCGCCCTCAGAAGGCTAGTTTTGGAGTTGATTTCCTTTTTGCACTGAGAGATCGCTACGGACTGGAAGGGAATGAGGGAATAAAGGACATGCGGGGAAATCCACTTCACTGGGGGAAAAAGCCTGTTGAATTTTTGGGACCTAAAAGTTTAACAGTCAAACAAAGGTAATGGCCATTCACGGTCGCCTTAGTTTCTCTATTGCGTAAAATGACTGCATGGTACCCTTTATGTTTTCCTGCCAATTCTTTCCTCCAACTTTCTCTCCTGCCCTTACATTATAGTAAGCTCTTATATTAATGTTCCACAACATAAAGTGTGAGCAGGAAAATATTGAAGCCAAGTTCCAAAAGCAGAGAGAGCACTATGTCTTAGGACGCTACATTGAGGCTGGGTGGTATTTTATCATTTCCTATTAATGTAAACATCTATTTGTGTCTCTTTGGTTCCACATTCATGATACATTTATATCTGCCAATCAGATCAAACAAATTCTGAAAGTTATATGCCACTGTTCACATTTCCACGACTTACAGGTAATGGCAGCCGTTGATTACCATATGTGTAAAGAACTACTTCCTGGTGTCTTTACTACATTTATCTTGACCCTGTGGCCTCTAATCCTGTGACCTTGGTACATCTGAAAGTATTGTTCTAAGTTTATTTTCTCTATTTCATTACATATTTTATATACTGACCCTTTATAATGTCCCCACAAAGATGTCTAATTTTGAAGCTGAAGAGCTTGGTCTTATCTCATCATTCTCCATTGCTCATTTTTCTAGCACTGGTATAAGCGTCAAGCGCTCTGGGACGCTACCCCGCCTGAAGGGCACTATATAAGTTGTTGTCGTAGTATAAGTGTTGTTCTCTCTGCATTACCCTTGTAGTAGCTGTGACTATTACCGTAGGTGGAATCTGACCACAGTGCTATAAAATGTGACCAATAACTTCTGAGAATTTAAACTCAACTGATTTTGCAATGTAGCCCAGCAACCTGTTTACTGCATTCTCAATGTTTTGATATGGTGAGCAATGAGCCAGCTTATAACTTTAGTCTTTTTCAGTTTTCCCCGTGGGAAATTCCATCCCACCCATGGATAGTGTGCCTTTTAGTTTTACTTCACATAAAAATATATCTACATTATAGGACCTTGAAATTATCTGTATTGAACTTCACTTGTGAGTGATCAGCCTAGGTGCATGCCCTGTCAGTTTCCCTTTGGTAAATATTGTCTGCGTCCTATTGAGTCCCCAGCCTTCCTTCACCAAAACAATATTTTACAAAGGGAGACTATTACAAAGGGTGTTCTTTGCAGTTCAAGTCATTTATGTATTCTATAAACAGGAGGCCTTCCAGCATGGCTTCTGAGGCAGCTCACTAAATGCCTTTCCCAATTTTGCCCTAATTTCCTGAGCAACTCCTCTATTTCTATACCTCTAACCAGTCACTAATCCATGTCCATGGTTAATCCTTGATACCCAGTGACATACATTTGTAATGGAGTCTGATTTATGGTTTCATTCATTCTCCATCTATTGAGATAAGGCTATGGGTCTATTGCCTGTTATGGGCTTTATCCCCTTTCTTGAATGCAGAATTCCAGTGTCTTGGGGCGACCTCCCAATGTGAAAGACGCTGGAAAATGTAGATTTACTGTTGAAACCATATTATAATAATAATAATAATCCTTGCATTTGATATAGCGCTTTTCACATAGGGAGGACGTCCCAAAGCGCTTCACAGAATATACTGTAAAGTGAATTGACTGTATATTTGTGGATGAACGCGGCAGCCAATTGCGCACAGCAATGTCCTACAAACAGTCATGGATTGAAAATGACCAATTTATTATTGTTTTGGTTTTTTGGAGGGATTATTATTAGGCTCTGTGTGGAGTAAGGAAACTTGCCCAAGGTTTCGCCCTCTGCCTGGAATTGAACTCGGGTCTCTCGCTTGCAAAGCGAGTGCTCTAACCACTGAGCTACAGAACTCCACAAATTTGCCCTTTTCCAGGCTATTACAACCTTCCCAAAGTTCATTGACTTCCTCAAACCATTATTGATTCACAAATATCTTTCCTTTGCCTTTGAAGTACCTTACTTCATCTATCCCAAGGGATTCATGGTTTTCAGCTCATTTAGCCTATTTAAAACAATAAAATTTAAAGCTATTTAAATGTCAAAGTTTCAGAGCTCATATAATGTGTGTTGGAATTTTGGATACCATATTGTTAGTCCCTCCCTGGGGAAAAAACTCCCGAGAGCAGGCATTTAATAAATCTCCTGTTTATCCTCATTTCTACTCCCTTTGTGACTCCTGGAATTCCAACTTCTTCCTTGAATAACCTTGCTGTTCTAGTATTTGAATAATGATTTTGTGATTTTTTGAAAAAATTGATAAAAGATCCACTATAGAAAATGTAGATTACAGGCCGACCTGTCATAAACTGGTAGTTAGACCCCGTCTTATAATGGGACGTGTTATTAAAATGGCCGCTCAGTCAACTTGTTGGGCCGTCAAGTTGCCAACTGACATCACTTGTGTGCACTGAGTGCAGGAAGCAAGCAACCACTCTTGTGCGTTTTCCAGCGCTTACTAGTACACCGTTAGATGCCAAGAGACCTTTTGTGCATGTATGCTTTGCACAGGAAGGCAATCAGTCATTTATAGAAGCTGGACAGTATATACTGTTGGTCCACAGTACACCCACACTATAAGTGGACCTACGCTACACAAAGAAAATTATAATGGGGTTGGTCTAAGTTATACACCGTCTAGCGACAGTCCTTGAATAAGAACAATTTTTTCAGTACTGCTTTTGAGCAGATAAATATTCCAACAATGAATACAAATTGATTTGATTGTGCACTTGTCATGTCAGCCTAAGCCTAAGCCTTTCCCCATTTCTTTTTGTCTACAGGCGGTTTGACACATTGAGAAACATTTCATTGCGAGCGTGCCAAGTGTTCCATGCTGGTGAAGAGGAAGAAATATGCAATATCTGCCCCAGTATCCTTGCAATCTTAATTTATTTGCCATTATTTTCGGGTCTAATGTACACATTGAAAATAGCAATATTTTTCACTTAATGTTTGTATGGGCTGACCCCGTTATTGCACAGGGGTTTAGGTCTATAAACACATTATAACAGGAATGCTAAAAAATGGTCACTAGTCAGTACCACACAACCATCAGCTGCCACTGACCTTACTTGCTGGGCACTGTACACAAGAAGAGCAGCTGATGTTACTGCACAAAGTGATGTAAGCAGCAATCCCTGTGAAGGAAGTGATTTCAGAGCTATATGTGGACAGCATGATTATTAGATAGTGACTAGGGAAGCTAAAATGGAATTTAGGAGGAACTACATCATGCAAAGGGAATTGAGATTGTTGAAATTGCTGTTTGAAGCAAGCAGTGGTTGAAACAGATACTATAGAAGCTTTTAAAATAATGGGCATAGTTTTAAAATTATAACCAGGCCATTTAAGAGTGAAATCAGGAAGTATTTTTTCACTCAAAAGGGTGGTAGAAATCTGTAATTTTCACCCTCAAAAGGCCATGGATGCTGGATTCATCCACACCTTCCAGAGTGAGGTTGATAGATTTTTGGTAGGTCAGGGTATCAAGGGATATGGAGAGAAAGCGGGAAATTGGAATTGAAAGGATTAGTTGAGGTACAGATCAGCCATGATCGAATTAAATGGCGGAACAAGCTGTTCCTATGTTTCTGTTCCTATGTTTTAAGAGGAAGCTAGCTACACATGAGAGAGAGAGAGAGAGAGAGAAGGGTAGGGGAAGGAGTATGGAGTGTGTGGAGACTCATACGGAGTATAAATGCTGACATTGACTGGTTGGGACAAATTGCCTGTTTCATGCTGTAATTTCTATGCATGTAGAAAACCAATTGGTCAGCCTGGAAGTTTACTGTACTTCCTGTATATTGTGGGTCCATATTACAACTACATTTTGTTAGTTACACATGTTTTTAAATGATTCATTATCATGAGCTTGTTATGACCCTTATTCTATTCATTGGGGAAGGCAAAAACATAGTAGTCTCGTTATCACTTAGCAAAAGTACAATGCTAATGTATCCATTTGTATGAAAGGAGTGTGATGCTACAATGGGAAAGATGCAATGTTAATTTTCTTCCTTGGGTCATATAAATGGTGGCCTTTTCAACCACGTACCTTTACTACAGCTCTCAGATATCACACAACTAGATTTGTCCAAGAATCTGTTTGTTTCCTGGGATAAAGTAGCACAAATTAGTCGTCACCTAGAAAGACTTGAAGACCTTGATCTCAGGTGGGGACTTTGTTTATCACTGCAATTCTAATGTTGCCAGAATGAATAGTGTTTAAAAAAACAGTAAAGTTTTTTTTATTCACATAATGAAACGCTGGGTATTTTTCAGGACGGGGTAGGTCATTTTTACTATCAAAATATGGGAGAAAATTACAGAGGGAGATTAATTTAACAGAAAAAAGCGTATAACCCATAACTGGCTTGCTTGCAATGCCGGTTCAGGTAATGCTTGCATTTATGTTGCTAGAACTGTCTTTTCACAACATTTTTGCAAAGTGCATTGACGCCAAGCCAGTTTCAGAATATATGTATTGCCAGAAACAGAATTCATGAGAATTGCTGAAGCAGCCAGTATAGGAACAATCACGGACACCGGAAAATATCAGCAAATTTGTTTTTTTAAAAATTAAAATTGGATGATTTCTTTAACTGATTGATTTTTACTAGATAAAACAAGGTATTTATTTATTAATAAAATTTGTTTAAAGAAAGACTCATCTGTTTTAGTTTACAAACAGAAAAGGAATACTCCCTTTTAAATTTGAATAAAAATTGTAACAGAATATTAAAGAGTGATAATTTAAATAAGAATAGGATGGTTTGTGAATATTTATCAAATAACTACTCCCTCTGTGCAATGTCATTTATTGCCACTAGATGTTGTAATGGTTAAGCGCAAACTGAGTATGTAGTGCACAGCAGAACAACACCTTGCATGCATTTAGCGCACTTCACATAGAGTAACATCTCAAGAGTGCTTAACAAAGAATCTCAGAACCTTGAACAGTATTGGGATTAATTGTTGGATTGCAAATCATCAGATTAGTTGTGTCTTTCAAGTACGGTCCTTGTAGCTTCTTGCTCCCCATGAGTAAAAACACCACCACACTAAGTCATGCAGACGACAAAGTTGCAAGTTTTCCTTCTATTTTGATTATTATTAGTACTGATCCACAGCTAGCTTGTACTAATAATGCTAACTGTACTTGTACCATCATTGTGGTATAAAGATGTTCTGAATCTTGTGGCATGACACACCGACCAGTCTCTTTGCTCTGCAGAAGATTTTTCTCATACAGAAGCCTTGCAGTTGCCTTGCTCATGATCACGAATCCCCTGGGTTTCTGGCAAGCCGTCGAGGCAGCTGTTTTGCTATGATACAGTGGATCTCCTCTCCTTACCTAAATCTTTTTCCATGGAAAAGAGGAAGGACGAAATGGAGAACGAGCAGAAGACTGGTTTGCAGTCGCATTGCAGGAAGGAAACTTCTCGAGCCTTAGCAGGCAGCCGGGAAAACACAATGCTCCTTTGCATAACTCAGTTGAGAGGGATAATTCTTGGTTACCCCAGAGAGAAGACTGCAGCAGCAGCATGTTCTCACGACGACCAAAATCATCACCAAGACCTGGTAGATTCTGTCGACCTTTATTTGTTTTTCCACCTCCCCATAGGAAATCTGGAGAGGTTTGTTCCGGGTAGTTATAATGGTACCAAAGAAAGGTTTGTTTGTTCACATTGAACTTTCCCTGTCTTGTATTAAATCTGAAATAATATATGTACAATTGCAAGAAATGCATCCTTTGTTTTTGGTTAAGAGGCAAATGACTGTGAATGTGGTGAGAATAATGTGACTTTAATGTTGCGTCTTCACTATCACTAGTCTACATTACTAGGATTTTGGTAGGAGTTGCTGCTGAATATTTGTTTATCTTATGCCAGAGATACACGGGATTCTTATCAGAATTCCTGAGCAATGACCAGTGGCAATAGAAAATTGCGGAAATATTTGCCAAAAATTGTGGGGAAATTTGCCAACTATTCCAGGGGTTGATTGGTGCCATTGAGAGGTACATTTTATTGCCAACCTACATTTTTTCACTTTATTCATAAAAATTAAACATGAAGAAGCTTTGAGGGGGTGTGCCCCGTCCACAGTAGCAGCACAGCCCCGCCCACAGTAGCGTTGGGTAAACAGCCGGCTGCATCCGGGACCGAGGAAACTTTTTTTTACAGGCCTTTAGCGGAGGGCACTTGTAGTGGATTCCGCGGAAAATTTTTGGCGGCACTTTTCTATTGGTCAAGATAGTGATCATGGTAGTTCATGCATGGTTCTTTAAATGTATATTTATACGTAGTTTTCTTTTTTCACCAGTGAAAACATGCTATCTATTTCTGCCAATCCGGTATCTCTTTCACAAGCATTTGCCAACCTACAGACATTAGCCATTCAACATAATGGATTGACGTGGACCCAGGTACTGTTATACAAGTATTGTCTTTCCCTTCATGCAGAGGATACAGTTCAAGATCCTGGCCCTCAGCTTCAAAGCCCTCCATGGCCTTGCTCCCACCCACCTCTGCGACCTCCTAACCCCCTACCAACCTGCCCGCTCCCTTCGCTCAGCGGGCTCTGGCCTGCTTCATGTCCTCCGTCTCGCTTGCCCCACCATTGGTGGGTGGGCCTTCAGCCACTCTACCCCCACCCTCTGAAACTCTATCCCGCAGTCCCTCCGCCTCACTCCCTCGCTTCCTTCAAGACTCATCTCAAGACCCTCCTCTTCAACCGTGCTTTCGATCACCCCCTTCCCACCTTGCCCTCCACCCTCCCAATCCTGAACCCCAGCTCAGGGCCGAAACACTGACTGTCCAGCACCTTGGGACATCCTCCCGACGTGAAAGGCACTTTACAAATATAATTTTGTTGTTTGCTCAAGTGTAATGTACTGATCTGCCCTTTTGCTGCAGGCAATTAATGTGGATCTCTCCACAGGTTCTGCAATGCGCTTCAATGTGGCCAGTCCTTGAAAGAGCATATCTGTCATCCAATGAAATCTCTGTGTTAGAAAGGTAAACCCTGTTCAGTCTCAATCCAAAACTACATCATTTATAGTGACTGAGATTCACACCCTAAATATAACACTGTACAAGCATTTTGACATGGGCCATCGTAAAACAATTTGTGCTGTTTTTTTCCTTGTTAAATTGAAAGAACACAATAATTTTTGTAACACAGCACCATAAATTTAATAATAAAACACAAGCTTCAAAAGCCATATTTATTATAGAATTAAATGGCGTTCGGAAAGTATCTACTTCTTAAAAAAATATTAAATTATTTGAGTTTTTGACATTAAAAATATTGCAAAATAATCTTGCAAACCTTGTTTAAGTTGTATAAGTGTCGTTTGTACTTGTTTGCAGACCTGTGGGTGTTTTACAGTCCTTGGAATTATTGGATCTCAGCTCAAATCCATTGACTGATGAAAATCAACTGGTACATATTGCTTACTTGCCAAGGTGAGAAGTTATTTATTAAGGGAATGACAGACCCTTTATGAAGCCTTCTTCCCCATTTGATATGCTACATATATACAGTATATAGAAATTGCGATCACTGCACGGATATTACTCAAATAATTAGGAAAAGACGAGTAACAATAATATAATGTTATAATATAATGCAGGGCTTCTTTGACATGCTATTTCATGGTAGCTAAAGTTTTTTTCATATAAATCAAAAATGAACTTCACTGATCTCAGTGATCAATGGGCCATCGATATTTAGAGATGAATTGTTCTATTATGTTTGGTCTTTTCGATTTATTCTTCACCTGCATTTTTAAAGATCTCAAATAATCACTGCTTGTATCAGGTAGAGGAACATTTTACTGTACAAGTCTGCTAACTGGCATTGAGCACTGAGGAGCTCTTGTGTTGTTTACAGGTGGTTTTGAAGTCATTTCTCTTGTATTGAAAGCTGTCCTTCTGAATTTTTTGCTCATTATGGGTGCAGAATGGGACTTTGTGCTGGGTTTAGGGTGTAATCTATAAGGATTCCCTCTGCATGAGGTTAGTGCATCCCTATCTAATTCACCCACATGATCTGCAGGCTGGAGTCTTCGAAGGAGCCCTTCAGCAACTAGTCATTTTTAATGTTCTGTTTTATACCCTGTGGGGCATATAACAGAAGTGAGTTTGGAGCTCATCTCTCCACCACCACACACCCACGCTATAGCATTCCCCCTTTTAAATTACTTTCTATGATGCTATCTGAAACAAAAGGCTAAATCGATTTAAATATTATTTTAGTGCAGTGATATTTTATTTCTCAAAATCTTGTTAACCTTCACCTTCTCTGCATGTAGAAAATTGGCATCATCCCTTGAGCATGAGCCACTCCTTTTTTTAAAAGGATTTTTTTCTATTGTCGTTGTACTCCTGTTGCCTCCTATTCCTGAAAATGTTTCAATTCCAGTTTATCACTGATGTTTTATTGGGGTTCCAGGATTTGGTGCAGTATCATCCATCCTCCTAAGTCTGATAATATTGGTTATCTTCATAGAGCCATGGGTATGCCTTTTCAGTCAGAGATTGCTTTTGAACCTTTCTCCAGCAGCCTGGAATACTGTAGCTTAGTAGTTAGAGCACTCGCCTCACAAGTTCAATTCCCAGGCATGGCGAAATGTTAGGCATATTTCCTTACTCAACGCGCCTCTGTTTATTTAGCAGTAAGTAGGAACCCGGTTGTTAGACAATTCACAGATCACTTTTCCAGGGGTAAATAATCCCTTTTTTTAAAAAAATAATAACTTAGTCGCTCAATCCACGACTGTTTGTGGGACACTGCTGTGCGCAATTGCCTGCTGTGTGTCACCCACAAAATATACAGTCAATTCACTTTACAGTATCTTCTATGAAGCACTTTGAGACGTCACGACGACGTGATAAGGTACTATATCAAATGCAAGGATTATTATTTCTACACAGTGTTTCTTTCTCCAGAGAAGTAGCCATAAATCAATGTGTTCAATGTTTTTCATAAAGCACTTGTACCCTCAGTAGCCTGATATCTCTTCCTGAATCCTGTAGGCACACATATTCCTGGTTGATCTTTCAAAGACTAAGGAAGATTATAACTATGGTAGATAATTAATATTAACATTTTCTTTAATATTTGGAATATAAAAACACCCTTCATTGATGATATTCCTTGCGAATAGGGTTTTACGGACTTTTTAAGAGTCCGTAAAATGAGATTAATCTATACATTTTGAATTTTCTGCTGTTTCAGGTTACAGCATCTTCTGTTATCAAACACTGGATTAACCTCAATACATTTTGATGATGTTGGACCAGGTGAATATAAAATTTACATTTTGTTGTGTACATGTAATATAAGATTCTCGCCAGCTGCTCTCGTATAGGTAGTGACTAAAGAGTTACATGAAAAGAGTTCCACAGATGTTGGTAACTATCCAATAGCTACTCCAACACTCCATTCTTCACCTGTTAACCTAGACACATAGCAATTGGGGGAGGTATTCCATTGCTTGGTGGGTGAGGTATGTATCACAGTTCGTTCCAGTTGTGCCATCATCAAATGTCTATTTGTGGGCTTTGTAGTAGAGGCCGCTAGACGGACAATTTGGAATGAGAACTTGTGTCAGAGATTGGGAATTCGCCTTGTAAGCATTGGCTGAGATTGGGAATTTGTGTTTGTTAGGACTGGCTGAGACGGTGATTGGAGCCCCCTTGTCCTATCAACTTGTGGTGCTGCTTATCTGTATACCAGGCACCTTGCATTTACGATATAAACGTAATATTTTGTCGTTCATTACACCTTAACCGTGTTGTGCTTGTTTTTAATGTATTCACTGCTAGTTTAATGTTCTGTATTAGGTGATAAAACATCAATGTTTCCCAAACTGACCTTCCTAGCGATTGATCAGAACAGAATCTCTAAGGTGAGTAGGGCACTTTGAAAATTGTTCTACTTCTAACATTTTAGTTAATTTACGCAAGAGAACAGAAGATTGAGTGAGATTCTATGAAAGTTTTCTGGATCTAAAAGGGTATAGATAAACTGAACTCCAAAAATATGTTTGATTATAGACAAAATGTTCACAGAAAAGGTCGTAGACACAATCAGATAGGCAATAATGTAACCATTAAATATAACTTTATGCAGAGGATGGCCAATATGTGGTGGAGGTGGACAGTGGGGTCTAATTTACGATATTTGTAATAGTTGGGAAGTGCTAATTATAACTTCTGCTGTTCCATCGAATATAATCTATGATATAATTTGTTATCACAATCTAGCACCCCCCTGTCTCTCTTATGTTCTTATACCTTACACCTGTGCCCATCCCTTATGCTCAACTAACACAGGCCTGCTATGTGACCCCACTCTGTCCATGCCACCATCAATGGCCAAGCCTTCAGTCATTATGCTTCCAGCCTCTGGAGCTCCCTGCCCCTATTCCTCTGCTTCACCCCCTCTATCTTCAGATTCAACCTTAAAACCCACCTTTTTGACACAACCTTCCTCCTGACTCCCCTTCCTCCTAACTCAGTAGCCGAGTTGTCATTCTACATGAAGGACTCTACATAAATGGAAGTTTTTTTTTATATTTTTGATATTCACTATGACTGTATCCCAATAGGTATAAACGCATGATTTTCAGTATATACTCAAGCTGACATTATTATTTTGAAAAACACCCATGTAAAATGTTGCACTGAGCTCAAAGCTAGCAACAACAACAACAGGATTGCATTTGTATAGCGCCTTTCACGTCGGGAGAACGTCCCAAGACGCCGGACAGTGTACAGCATTTCAGACCCGAGCTGGGATCAGGGGGGAGAAGGGAGGGGAAGGGGGGTGACCGATGGCATGGCCAAAGAGGAGGGTCTTGAGGCGGGACTTGAAGGAGACTAAGGAGGGGGTGAGGTGGAGTGATTGGGGGATGGACTTCCAGAGGTTGGGGGCAGAGTGGCTGAAGGTTATCCCGCCAATGGTGAGGCAGGTGGGTCGCTGGACTTGGAGCAGGCCGTAGCCGGCTGAGCGGAGGGAGCAGGCGGGTTGGTAGGGGCTTAGGTGATCGCAGAGGTAGGGTGGGGCGAGGCCATGGAGGGCTTTGTAGGTGAGGACCAGGATCTTGAACTGGATCCTCTGAAGGATAGGAAGCCAATGGAGTCAGGCAAGAATGTGGGAGATGGGATCACGGAGTTTGGTGCGCATTCCTGATCAAAGAGAAGTCTCGCTATTTATTGTCAATTAGCTGTGCAGCTGAAATGGTACACACTGCCCATCATTGAAGGGTGATTTAATAATTTGAAACTGTAGCCGGTGAATTATCCTTTTTTTTTCTGTTTAACTCAAGTTTTCATCCATCAATGAATTAGACAAGTTACAAACCTTGGATCAGCTGAAGTTTGGTGACTATGAAATGGTGGAGTCTGAGGAGAGCCCACAGACCGTGAGACAATTCATCATTGCAAAAGTGGGCCAGCTGAAAATGTTAAACAGATCCGAGGTATGTTTCCATTTCTGTGAGATTTATTGGATCAATTAACTTTACATTATAGTGCCTAAAATTCTTCCTCTATTCACATGCGGATGGAATTTGCATTTCATAGTGGATTTCAACCCTTTGAGTATCACAGGCACATTTATATAGAGAAATTTTAAAAGAAAAACAAACCAGGTTTAAATTTTTTGTTTTATTCTAAGGTTACAGATAATTTTTAGGTGGTGGTTTTCTGTACGTCTTGTGCTGAAATTCCATTTTAAAATATTCAACAGCTGCACATTTACAATGAGCTATGATGTTTGGCAGAAAATATACCGACTTTGAAAGCTGCAGAGGACATTAGGGCAATCGCATTGTAAATGGAAGAGGTTTGTGTGGGTGCTTCTCTTGAAATCAGTTACTTGCTTATCCACTGTGGAGTATCAATTGTTTTTCTACATCTAGTTAATGGTATATTCATCAGTTAGATATGGAACCTCCAGTGATCTTGATCTCACATTCACTGCAACTCTACTTGTACTATCATTAAAAAAAAACCCTAACCTGAATGTACTTAAAATAAACCAATATTTCAAACCTTTTCCATTTTCTGTTTTGTTTTTGGAGAGGAACATGGTATTAAACATTTGTACATTAGAAGGGCAGGTTGTTAAACAATATCCAGTCAGTCTGCTAATGGTAGAATGTCGGTGTAGATTTCATCTGACGAGAGAAAGGGAGCAGAACTAGACTACCGCAAGCGATACGGGACGGACTGGTTGAAAGCTGGAGGACATCAAGATCCTGAGAAAAACAAGCCTAATCAGGAATTCCTTGCTGAGCATCCTAGATATCACATACTTATTCAGAGTGAGTACATTATTGGATGATGGATATTTCTTTGGGTTTTTCCTGTCCTTTCCGGGTAGGACGGTGAGTAGAGAACTGGTTCATTAAACTTGCCCTGCAATATTCATTCAGTTCACAACAATTTGTGAACATGACATTCCTTGTCTCCCTAAACAGTTTATCTATTTCACATAGTGGCAGTGCTTATTCGGATATGTTGCTTCATAACACACAAAAAGAATTGAGGGTATTTAGAAGTGAAGTATGATTATGTGTTAATTTACCACCCCCCACCCCCCAAGCTGTTAGGAATACCATTTACTGTTATTGCAGACATGTACTGCATTTGATGTACTAATATTGCAGTTTTTATAACCGTTTATGAGATGTATTTTTTTCTGCATGACAGGGCTAATTCAATCTGACATAACTTCATTGGGGAGGTAACAAAGGAGTTCGGGCATTGCAAGCTGTCAAATATCACACAAGTGTAATTTTTGGCCATGTTTTGGGACCATTTGGTCAGTACATAGCTATGGTGTTAGCTTTTCTGAACCCTGAATGTCCTTTGCAGCTTTTGAAAGTACGCTTTATTGTGTGCCAAAAATCCTGAAAACATTTTTTTCTCATTCATTATCTTCCTCCTGTTAATGTCTAACCGGGATCAAAGGAGAAGCCAGCTGATCCTAATCCACCTCTGTTTGTAGTTTTAGTTTGTAATAAGAATTTGATTTATCTGTTTGGTATAGCCAACACTATGTTTTTTTCTTTCCTGTGCAGAGTATGGAGCTCCTGAAGATGCTGAGTTGAAGCAGAAAAAGTTTTTTGCATTGAAAGACCAGCTATTAGGTGAGATAATAGTCCCTGAATTGAGATTTGAACTGTTTTGATCAACTACAATAGTATATCACTTTCTGTAGAATTACATACAATCTAGAGTACCGAAACAGACCATACAGCCCAACTAGTCCATGTCAATGTTTATTCGCCACGTAATAATCATGTAATAAGACATCTCAAAGCTCTTCACAACATTTTACTGTGACATGTAGTGACTGTATTTTGTTTGTAAATTCGACAGGAAATTTGTTCACAGCAGTGTCCCACAAAGAGACATGAAGTAAATAATCAACTTTATCTAGACAAATTGTGGCTAGGCACTGGAGAAATTACTTTCTCTTTTTGAATAATGCCATGGGATCTTTAATGTCCACCTGAATGGACAGTCAGGATCTCAGTTTAACGTCTCATCCAAAGGACAGCACCACCAAAATATTAGTACTCTCCTAACACTGCACTGGAGAGTCACCCTGGATTGTGTGTTCAAAGTCCTGACGTGGGGCTTGAACCCGCATCAGCCTCCACTCCTTCTGATCTCCCCTCCCTAGCCTCCATCCATACCCTCCCCAGTTCTATCCTCCTCTATCCTATTTTCCCTCATGTGTGCATCTAGAACTTTATACTATATAATAGACATGACATAAAAATATCAGGTACAGGTGTGCTCTAACTCCAGAGGCTTGAAATTTCACTTGGTCTTAGCTTCTGAAAATTATCTTACAATTTAATATTGTTGTTTTTTTTGAAAAATTCCAAATTATTTGGAAGCTGGTTTTCCTTGGGTCTTTTTAAAGATTGCAGAAAAATCTTTCAAAATTCTGTTTGAATTTTAAGACCCTGGTTGTAAAGCTAAAACAATAAAATTTTTGAGCCTTAGATCTGGAAAAGTAACAAGTCAGCAACAAACAGCCATTAACGGAAGATTAATTGAGGTTTGGTCCCAAAAGCACCGTCACTACACTCTACAGTACATAATGTGAAGCACTTTGAGACACCCTCCTGATGTGAAGGGTACTACATCAAATGTAAGGATTATTATCAACAGAAGAAAAACTTTGATATTAGAAGAATTGTTTCACATGGGGGATTTTTCAAATGTGTGTTATAACACAAATTGCTATTGAAGCTGAGTCCATAACAATATCTGAAAGAGAAGCGGAAATTACTTGAGGTCCATATTAAATGGATTGGGGCTGCCATCACCAGTGGGGAGTTAGCATTTTATTGAGACGTTTGTAGACTAAAAATATAAAACAACAGAGGGTTAGTGCAAAGCTACAATTTAAATTCAGGCTTCCTGTGATATCCATGATCTACTCAAGCATTACTCTTCTGCCCTGTAATGTTAGCTGAACCCCTGATGACTTCACTCCATTTTATTCTGTCTTCACGTGAAATCTGGTGTTGTAAAGCAAAGTGCTTTATTAGAAAAGGAAGTGGCTCAGATAAGGATATTTGGCTACAGCTATTTTTCCATGCCTTTAGCAATTGCTAAGAACTAAATGATGCCTGTCTATTGCCAGCTTTCTTCCTCACAAGAATGAAAATATCATTATGCAACAGTAGGGTCTAACTTGCAATATTCCTAAACCAGATTCATTATGTTAATTGTAATGTCCAGTTTACGGACGTCGGATGGTGTTTGATTTGCACAACGCCTAATCCCGAATTCCAGCGTCTGGCAAAATACAAAAAAAGTACACTTGAGTGAAACCGCTCTCTGCCAGCTATTATTTGAATGAAGGCAGATCAGCAGAGTGTTTTGGTACGAATGTAAATAGTCAACAGAGACTGGGGCCTTTGGAATGATTGGTTTGTTTGGTCTGGGACTGGAGGGGTTTGAATTGTCCAATGCAGCTCTGGGACATTAGATGCTAAAATGATTGACTGTAAGATCATTCTCTTTTCATTTACCATTGTAGCTCTGACCATCAAATGTCCAGACAACCCAGTCCTGAAGACATTTGAAAAGAAGCTGCCAGGTAAGGAACTGGTCATAATTGAGGAGTTTTGACTGAACAGAGCATGGGCTGCTGGTTACAGAAATACAGGAATTGACCTTTTGCACACTGTGGTTTGGTAGGAATTGGTGTACTTTTATGCCAGGATTTTTCAAAGATTGAAGTGTTGTTGATAATCCCTGGCTTTGTTGACGATATATTCAATTGATGACAGGGTGCAGTACCCTCTCAGCGGTGTATGTTATTGAACATTGAACCATAATTACACTTCCTGTTAATGATCTATTACGTTTTCTTTTGCTTTGAAACAACTCAATGGCAGTGTTTCAGGTAGAGCTAAAGTCAAGAAATGTTCCTTGTGTACTTCTCCCACTTTCCCTCTATACAATTTATCCCTGGGCTACGGTGCTGTCATCTAATGTATTCCCAAATGTGTTTTAAAGATCCAAGGACTCCATTCTGTATGTTTGCTGCTAATGTACTAAACTTTGTGTTTCACTGCCTGATACAGACTCCATGATCATTCAGAAAGTGAGAGGATTGCTGCATCGGCTCTTCAAAGTTCCTGGCACTGAACTAAAATTATCTTATGTCAGCTCCAAGGTGAGGCATTTTATGTTGGTGTCATATTTGCTTAACTCTTTTATATCTACTCAAGTAATTTTACAGAGAGAGTTCCTGTAAGTTTGCTATCAATTGATGAACAACAATTTATATTTATATACATCTTTCATGTCAAGAGGATGCCTCAAAGTGCTTCACAGAGCCGACTGGTAGCCTGAGGTTGTGATGGGGGGAGAAGCAGCAGCACAGTTGAAGAAATGGTTCTCTGTATATTCACTTAGGTTCTAATGAAATAATTCTAGATTCACTAGTTTTATTCAGTCATACTGTATCAATGTCAGTATTATTAATACTGATATTCTAAATGTAACTAGTTTATTACTTGGTTCTTTGGTGCTTTAATCCGAGAATTGCTTTAGTTCTCATTTCTCTGATACCTCATCATAGCAATCATTTTTAGAAATGGACAGAAATGACTCTTGCAGTCAGGACTGCCAAGCTGGAATGGCAGAGAATAGGTGAAAGTGCATTAAAAATTACGTGGCAAAGGCAAAGAGTGGTAGGTTGAGGGCAGGAAAGTTCCCAATAATATGCAATCTGAAATGAATTTTGATGAGAACATAATGTAAACAACAACTTGCATTTGTATAGCACCCTTCACGTAATATCTTTAATGTCTCGGAGTGCTTCATAGTGGCGGGGACTGAACCTAAGCGGGGGGAGGAGCAAGGGGGAGTTGACCATGGGTGCAGTCAAAGAGATAACCCCAAAAAACTAAATAATCAGCTTGTATTTGTATACAATGTGTTTGTAGAAGCAAACACAATAGCCCGTCTGATGTTTGGTTAATTATATCTTATGCCTAACCTGGCAATTTCTGATTTTATAGCATCTGGCATATGTACATTCATTTTAAATTTATTTGAATGAAAATACACTTCATATTTACTCTCACTTGAAGGAGGAGATGTTTTTACAAATTTGAGTTGTTCAAAACAGCTACTATGAATAATAAACAAATTCCCTGTCTGCTTTTGCAATCTACCTCGCTTTCAGAATTTCCCTCACCGCACGGCTGCTACTTTTCATTAGAGCTCTCTCTGTGCACCAGTGGCTATGCTGGTGCTTTTTTTCAAAAAAACCTGCATACATTATAGAAGCAGAGAGTCACTGCTTTGTCAGGGCACACAAGTGCTAATGTTTAGACATTGGGTTGCTGCATTCATTGGCAGAATTGTATTTGCAGCCAACCTCTTTTGCCTAGCTTCAGATCCTCTCTACCATCAGGGAGCGTTTTTATCTATTTAAGAATTGTTTCTTTTTTTAGTTTTATTTAGAAGAGAATGGAACTATAAGATGCACTAGTAATTAGTGTTGTCCCAATGCCAAACAGACTTGACAGTTTTTTGGAAGGATAGATGTGCATTTAGGAAACTACAAGTGGGTTGTAAATTTATATTGATTCATTTGACCTTCTCCCGTAGCTGTGGGTAAAAGATGTGAAAAAAATAAGACCTCTCTCAATATTACTATGCAGTTTTCATGTTACTATGCGGTGCTCACAGCTTCCAGTGAGGATTTGGGAGCAATGCGTAGTGTAGTTCCTCACTATTGGTGAAGCCTTGTTCTAAAGCATTGGCCATGCGGTGATGAGTGTCGGCTCCTGTAGGTCCCCAGGTTTTGAGATCCCATTTCCTCTTTGCCCTGCAGGAAACTCAAGTAGCACTGAAGTATTTCATTGCAGGAATGAGTGAGTTGGGGGGAGGACAACATATATATCTGTTGTGATACTGACCAGAATTTTCACATTTTGGAGAACAGTACTAGTGAGTATCAAGGTATAATCCACTCCAGTGATCTGACTTTCTCCTTTTACACTAAACTACATTCTAATGCTTCACTTCTACAATTGTGAGGTAATGGACCAAGTTAATGATATCCTTACAAGATGAGCATAAAGCAGAAGCCTGTTTTACAGCATCAATTTTAATTAGTATCAAATCTGTATGTTTCACTTTAGACTTAAGGTGGGATTAGGGATCAATTATGGTTAAAAAGAATTCTGTATGTAAAAATATCTGTTAGGAGAGTTTGAATAAATTGCTGGTCAGAGTGCTGTATTTTGGCTGCTGTTGATTAGAGCAGTGATTCCTGGCTGGGCTAAGCACTCATTTTTCACAAAGGAAACAGCTGCATGTTTTATTCTGTTTTCTATATGTACTATTCACAGTAGCTGTGGGGACTGACAACTCACACTGACTGCCCTCGCTGATCTAGGTTATTGTGAGAGAGATTGTTTTGAAATTAAATTATCAGCTGTGAATGCATTGTTTTTGAATGTATTGTACAAATTCCCTGGAAAGGAACACGCCAGGACAAATTGCAAAATCAGTTTGTGTGGGAGATTATAAAAAGTTGGAAAAATTATTTTTGTGTTAAAAAGCAATTTGAATGTAGCGATGTAATATGAAAGGTTGCAGCAGAACTGGTTATTTAAAACATTTTGTTTTCTATTCCTTAGATGATAAAAGAAATTGAGATGGATAATGACTTGAAGCCTCTTTCATACTATTCAATAGAAAGTGGAGATTGTGTGTTGGTACGATGGTAGCCAAGAGAAACCGAGTTGATGGTTTTGTGGATACAACCCTGTGTGCAGAGTTCTTCCCAGCTCAGAAGCTTGGTCCCATCACTGTGGTGCAGATGCACATCATCCTGAAGGAAGCATGCTCTAACAGTGGTTTTGGTGAAAGTACTGTCTTACTCAGACCTCAACAATTCTAAATAACCCGCTGAGGGTTTTTTCCTCCTTTCACCTTCCCCCAACTGTGAAGATACAGATTGTGGTCCCTGTTACGGTAGAATGCAAATTATAAATTGCAGTCATCTCTAAATTGCTCTTCTGGTAAAAGGAAACATTATTGAATGTTTGAATATTCACCAATTTCTACACAGGATATTTTGCCACATCTAAATTATTTTTTCTCCAGCCCATACAAACAAAATCCAAGTGCATTTTTATGGAACTTACTAGGAAAGTTGAGATTCCTAAGTTTATTCTCAAACTGTGATTGATGTAAATGTTCTGACCATTTCTAATTTACAGTAAGCTAAAAGGTTCAATTTTCAAATGTCTCTTGGTGGCTGCAGCCTTTTGGTTTGTAACTTTAATATGTTGGACTCTACTTCAGAGAGCCTGGGCTTGAATCAAAGTCTTTACTGGTATTCAGTTTGCTCTGAGAGTTTGGAAGATTTCTAGCTGAGCCTTTCAATGGAATGCTTGGTTTTATTGGAGGAATCAGCCACCCAACCCTTCCCATTGTTGTAAGGTGTGAAACACCATTGCCAGTGGCTACTCACAAACCGGCCCTCGCTTCTCCAGAATGGATTGTTGCATAAAGTGGAAACACTTTATCAAAGGTTTTTGCATTATTTTATGTTTGGAGATATAACTTCAGAAATTCACAATATGGAAGGCTAATCTATTTGAAAGAGAAATTCATTCAAAAGTAACTTTTCTGGTCTAGTTATGAAAATCTGTTCATGCAGTATGTTAGAGAATGCAAAAATTAAACACTGCTACAAATAAACTGACCTAGAATGTAGGTGTGAATGAAAGAGAGAGGGAGATGAGAATGTGTGCTGATACTTGTCACTGCAGAAGCTGTTGAGGTTGGGTTATGTTTCACACCAGTGCAGGACAAGGAAATGCTGAAAGGATAATAGGGTTTTAGGAGGCTCTGTGGAGCAGATGTATTTCATTTTTTATTAATTTACAAACCATCACTGCTCTTATATTTCATCACTAAAGCAACTATGCAGAATGTAGCAGAGACTCTTCCTCTAACAGAGAGGGAAGGCTGCACTGCTGCAACTGGCACTCAAAATAGACGCTTGACAACCTGGTCTAATATTAACAGTGACCATATTTAAAGGGTTTCAACAATTAAATCACATCAAACTTAGTTGTTTTCGCCTTAAAACAATGACACTGATTGACACCAATAACTTTAATATCCAGATTTACATTTCAAAATAACAGATAGTTTGAAAACATGAAATCTGGAATTTTATTTCACTGGTGAGGACAACTCTGATAACTGAGTTACTCAGTGAGCAATTGCTTAAGATTTGAAACAAAATAGTGTGTGATTGTGACCAACATGACATTCTTTCATAGTTTCAGTTACCCCCCACCACCACTACCAAATTATCTGAGCAAAATATCCATGTTGTGTCACATGAATCTCACACTTGTAAGTAGACTTTATGTGGTTTGGTTAAGTTATAATTGCATTTGATAAATATCTTTATGGGAAATGAATGCAAATCCCAGTCCTTTCATTACATAATAAAAAAAATGCTGCAAATTCAGGTTTCTGTCTTTCCTGAGTTGAATAAAAACCATCTTTTATAACATTGCTCTCTATATTTTCACGCAGTCCTTTCTGTTGCTAGTAAACTGATCTGATCATTGCACTAATTTTGCAAGTGAAATGGGGTAGTGTTTGTTCAAAAGCAGCTAGAGCTGCTTTAGCCAAGTGAGCAGATCTCCGAGGAGGACATGATTGGATCCACTGCCTCACATGTGGCCATTTGGGTGAGACATCAAAGGTTCCTGAACTCCACCATTGCTGCATTCAAAAGCGTCAGGCAAGAAAAGTGTGTGGGTAGGGGGTGAAGAGCAGTGTTGCATTCACATATGTACTTATTAAATACAAAAATGTGGGCATTTTGGGGCACTAGTTTAATTCTTTAAACCTTCTATTTGTTCCAGCTGTGAGAAAAGTGCTGAGTAACCCAAGTGTTAGACACTCTAAACACAAGGCCCATTTGAGCCAAGGGCTGCTTTTTTTGGATACAAACTAAGGTTTGACTAGCAATGAGCTCCTGGTGGTTCATGTTGCACACTCACAGGGGTTGTTACACTCCTCATTCCTTTGCCACAGTTTAAGCAGCTCCACTGGAGAATGCTGGGGGGAGGAGAGCATACCCAAGGAGCAGCTTTGCTCACACAGCCAATGAATGTCCTGGGGGAGGAAAGAAATAGGTCAGAAAAAACAAGAAATAATTGTCATCTGGGATTAGCAAATCAGTTACTATATCAAAAAATGTAACTGGGTAAGCACACAGCCTCTTTTATAAAGTGATATATGGTGTGACTTATGGCACCTAAAGGGCCACCTTTTACTGTGTGGCTATTTGCAAAGCACTGCCAGAACACACCTAAAAATAACCATGAGATTCAGTCTTCAAATAGTCCAATGTCAGTTGTGCCAGTTTGGAGCAGACTTGTGCAAGAAGGCCCAGGTCAATCTAGAACTTACTCACAGTTCCTGAGGCAGAGGCTGACAAAAATAAACAAACACTATTCCATGAACATTTCACAAATCTTCACTTTAAACCCAATAATTAAACCCATGTCCAAACATGGCCCCTCAGGTTGTTTATACTTTTATATAGCTTTCATCGCTGTATACAAACTCAGATAAAGTACATTTGACAGTCATATCAATCACCTGATAGCGTTGAGGACCCACTGCAGCCATCCAGATCCCCATGCTAACGTCTTCACCCTGTAGTGACAACACAACCCATGAATAAAAAGCTCCTTATGTTAGCAATACTGGGAGATGTTCCTAAAAGTTCAACATAAATAAGACCAGTTTCCTCTATTCTCCTTCAATAATGCTCAGGCTGCTCCGGGGTAATATTTTGGACACATAGCAGTGATAAATTAGGATTTAGGACAGACAGAAGGAAGTTTTTCTACACTCAAGAAGGTAGGTTGCCAGGAAAGGTCGTTTAGGCCCACACTTCAGCTCATAGTGTTGGCTGACACTTTATTCAGTGCATCACCCAGTGAGTGCTGTATTGGTGGGAGTGATATTCTTTAAACAAGATGTTGAACATAAGTCCTGTCTGCCTGCTTTGATGTCTGGTGGATGTTAAATATCCCACACCACTACAGAAGATCCATCTCCTGGAATATATAAATTGAATGCCCTGTAAAGATATATCTATCTGAGCATCAATAGACGACAGTGGTCAATTTAACCTAAAATTGCCTCAGTAAAATCAAAGTATTTTCACCCTTTCTACCCAGTCACTTCACCATAGGCTTTCCACAACTCTCAAAGTATACACTTTAGATCAATCAAGTTCCTCAGTACTTACAGTAGAAACCTCCAAACCAGTTTAAAGAACCAGGAAGAGAGCTAACACTCACAATAACATAGACCTTGAAATGCTTACATTGAAACTGAATGAGGAGAATCTTATTGATGTTTTGAGAAACTGTCTGATGACTTTTACTGCCCTTAGAGATCATGCAAGGATATTGCTGTACAGAAATCTATTGAGAGAACAATATCACATCTGAGATGCTCTGATCTTCCTGCAGATACACTGATTTTTATATAAGGGAATGAGATCAGTCATTTGTCACAATTTAACTTCATAAATAGGTTTGGTTTTCTTTGTGAAGCATCTAACTGAGATCTGCCAACAGTTGAAGAACAATGTGATAAAGTGTGTTAAGTGTAGCAAATCCTCCCCAGGGTGGAAGGAAGGGGTGGTGCCATCAGTTTAGTCATCTAAGAAACCATTCTGGAGGTGAAATGGAATCTAAGAAAGGGGAAAGGCCTAAAAGTATTTGCATGAAAAGCGCAACACACATCTTAAATATGTACCATATTCCAAAAGACATCACTTCTCCGATACCTGATACATCTTTAGCATCTTTATGTTTTCTGCCAGCCACTGGACCAGGTCCTGAGAAACAGCATAACCAGAGCCACAGGCAAAATCGGGATAGACTGGACTGGGATACTGCAGCTCCATCCATTTCCCACTGTGATCTACTGCCCAATTCTGCCTGAAACTACACATTGTACAATGAAAACCAATGAAATTAACACAATTTACTTGTATATAGAGCCTTTCACATGGGGAGAATGTCTCAAAGTGCATGACAATGCCACCTAAGCACCTGCTCTGGGGGTGTGGAGGAGAAAGATGACCAAAAGAACAGTCAAACAGGTCTTGAAGCAGGACCTTCAATAAGATTGAAACATTACTGATTACAGAAACAAAGACTTAAGAAAATGTACTTAAGACTTAATGTACAGAAAGTCACTGCAAAAAAAATCAGCAAACAATTGTCAGACTATTTACAAAAGCTTCAAATTAAAGATACATTAAGTCATTATTTTTCATCTTTAATATATCCCGTGGAGTCCTGTACCTAAGTGGTTAGAGCACTCGCCTCACCACTGAAAGGACCTGGGTTCGATTCCCGGCAGGGAGAAACATTGGGCCAGTTTCCTTACTCCACAGGCCTCTGTTTACCTAGCAGTAAGTAGGAACCTGGTTGTTAGTCGATTGCCAGATCACTTTTCCGGGGGTAATAATTCCTATAAAAATGTAATAATAATTTGGTCCTTCAATCTCCCTGACTTTTTGTGGAACATTGCTATTGGCAATTGGAACCTGTGTTTCACCCCATCACATCTTAAAGACCTGATAAGGTCCCAAAATATATCAAATGCAAGATTATTATTATCCACCAGGCAATGGTCGTGACCATTCAAATTTAAATTGCTAAAATAATTCTCGGTTGTCAAAGGCTCTCTACAGGACCTGAGTAACATACAGATACTAACTTGCCCCACCACACATTTGTTCTGACCAGTCTGTCTCCAACTCTGTGCAGTATAGCGTCCATATCAATGTAGCAGTCATCATCTGTCTTTAGCAGCAACCTGAAGCTCACATAGTTCACAGACCTGCTCATCAGGCAAAAACAGAATAACATTTCAGAGTCAGTACATAAAAAAATGTTTGTGCATGTGTTTACACCATCAAAATCTGTAACACACACCAGGCAACCATGCAGAGAAAGAGCCATCTCTTAATTCCTGAATCCATGCCTCTTGTAACCATTAGTATTAGAGCAAATATCCCTCACCACTTATAAAAGTGTAGCAATTTATAGGGAACATTTCTGTATGTGTCCACTACATCCACAAAAATTATATCTTCATAGATCTGGCTTTCCTCTCGTAGAGCAGCATCCACTTCCATCAGCTTTTGTTTGCGGTTTTCAAACCGTTTGGGTCTGGCTTTGAGGCTTTCCAAAAGAGCATCACTATCTGAAAAAGATTAGCAGCCTAGTGATTTCCAGTGTATACAGGGCTTTGTGCTTATAATAATCCTAATAATGTCTTACATTTGCTATAGTGTCTTTCATGTCAGGATGACGTCTCAAAGCACCTCACAAGATTTACTGTAAAGTGCAGTGACTGTGTGTTTTGTGGGCGAATGCAGCAGCCAGTTTTCTCACAGCAATGTCCTACAAACAGCCATGAAGTGAATGACCAATTTTACCTGGGGGATTGTCAGCCAAGACTTACCAAACATTGCAATGGGATCTTTAACATCCAATTGAACAGGGGGCCTCGTTGAACATCTCATCCATAGCATGGCACCTCCAACAAAGCAGCACAGTCCACTATTGCATTGAAGTATCATCCCAAATGATATGATTCCAAGTCCCGACATGGGGCTTGAACCCACAACCTTCTGACTCCGAAATAAGACTTCTACCAACTGAGCCAGGCTGATACATATATGCCAGGCTTATAGTAATTCCTTACTTTCTGCCTCTGTTACATATTAGACAGGTTACAAAAAATAGAGGAGTTACTTTATCAAAAAGGTTGTTGTAGACTGTAGTCTAATTCTGATCTGGTGAGAAGTTATATATACAGTGACCAGGCTATTTCTGTACCATGCTGTAAATGACAATAACACATGAGACAATATCATGGAAGTATGAATCATTGAGCCTGCAATCCTCTTGAAAATTTGTGCCAGTCTGTATATTTACAGGTTTTCTCCACATTGGGCCAATCCCTCCTCACTTAAAAATCAGTAAGAGATTTTAAGCCTATAGATGATAATAATAACTTGTATTTGATATAGCGCCTTATGTCTTCAAGACGTCTCAAAGCGCTTCACAGAATATACTGCAAAGTGAATTGACTACATTTGGAGTGAATTTACACGTGGAGTCCTGTAGCTCAGTGGTTAGAGCACTCGCCTTGCAGGCGAGACACCTGGGCTCAATTCCAGGCAGGTCGAAACCTTGGGCAAATTTCCTTACTCCACACGCCTAATAATAATCCCTCCAAAAACAAAACAATAATAAATTGGTCATTTTCAATCCACGACTGTTTGTGGGACACTGCTGTGCGCAATTGGCTGCCGCGTTTTGCCCACAAATATACAGTCAATTCACTTTACAGCATATTCTGTGAAGCACTTTGAGATGTCCAGAAGACGTGAAAAACGCTATATCAAATGCAAGGATTATTATTATTACATTTTGGTGGCGAAACACGGCCGCCAATTAGCACAGCAGTGTCCTACAAACAATTGTGCATTGAGTGACCAAGTTATTATTTTTTGAAGTGATTATTACCCCAGGAAAAGCGATTTGACGATCGACTAACAAACGGGTTCCTACTTACTGCTAAGTAAACAGGTGTGTGGAGCAGGAAACTTGCCTAACGTTTCGCCCTGCCCAGTAATTAAACCCAGGACCTCTCGCTTGCAAGGCGAGTGCTCTAATCACTGAGCTACAGGACTCCAAATAACATAAAGAACAGCAGACAGGACTTGCTTCAATACAGTATGTTATCCGGGTATTGGAATGATATTTAGATATAAAATATATGCTATTGCCTTTTAACATTGCATGCAGAATTGTAAAATTGTATTTCCATTGGTTCTTTTATATTAGCACTTTGAACATTAGATATAAGCCTGGAAAGGTTAAGTGGCTGGCATGCTTTTGGTAGTAACAAGTTTTATACTCTGATAATATACTGTGAGTCTGGTTGGACTACTGAGACAGAGAACTGGTCAGCACTAGAAGTGCCTAAATTATATAATTGACAATTAAAAGAAACCTTACAATGTTGCAGTCTTTGACATTAAAGCGACAGCTAACATCACACACTTTAATCAACCTCCCATTTAATGCACTAATATAAAATGTCCATTTGTACCCTCAGGCTCTTTGACCTTCAAATCCAATTTCATTCAATTTAATCACATTGCTGCATTGTAATTTTGTGAATACCATTTTAAAAATAATGGTCTCCGCAGATCACACAGACGTTTGCTGTCTCGAGCTTCAGCTCTGAAAAGTATTGTATATATTAATGCCATACCATGAACGGTGTAAGCAAAACCTCCAGCCACTGCAGCCACATCCTGTTCAAATCCATCCTGAATCAACCGCTCGTCCTCTTCCTGAAGTTGGGCCTGTTTAAAACAGTGACAGAGAACCCACAGCATTTGGCTTCAAAATAAATGAAGCTAAAGTAACACTAACATAAAAATACATACAAGGATGGTGCTCATAGGTTACAATTGTAAACGTTTAAAAGAAAACTTCCGAAGACGTCAACCACAGTTTAATGGGTACAGGCAGGGCAGGGCAAGGGGTTTCAAGGTGTACAGACCAGAGGACTACATGCTGGATTCCCAGACTGTGTCCTGCTCTCACCCAGCGCATCAATCGCGTCACTACAACTAACTTTAGTACCTCTAAGTTGTGGGCCGAGGAAAATAAAGGAAATAGGATTCACACTCCTAATTGCAATTCAGGAGAGAAGCGATTACTCCCAACTCATGAGAAAAAAAGCTCCAAACAATTATTTTCAGTAAACAGGACAGTCTCCTACGTTGCCCTGATATTTTGTACGTGTGGAGTACCACCTGTGTATCCCAGTAAGAAGTTCAAACCACCCGATACATATCCTACAAAGAAAAAATGGAACCTCCTTGATTTATAATTTGCTTCCCTCCTGATCTCCTACATTACTGAACCTGCATTAAAATGCGGAGTGACTTACTGCAGAAAGTCTCAGTAGACCTCCTCCAGTGTTGAGTTGGACATCACTAAGATTCGCTGTGGTGAGGTACTCAGAGTCCTGGCTTTCCCAAACAATAGTACCTTGAAATCCCTGACAAAGAGAAGACCATGTTAAGCACAGAGTAAAGGTAAAACATAGGATATTAAGCTTTACGTCCTTTGTGTACAAATTAATATTTGTTGCAAACTAGCAACTGATGCACAGCAACTGGTCAAGAACACTGGTCAGAGTGTAATTGACAAGGTGTCATTTACAAGTGACATGTTGCTATGGAGCTTTTGGAGAATTCGAGGAGCTTTCATTCTTGTTTTCCATACTTAAGAGTATTTACAAGCGTACGACTGTAAGCGATGCATTATGTCATCCTTGCCAAGCTGCTGTGGACTTTTCTATCATTAAAAAAGTTACTTAGAGAGTCCTGTTAGTGTATGTCTTTCTGGCAATAGGCCAACAACTGTACCCAGAACCTGATCCAGAGGAATTTCTCCTGCTTTAACCTCCCTTAACTTATGATTATTTTTAGAATGGTAAACTATTTCACAGCACCTTAAGTCCACACAGGGTAAATGGAGGGTTTTGTCCATTGCTAACTCACTAGCTTTAGGCAACCGTCTTGTACACTTATCAATAGAGCTACATTTTTAGGAGAGTCTGGCAGATATGCAGGAATGTGCCTTCACCAGTTCAGCTTCTCCAATATTCCCATAGGAGGTGGGATTTTTAAAAAAATGACGAGAAAAGTGAAACTAAAAACAATGAACATTTTTAACCTTACTACATATGAATAATTCAGGATTCCTTACGCAGAGACTATTGTGATAATTGATTTCAATTGATAAAACGTAAACAGCTTTAATATAGACACATAAGAACATTACATAGTCCAACTTATAGCAACCCATAACATTTCTGCAGCCAAGTTTAATGGAGCAATAATTTCCTGCAAACTCTTTATTCCAACTCTCCGTTTGAACTTAGGTTACTGCTGCTGATAAAGCTTTTTTTATATACTGAGCATTTGAAAGAGTGCTGCTTCAGACTAAATGTTCTGATATATTTATAATTAGTAATAGAGTAAAATAAATCTGAAGTGTACCAGAATTGTGATTTACATTTAAGCATCTCACTGAAGTATTGGTAAAGTATTGGTAAAAACCCTCATGATGCAATGGAGTAAAAAAGTAAAGAAAAATGTCAGAACAAATCACCCTCTACAACCTCATCCATCTCCAAACACAGGCCTCAGAATAGGTACCCTGTGTGACCTCAGCCACAGGACAGGGAGAGTGAAGATAGCAAACTACAATAAACTTCATATTGAAAGCTTCAAAACCTGCCAATATGTTTCTACGATTTGCTTTTAAATATGGAAAAACATGAATATTTAGCAACAAAAATATTGTTCAGTAAGGATTTGAATCATGGCGTGTACCTTAGGTAAAATGAACTTTTCCACTGGTTTGTACCACAACTGCTTTACTTGCACCCCAGGGCTGAGTGGACTGAAACGGGCACTGGCAATCACCCCCTGTATAAACATTTACACTGTAACACAGCAATAACTCAACAACAGTCTTATGAGCTTAAATGTAGGATGTCAGACCTAACTATCTGAAGGCTGACACTGGATGCTTCTAGAATGGGGAACTAGGGGTATTAACTTCCATCTTACCATGTCACACTGCCCCATGTTTATGTAGAAACACACACCACCACATCCAGACTTTTAAGCATTCAAGTTATTGTTTTACTTCAACTGCACTAAATAGATATTTAACTAGACGGATTCGGTATCTGTGTTGTGTGAGGCTAATCATTCATGTTGTTGATTGCTGAGGTACACCAACACTAATTATTTGTTCACACTTCTGAAGGTCAGTGTGTGAAATGTTATCAAGTTTACCTCTTGTGCACGTTGGAAGAGTCTTACAATGACATTTCGGGGAAATCCTGTTTCTCTCTGATCATGGAACACCCCAAGTCTTGTAATAATTATTGGATGAAGAACTCTGAAGTTAATGCTTGCAATCTTGTTGCCAAGCAATGTCACTGCAGTCCTTCCAAACAGACTAATTGCTTCAATTTCTTGACCCACAACTGCAGAAAATATATATATATATATATAAAACACACACATTAGAACACTTACAAAGAAACACATCATGCACAGAAATAATATCCGTAAATTAAATTCAACTGACAGAGGTTTATTTGCAATGCTGTATATATAACACTACTAGTCTACATTAAATGTGAATTACAAATATAAATATTCCTCAGAGCACACTCTTAGAACCATTTCTCTGTTGAACTTCCCATATTTTGTGATGGATACAATGACTCATCTAAACTATAAAGGATGCATTTATTTTATATATTCCACCAGCCTCTCCTCAAATCTCCTTATTGCCTCACCCCCAGCAATGCTAAATAAGGTATCCTCCGTAAGTATACCTTGTACCTGTGGTACATACCCTGTACATGCATGCCATAGTGTCTGACACCCATTTCAGGCATTCAATGTCACTTTCAAGCACACTCCGATTGGGCTCAGTGGTAGATATCCTGGTTAGATACCCACAACAACAACAACAAGATTCCATTTATAGAGCGCCTTTCACGTCGGGAGGACGTCCCAAGGCGCTGTATAGTTGGGTCAGGACCCGAGCAGGGGGAAATGGTCAGGGTGAGGGGAGGGAGCAGAAAGTCGAGAGGGGAGCTGAAGGCACGGTCAAAGAGAAAGGTCTTGAGACCGGCCTTGAAGGAGGAAAGGGAGGAGGCGGCGAAGGCACTGGGGGATAGAGTTCCAGAGCCTCGGGGCTGAGAGGCTGAAGGCCCGACCACCGATGGTAGGGCGGTTGGGGCGGGGGATGTGGAGCAGACCGAAGCCAGAGGAACGGAGGGTAAGGGCAGGTAAGTAGGGGGATAGTAGGTCAGAGAGGTAGGAGGGAGCAAGGCCGTGAATGGCCTTGTAGGTGAGGGTGAGGATCTTGAATTCGAGGGTGCAGCTCCAACAAGACAGATAAGAAAGAGATTCTTTAAAGAGCTCCCCTAAGGTTCAGTATTTTAGAATTCAACATAACTTTTCCCCCATACAAAATACATAAAGATTCACTTGGCCAAGTCTATGCACAGTGTTATTTAGAAAATGGAGAGCACAGGGTTACATCATAGGAAACACATTAGAGACCACTGAACAATAGAAGACTCTCAATCATCTGTTAGTAGGTCCAAAGAAATATTTGGGGATGGGGAGGGAAATTAATTGCCTAATTGGCATAGTCCAAACTACCAGCTCACTTTTATAGACTATCTATCACTAAGCGGGGACTATGGACCAGTCATCAGTAACTCTCTCATGTGAAAAGCAGTAAAGCAACAATCTTTATTGGCTGACCTGGGTCCGTAATGTTGAGCAGTTGACAGGAATAGGGGTCTTCTCTGTCCTCATCGGGTATGTCACAGCCATGAGCACCAATTATAAACTTTGCCAGTACACTGCCATAGATAGAAAAGAGACAAGTTACACATGCTATGTTAACACTCAATTTTCATGCATGTCGAATGATGTTTCTTAAAAAAAAGCATTACACAGAAAAAAAAATTTCTATAAAAGCTCCAACTTCAATGCCCCTTTTAGTTCAAAATGGAAACTAGATAGCGGGTTTCTCTATTATATCTCTAGCCATCAGCAAACACTGTTTCTATTTTTAGGTTGATGATAACTGTTTTATACTTATGGATGATGACAATATATTTATTCATAACCAGAATTTAATTGTAAAAATACTAAAAGAGATAAATACTGACTGGATGGGAAAGAAATAACTTTCTATGTAAAGTACCCCTCCTTGTTTTTGTAAAACAATAATTCACAATTGCTTTCTGACACAAGCCACATTTTTTCTGGGTGAAAATCCCCCACTTGGATAATATATAGTATATCGTAAATACATCTCCAGACAAATATCATAATGAGGAGAGAGTTAATGTCCTCCAACTTGATGCGAATCCTAGTTCTTCAATACAGGTACAATTTATCGCTGGTTTGGGCTCGTGAAAAATTATTGTGTGAATCTTTAGTAGTTTCAGGGAAAGAAATGAATGTGAGCAGATTGAAGATATCTGTACAACTCCTGAATCACACATATATAAAAATAGGAATCACAATCCAGGATTTCAGTTGTGTAACTGACTATTAGTGAGATTCCTTAAAGGTATTTAATATTATTGTAACATTTTTGTAGCGCTGATATTTTTGAACTGCTTGAACGTGCAGCAATAAGAGAATAGTTTACCACGATTCACACAATGATCCCAAAACTTAGCAAATCAACAACAGCAGAAAGGATACTGCAGCTTTGAATTCAGTGACAAATTATCAAATTAAAACGTCAGAGTGCGCAGCATCACATTTTTTTTGCCTATTCATCAAAATAATTGATGGTGTGCTAAAAGGTCAGCTACCCAGGAGCAGTGAAAAACAAACTTGTAATCCGATTTATAAATGTCAGTAAATAACTACAAAAAATATACTAGCACACATACCGTTTCCCAAAGAGGACAGAATGAGACTGGCTGAGTGAATGGATTATAAATGTTCTCATCAATGAATATGACCCTACATGGTAGATAATTTAAATTTATTTTGTTTTTTTCATCCTCCATATAATGACACCCTCAGATTCTGGCTACGTATTATGCTCAGCAGCAGGAAATAAACCTTTACTTGGTTGAAATGCTAATCAAAACCGATCCACCAAAAAAGTAAATTGTGTTGCAGCTTGTTTTTCATTGGTCCTGGGAAGTTGAACTTCTGCACCCCATCAATTATTTTGATAATTAGGGGAAAAAAATGAATTTACGCACAGTGATGTTCTAATCAGATAACTTGTAATTAAGTGTTTGGCAACATAGTGAAGACTTGCCCAAGTGTCAGCTATAGACGTTCGGCAGATTAACATTTTGAGATGGGCCCTGAGATACATGATGAGAGTGAATTTAGTCACCTTTAACCTTTCCAGTGGCTCGTATCCCGTTGAACAGTAGCAGAGCTGCATGTATTTCCTCAACTAATTTACAAGTCTCTGTTTTGTGATCATAGAACCAAAGGTAAGTGCAATTGTGAGTCATTGGCATTTCAGTAAAGCATATGGTGGGTGGGTGAAGTTTTCAAAATATGTCCAAATTTACCTTGCAATCCAATTATAGAATCATAGAAACAGGGCAATTGGCCTCAAGTCTGCTGGATCAACATTCTAACCACCGTCTGTCTAATGAAATTTCTTCTAACCTACCCTTTAATTCCTTTGTGATTATCTGGACATTTTGTCCTCTTGTTATTGACTTGCCATCCACTGGAAATAATCTATTACTATTTACACTATTTACATCTTGTAACTTCAAGAGAGTAAAGAGTGAAAGGAAAGTCACTATGAGCTGTTTTCCTACATAAACTAGGCAATTATTGAAAGCAATTGACCCAGACCTTTTTGTTGCTTGCATTCTCTTTGGTAGGAAATGGCAGGTGGTGGAAATAGGTAGACAAAGCAACTATATTAGATAAATAAATTATATCTATTATAATAACATATAAACATTTTGTAGTGCCAAACTCTAAAAAACAATTACTCTCTATAAACTGATTCCAGAGACCTGGGTTCAATCCCGGCAAGGCAAAATCTCAGGCAAGTTTTCCTACTCCAGATGTCTGATAATAATTCCCCAAGAAAAAAAAACATTAATAAATTAGTCATTTCAATCCACGACTGTTTGTGGGACACTGCTGTGCGCAATTGGCTGCCGCATTTCGCCCACAAATATATGGTCAATTCACTTTAAAGTATATTCTGTGAAACGTTTTGAGACGTCTAGAAGACGTGAAAAGCGCTATATCAAACGCAATGATTATTATTGTTATTACATTAGAATAACTGATGTTGTCCTCCAAATATCTGTCTGGAGCTATATAACATGCTATGTAAGAGTGATCTCTGGTTTCGAAAAGGATTCATGAAAGTCTTGTTGGAGCACTTTACAATCAGTTGGAATCCTTCTCTAAGAAAGTAAGGACAAGCAATTTCCCAAATCTATGCAGTAAATGAATATGAGAAACTAATATGAGAAACATAACATAACATAACATAACATAACATAGGAGCAGGAGTAGGCCATTCGGCCCTTCGAGCCTGCCCCGCCATTCAATCATGGCTATGAATATGAACCTTCAATATTAATTTTAATTGAATACTTCTGAGGCCCTGTTATGGAAGCAAGAACAGCACACTTTTACTGAAAGTACTGAAGTCAAATAGGAGTTATAGGATTAAATATTTCTATATTTCTATAAAATATATTTCTATCATTCTACTCACTGCATCTCTGTTAATCACTATTTCGCTCTCATTTTTAACTGCCCATAGTAAGTACTTAAAGGAAACTCAAAATAACCGAACTACTTTCTCACATTACCCCAGCTGCATTTCAGAGAAAACATTAAAAATTAATCCCGTGAGGTAGAAATTCCGCCTACATCTAGATTTACTCTCTTTCCTCAGTATTTCAGAGAAAGCATTAATTTAATTAATTTAAGGATTTGCCAAATTTTGTACGCTCCGAAATATTAAGAAAATGTGTCAGGTTGGCCCTCGCACTCTTGCCTCTGAGTCATGAGTCAGAAGTTCAAGCCCACTTTGGGACTTGGAACTCATTTAAGTCTAAGCTGACAATCCAATTCAGTGCAATGGGCGTGCTGCATTGTTGGAGGTTTTGTGATTTGGATAAAATGCTAAACTAAGGTCTCTTCTGCTTGTTCAGGTGGTCGTTAAAGACCCCATGGCACTAGTTGACAAGAGAAGGGTGTTTCTCCCGGTGTCCAAGCCAACAATACCCCAGATAAAATTGGCTAGTCACTTCATGGCTATTTGTGGGACATTGCTATGCGCAAAATTGGCTACCACAAAACACACAGTCACAGAATATTGCATGAAGTGCTTTGGAATTGATGTGAAAGATCCTATACCAAATGCAAGGATTATTATTATAAAATAGAATAAGTCTAAGATGAGGTGGACTTTCTCCCCATTAAACGACATCAACAACAGACTTTGAGCATTTTGAAGATGTTTCAAGAATATTTTATAATGTAATCTTGCAAGCCACTCCTCATCTGAATTTGGTTTGTATTTTAAAAAAAGGTAAAAATGTATAGAACAAACATTACTAACCGCTGTCTTAATTCTGGATGTTGTTTTATATTCCCCAACCAAGTATTCCTCAGTGCATTTCGTAATTCATAGTTCTGTCGAGCAGACAATATACCAACCACAATATCATACTGGGGTTTTGTCCATTCTGATGAGAAAGAAAGTCAGCCATCAAGTTACATCTCAACCTTAAAACAAAGAAAATCATAATTATTTATAAATTATTCAACTACAGTTTTATATTATATTATTTGTTGTATAATGCAAAGAATGCACAAGCCACACAGGCTACGGTGGATAACATTGATTAAAGGCCAATACTAGGTCAAAGTATGGTTGTCCCCTTGGGTCTGATACTTGTACAGTGGTAAGAGATAAAGTACTTTGCATATATAGGCTTCATAAGGGCACATTACCAAAGTCAATAGACTTTGGATTAGAATTTCCACCTGACTTTCCCCCCACCACCCCCCACTTAAAGCTAAACAATGAAGTAAACTTTAGAACGCCCCGCATAACAAACAACCTACACTGCCTCTCTGCTCTCAATAAACTAGATACCATGGATATTGATAGGAAATTTCCACTTGTTGGTGTGTCCAAAACTAGAGGGCATAAATATGAAATAGCAAGGAGTAGATCTAATAGGGAGTTTAGGAGGAAGGGATGGGGGAGGGAATTGAGCGGCATAGGCGAGTGAATAGGAAGGTGGGACTTCAGTTGGAATATAAACACCAACATGGACTAGTTGGGCTGTATCACTGTATAATGTGTTATGACCAGGTAGTGGCAATAAACACTGCACCACTCCAATCACAAAGTATGTGATCTTGTGTTAAGACAGGCTTATTTTCAAATTACACAGATATAGCATTTTATTTTCATTGAAAACCAGCAGTTTATGAAAACTAGATTCTCACAACAAAAAAACATTTACTATCACCAGGCTTACTAGTCTTACATTACTAAAGTGTGTAGTTTATTGAACCAATAAATTAAAGAAAGTCACACTAAAATCAATGTTCTTCAATGTTGCACAATATAATTCTGCTCTGCTACTCTCATCACCTCAAATTGTCCCCAACTCTACCGCACTTCATGGATATTCAGCTCAAAATACAGTCTACAGATTTATGAGGACAAAGAATATAATTGTACAGTTGTGCATATTTTAAGTGGGAGTCCTATGAAAATGCCTCAGACTCACTATTACACTTATCCCTACCATTATACTTTTACCAAAATTCTGGTGACAGCATTGCAGGACACTCTATTTTTTCATGAAGTTTTAACAACAACAACAACAACAAGATTCCATTTATAGAGCGCCTTTCACGTCAGGAGGACGTCCCAAGGCGCTGCACAGTTGGGTCATGACCCGAGCAGGGGGGAAATGGTCAGGGTGAGGGGAGGGAAGGGAGGGAGAGAGGAGGGGGGAAATGGTCAGGGTGAGGGGAGGGAAGGGAGGGAGCGAGGAGTGGGGAAATGGTCAGGGTGAGGGGAGGGAAGGGAGGGAGCGAGAAGGGGGAAGAGAGTCGAGAGGGGAGCTGAAGGCTCGGTCAAAGAGAAAGGTTTTGAGACCGGCCTTGAAGGAGGAAAGGGAGGAAGCGGCGAAGGCACTGGGGGATGGAGTTCCAGAGCCTCGGGGCTGAGAGGCTGAAGGCCCGACCACCGATAGTAGGGCGGTTGGGGCGGGGGATGTGGAGCAGACCGGAGCCAGAGGAACGGAGGGTACGGGCAGGTAGGTAGGGGGATAGTAGGTTGGAGAGGTAGGAGGGAGCAAGGCCGTGAATGGCCTTGTAGGTGAGGATGAGGATCTTGAAATCAATCCTCTGGGGGATGGGGAGCCAGTGGAGGCGAGCGAGGGTGGGAGTGATGTGGTCCCGAAGCCTGGTGCGGGACAGTACACGAGCTGCAGAGTTCTGAATGACCTGCAGCTTGTGGAGGGAGGTGGCGGGAAGGCCGGCGAGGAGAGAGTTCCCATAGTCCAGCCTTGAGGTGACAAAGGCGTGAACCAGGGTTTCAGCAGCGTGAGGGGTGAGGTAGTGCCGTAATCTGGCGATGTTCCGGAGGTGATGGAAGGCGGTGCCAGTTGTGGTGCGGATGTGAGGGAGAAAGGACAGCTCAGGGTCGAACAAAACCCCGAGGTTCCTGACTGGCTTTGAGAGGTGGAGAGTGCAGCCTTGGATGCTGATGGTGTCAGCGCCTGAGGTGCGGAGGCGCTGACGTGAGCCAATCAGGAGGGCCTCGGTTTTTCGCACGTTGAGCTGAAGAAAGTTGTCTCTCGTCCAGGACTCGATGTCGGACAGGCAGGCTGTCAGGACATCGGTGGTCGTGGAGTTGAGAGTAGAGGAGGAAAGGTAGAGTTGGGTGTCATCCGCATACATGTGGAAGTTAACCCCATGTCTGCGGATGATGTCACCGAGGGGGAGCATATAGAGGGTGAAGAGGAGGGGACCGAGGACAGAGCCCTGAGGGACACCACATGAGACAGTACGGGGGGTGGTACTTTAAATAGTATACCTACATACCGCATCACAGCGAACACTAAAAATACAACAACAATTTGCATTTATTTAGCGCCCCTCACACAGGTTAAAGTCCCAGCAAGGACAACAATAGAGAATGTAAAGGTCATGCAAGATCCAATATGTTTGGAGTCTGCATACAGTATCTTAAACCCCCACACATATACAGAACCCACACAACTAAGTGGAACAGTAGGATAACCAATTTTGGTCAAACAGAGCCAAAATATCACCGACGTTTCAGGAGAGAAGGGAAAGTGGAAAGTCCAGCCACAATGAACTACTGGTTACCCCAAAACATAAATCCATTAGACTTATTTTCTGGTCCAAAGCACTTTGGATATGCTCTGTATCTAATCCCTTGTCACGCGATGTCATCATATGATCACGAGGGATGTTTGAATGAAGAAAGCTCTTCATCAGCCCATTTATCTCATTTTTTCACAAATGCCAACTACTGTTTTCACATTTCAGTATCAAGTTGCTTCTGTGATTTTTTCCCCCCTAGGGTCCCTGCGTCTACAACAAGATTACATTTGTATAGCGCCTTTCACTTCGGGAGGACGTCCCAAGGCGCTGGACAGAGTAGAGCATTTCAGACTACCACTTTTTCTAGGACCACATTCAAATCACTACTCAACTGATAAGTGCAAAGATATAACTTTAACATCCAGACTGTGAGTATGGGTGTGAAAGACACTGTCTCCCCCCGATGCTCGGGTCCTGACCCAACTGTACAGCGCCTTGGGACGTCCTCCCGACGTGAAAGGCGCTCTATAAATGGAATCTTGTTGTTGTTGTTGACAGACACGGAGTCCCCAGAGCTCAGGGGTAACCGGTGGACCTGCTCGGACACTGAAAATCAATGAATTTTGCCTTTTGTAAGAATGGCAAAGAATACAAATCCACTTAAAAGGAAGAGTCTGCCCTGGGCTCCCGGGGGCTCGGGGCGGGGCTCCCCGGGGGCTCGGGGCGGGGCTGAGGTGCTGCGCAGGCGCACACGCTGTTACCTGGGAGCAGCCGTCTCCAGGCCGAGGTTGGCCACCAGCACAAGTGAGCGGCGACCGCGATGACGCACACACAGACCGCCGCCTGCGCGGTAACGCTCCGCATCGGGGGCTGCAGCTAACAGTAACGGTTGGCCTCTGGCTCAGGGCTGAGCCGAGCTCACAGTCTGGGTGTTAAAGCTCTGGCCTCGGCGGTCGGGAGCCTGGTTGCCCGGGGTTACCCTGGGCTGTGCGGAACCTTCCCCGGGCCTCAGTGCGCAGGCGGGGCGGGGGGGGCGCGGTGTGTTGTGGGAGTTGTAGTTTCCGGTCGGCCCCGGGGCGGAGCTGCCGAGCAGCGGATTGTCGCTGATTGTCTTTTTGAGGTTTGTTGCGTTAAGTCGCAAAATTGCGATCGCCCCGCCCCCTCCCTCCCTCCCAGCCAATCAGCACGCGGTGCAGCTTGAGTGACAGCCCATGGGCCGACCCTGTTATCTGAGGTCTACTTGGAGCTGAACTGGTCCCGGGTTGACATGCCTGGCAATGGGATGTGGGAGTCCAGCCAACCCTCTGCGGCGGTCTCCAGTCCTGTCCCTGAGCCGGGTGGGTCCACGGTATTCCAGGCCACAGCTGAGGACAGCACAGCCAGTCCGGCTCATCGGCAGGACCTGGAAGGGCAGATCAGTCACTGGGGGCAGAGAGTCTTTCCACTCAGCTCCTGTTAACCCTGTAAGTCAAAGCCCTAACGGGTAGGGTGGTCCTGACTGGATAAGTAGCAGGAAATCTTGCCGGATAGCAATACCAATGGCAAGCTATGTGGTTTTAGCTGGTTAGAGTCCAGCAGCAGCACCCCAACACACACTCTGGGGTCACCAAGCGTTGGCTGTTGCCAACCTGCGCCTAATACTTTCCAGAATGAAGTAAGTAGGATGCATCCCTCCAGGGAGAGAGTGTGCATTACATTCCAACAGTCTATCTCAGAGATTGGCGTGTGTAGGTGGGATGCATGGAACTCTCAGTTTGGTTTGGATGCTCTGAAGCATGGTGATGGCTTTCCGCATGTGTCAGACACCCAGCTATCCAAAAAAAAATCCTGTGAAGCAGGATCCTTTGAAGTGTTTCGACAACATGATAAGATGCTATATTAAATGCAAGGATTATTATTTACTTAAACCTTCTATTCCATTCTCCTTCATGTGTGTGTATATAGGTTCCTCTACACTATCTGATTCAACCACCGCTTTGGGCAGAATGTTTCACAATCTCACTACTTTCCTCTTAAATTCTGTTTAGATTCCTCCAGTCGCTATCTTACACTTGGTGTGCCCTGGTTACAAATTCCCCCACTAGTGGAAACAGACTTTTATGCTAACCTTATTATAATAATCCTTGCATTTGCACCCTTTTATAATTTTAAACATATCTATTAGGTCCCCTCTTAAACTTGTCTAGCAAAAAAGGCCTCATCTAGCCCATCTATCCTGATTGCAGTAACCTGCCAGCTCTGGTATCATCCTTGTAAACCTGCTGTACTCCTTCCATTTGAGCTCAATGTCCCAACATATGGTCGAAACAACAGCTTTCTGACCTTAAGACAAGAGTCTTCCCAACTGAGCCAGGCTGGCACCTCGTCGGAAATTAGCTTTCGTAAAAGTCCTTCAAAAGATACCTGAAGTTTGTTAAAGAGCAGATAACTTTAATATTACTATGAACATAAGAAGACAGTCAAGCATATGGTTAAAATACTGAAAAAAGGTTCTTGTTTGAATAAAACAGCATTTGTCCCTGTGGGCAGTTTCTAATAACTTCTGCAATTTAGTCAATGTAATACATCATGTATAAACGCCAGATCTCTGTGGAGTCCTGTAGCGTATTGATTAGAGCATTTGACTTGCAAGCAAGAGGACCTGGGTTTGATTCCCAAGCAGGACGAAATCTTAGGCAAGTTTCCTTACTCCACACGCCTCTGTTTACCTAGCAGTAAGTAGGAGCACAGTTGCTTTGTGGGACACTGCTGTGCACAATTGGCTGCTGTGTTTCGCCCACAAAATATACAGTCAATTCACTTAACAATATATTCTGTAAAGCGCTTTGAGACATCTCATTGATGTAATAAGGCTCCATATCAAATGCAAGTATTATTATTATTGTTATCTCACTTTATGTGGAAAAGATTTGGATTAGACTGACAGCACTTACTGAGGTCTTGTACACTGATATCAATTGGAATACACATTGGGTATGATGCTAATGTTGACATGTTAATATGGGACTTGCTCCTCTAATACCCAAGCACTGGGACAGATAATCCTTTGTAAGTAATAATTCACCAAGTCTCCCATTTGAGGGAAACAACAGCAGAGAAAATCGAGGAAAATTACAATTAATTATAGGGGTAAAACCAAGAGAAACAATTACATAGAAGATACACAATGGGAGTCAGTAGCTTACCAGAAAATACATGACAAAGCTACCAGGTGGCCAAACACATGAAACCAAAGGGCAAACATTATTTCCATCAACCTTTCTTGTTTGAGTGATTAACTTGAGTTTGGTCTGCTTTGGGATTTAGATCAATATTAAGGGACCATATACCCTCTCCCCCCCCCCCATATCACTATGTCAAAGAAACCTGAAGCTCTGCAGGTTTATAGTCTCTCCTCACTCATCCCACGTTAAAGGTGTCAGTTTGGCTAAGATGGTGGCACTCCAGCTTTTGTGTCAAAAGGTTGTGGGTTCAAGCTCCGTTTCAGGAGTTGAGGCTGATACGCCAATGCTGTGCTGGGGAAGTGCTGCATTATTTGAGACATTCACCTATAAATATACACAGTCACTGCACAACTCTCTGAAGCGCTTTTGAAATGTTTCAATGTTATAAGTATCAAATTATTTTGTATATATAAATTTAGCCCAATTGGTTACTCATTATTTGTATGACATTCCTGATGCAAATTAGCTGCCACATTTGCTTACATAACAATTTTAATTATCAAATAAACAAAATTTTAAAATGCTTCAAGAGGTTTCTTTTGAAGTACTCTATATAAATGTAATTTGATATGTAGGCTTGATCTGTTGGTGGTTTTTTTTCCAGTTAAGAGTGCAATCATAAAAAAAATCATGCAAACGGAATTTGTCTAGCTCCGTTTTGAAAACCTTTTATGGTTTCTGTTTTACCATCTATATCAATAATGCTTGCATTTGTTATATTGTCATTTGTTTCACATTCTCCTCCCCTAAAAATATTCTCATGCATTTCCTATTTGCTTTTATTATTGTATGATTCCCTTGTTTAGAGAGTTATAAGTTGCTTTTATAATCTAATACTAATCATTGCGCTTGATAGAATATCTTAGCATTGTGGCCTCAAATTGCTCAGCAGCAATATCCACAAACAGCCCTGATGTGACTTAATATATGGTAATATCTGCTGGATGTGCAGTTTTCTTCTTAGTGCCTTTATGAGGATTCCACTAAATGGGGTAAACTGAAGTGGAGATGGGGCTTCCCTGTCTGGTAATATTTTCAATCCTAAACTAATGAAAAAACAATCCTTGCATTTTTCATCCTTTGAGTGAGACTTTAAATCAAGGTCCTATCTGCCTGTTCAGATGGATGTAAAAGATCGCATGGCACTCTACCAAAAAGAGAAGGGTGTTTCTCCTAGTGTACTGGCCAACAATCCCCCAAAACAAAATTGGTCATTCATTTCACGGCTGTTTGAGGCATTGTTGTGTGCAATTGGGCTGCCGCGTTTGCCAGAGTCACTTACTTCACAGTAAATCCTGTGAACCACTTTGAGACATCCTTACAATATGAAAGGTGCTGTGCTAAGTGCAAATATAAGTTTATTATTATATAGCATTTTATCATATTGTTGAGATGTCTCAAAATGCTTCGCAGGATAGTAGTGCAACTGTGAAAGAATCCTTTCATTTGTTTATAACCAATGTTGCTGTTTTAATCAGGCAACACATTAGTTACGCTGAGAAGCTAGGAGAGCACATTGGTTTTGTGACATTTTGTAATATAAAGAATTGTGCCACCCATAATTATAACAATATGCTACTAATGAAATAATATATTAACTGGAAGTATAATAAATGTAATGTAATAAACTCGAACTGCCGAAGATAATAACTTAAATGTTAATGACTAGAGATGGGAGGATGTCTCAAGTGCATATGTACAGATTTTAGCTGCAGATATAAGGATCTTAAATATAATACAAGGTTAACCCTTAGTCAAATAACAAGGCATTTTCATCTTTAAAATTACATAGATTTTCCTGGCCAACAATCCTGCAGATAAATTGCTATCACTTCATGGATATTTTTTGGACTTTGTTATTCACAAACTGGCTGCCATGTTTGCCTACAAAAGACATAGCAATTACACTTCACAGCAATTACTTGTGAATTGCTTTAAAATGTTTAGGTATTTAAAGGCACTATATCAAATGCAAGCATCATTAATTATTATAAATTAATTATTTATTATGAACAGAAAGTGATTCCCCAGGACAACTAAGACTGATTGTTGAGAAGCGCCATGATTCAGACAGATACATAATACAACCATTGCAAATGGATCCTTCCACTCAACCCATTCATCTTTTCAAAATAGGTATCATAATAGTGCTCTAAATTTCATAGAAAAGCAAGTATTAAAATTGATTTTGGGGAATAGGTTTGTGTTCTGATAGATCGTCTGATATAAGAATGTAAGATTAGAGATACAGTAGTATCTTTTTATATAGAACCAAGGTAAAAAATTGAGGCTCACCGTACCTTCAAAGAAGATCTTGAAGAGAGATGAACACAACCAGAGTGCCTTTTGCCCTTTCTCTGCACGAACCTATTCCAAGCAAAAGTTGGTCTCCACTACCACCTCCAGATACCAATAAGAATAAAAAATTGTGACCGATGCCCCTTTGTATCTTCCAATCAATACCCATGAAGCTGTTGCATATCAAGTTAAACATTAGTTTACATCTTGAGGAGATGGTACTAGAGGTCAAGACATTTGTAACCTTGCATCACTGGTGAGGTGGCAGTGGGAATACTCTTGAGTTTTGTGCACGGTACCTAAAAGGGACACTGATATGTTGAAGGCTGCTCAGAGTTGCAAGGCTCATTCTGGGAATTGGGATTCTAGCTTATGAAGAGCTCAACTCATTCTCACTGAAGTTTAAGGTGAGGCATGATTCAGAACTATAAAATACTGAGATATGGACTAAAAAGAACTAGATTAAAAATAGATTATTCAGACTACATTGGCATGATCTTTTTCCCTTATTATAAAATAATGAATATTTGACCGATTCCCATCCCAAACAGTTTTGTGTCTATTAACTCCCACAGAAAATGACTGGATTCAATGCATGGCTGGTGTTGGGGATTTTAGAGATAAGGTACAGACCCAGATGAACAAATACTCATTTGCACATATATCAATCTTTGTATGGATCAGGATCAGAACTAGCACACTTGTTCATTTTAAACAGATCAGTAAAAATAAAGTTCAAAGATGTTCTAGAAATAAGCATGAAACAAGATTGATGAAAATCAAAGAAGTGACCTGTGTGATTTTATGTATTATAAGACTCACTAACAGCTGGGCTTGGAAAAGACACAAATGCTCAGCGGGTGCTAACACTAGATCAAATGTGGACACTGAAATTAATTTTTAATCAATTTGTATTTGACATTCAGCTACACTGCATGACTGAGAATAAGAACTGGAGGCTGTACATTTTGGACTATTATCATATGTTTGATGATGTATTCCCATTTATTTGAGATGAAGGAAACCTTTGAATATATGCAGGGCTTTATTGATGATACGGCAGTGTGAAGAGCACATGGTATTTTTAGATCTTTACAAGAACGTTTACATTAACCTTGTGCATTGTACTTCCTCCAGGTTCAGCAATCCATTCATTCTATCCTGAGAGGTGCACCTTTCATTCAGTATGATCAACAAGCAACAGCATTAATCTCTGAAATACATTTCCATTATATTTACACATTGATCGCAGAGCCTAGTGATGTACAGCTCCCATCTTGCTGTGCATTTTGGCACATGATTAGCATCAATTCATGAGTCCTAGTAATGAACACCATCAACCTGCAGAGTTCAAAACATTAGGGCTTTCTGCCTAATTCAACTAAATGTGGTATCCTTTAGTAAACTTCAGACTATCTGCATGATGACTAACTTTAGATGGGACTCTCTCTTCGAATGGAGTGTTTACCCACCTTTTCTTTCCGACAGTATTAGGAAAAGACCAACACAGCAGTGGAACATTTTCATCCAGATCACATGACATGTGACTGACACACATGAAGAGTATGGTGTGATTTGTTACCCTTTTGTAGACATGGGGAAAATTAAATTATCTTTTTCCCCATTCAGTATGCATTCCTCTACACGTTATAGGGACTGGTTGGTCATCACTGAAAATCCTATCATCAAGGCTGAGCAATTAAAATCACTGGGCATTCCCGAACTAAACCAGGACATGCTGGATCACTGAGATGGGAGACATGAAATATTCATACTTTCAAAATCATTGTTTCAGATTTCTACAAAACTGATGACAAATTTCAAACTGTAAGGACTTCATTCCTACTCCATCGACTATCACAACATATTCAATTTAATTTGGTTGTTCATCCTTAGGAGATGAGCAGCTAGTGATTTCTGGAGAAAGGTCCTCAAAAGTCAGACAGCAATAACTCTTATTTCGTTTTGTTAAATACAAGTGGTATAACTAATGTTCAATGAAAAACTGAAATACAGAATTTAAATTGGGAGTGAGGGAGGAAAACCAAATTACTCACTTGTGGCTTCACTGTCTTTGATCACTGTGATCATTCTGTACATTCTGGATCTCTGGGCTCCCACTCAGCACCCTCCTAAAGTTAAAAAACATCCTAGAGGGACAGAGCCTTGAGAAAACAAATCCTTGGTTCTCTGAGGGAACGGTGGATAAATTAATTCAACTGAACTTTCTGAGTGTTGACGGGTTTGCTGAAATTTGCCGCAACATGCACAGTGACATGAAACCACTCAGTAACTGGGGAAACTGGGATCAGATCAACCTCTTCCTGCTCTCCTACCTCTCCAACAAACTTGCTGTTCATTGCGGCTCAATTAGCATAGCCCAGGCTCACCACTCGGCTTGGAGTCAGAGAACTAACATCAATGCAGAATATACTTCAGCTACACTTTTTTTTAATATATAGAAATGATATTTCAGACATGCATCCATAACAATTTATCTCAGAAACATTGATTGTTTTCTGGTGTTTTTAGTGTGGCTAAGTTTCATCTTATGAATTTTGTGGGCGTTTCACCCACAAAACATACAGTAAATTCACTTTACAGTATATTCTGTGAAGTGCTTTGAGATGACTAGAAGATGTGAAAAGCGCTATATCAAATGCGAAGATTATTATTTTATTATTAAGAGAGCAAAATTAGATTTTTTATAAAAATGAGTTGTTTTTGGCCTGAACTATTATTGTTCATGTTAAAGCAAATGTTTCATAAAAGTTTAATGTTTCTTCATGCATACTTATTGTTCATAATCTATTTTGATTGGATAAATCTAATTGGTCTTTCACTGCATTATCCTGTGTTTACAAAAGGGACCACACTCATTTGATGTTTATTCTCCTTCAACTAGCCCCACAACTAGATTGTGCTTTTATATATGTACATACAAAACATCAAACAGTCCAGTTAGAAAAAGAGTCATCTAAATAGCTATTTTGTTTGTTTAAAAAAATTAATCCACCATTGAATTCTCTGTGATTGTGCGACTGATACAAGGCTGTGCTCAGAAACTGTCAAAACTATGATCAACGTAAAACACTCAGTACAGTTCTTTTCCCTAGGTTTGGAACAATAATTACTGCATGCACTAGTAGCACTTCCAAAGCCCGTGGTTTGCACTTGGACACAGAGCTTCTCTCTTTTACTCTGAAGATCAACGCAGATGTCAGAGAATGGCACAGAAGAACTTTTTCTCTCTGAATGGGTTCTCGGAGGCAGGCACTGGGGTAATAAGCGGGTCGTCCCTGACATGGGCGTCACAATATGCCATCAGATCTGCTGCAGCCTTGGATACCTAGATAGGATCAAAGAAACATCACTAATTACCAGCAGTTTCCAAGGAGGCAACTGCGCTTGGGAAAAGGAGTCAAATAGCTGAACAACTACAGCACCCCACACAATAACACCCTGAATATTTTCAACATGACTGATAAAAAGTATAGAATGGTATCAGAGCACAATGTACAATAATATTTAATAACTTTAATATTTACTGGATAAGTAAGAACAGGTGAAATAATTCAGATATTTATTCTGAGGATTTTGAGTGCATGAAAATGGAGTGTGAAACAAGCTCATGGTAGATTGATTAGCCCAGAAGTGAGAAAATAATTCGAAAATCTGTGTTCAACAAGCAATATCACAAGTGTAATGCAGGGGGCATAATCATAATTACACATTTAATCCAAAGCAACTGAGCTGAAGACAAACATTTTTAGATATGTAACAAGCTGAAATGAAATTGTTAGTGGTAGCATTATGGGTTAGCAGTAGCCAAGTAGCACCCAGGACTACTGAGCAGGATAGAATGGATCAGCACCTTCAATTAATACAAGTCACAAGCTCTACCTGCCTAGATTTACAAACAGTTTCACCCACCATTCCTGTTAATGGCGCAGAAAAATATTAGATGGGGCACTCAATTGGCCTTGGCGGTCTGGGTTAGGTGGGAGGGGATTCAATCAGGCAGGGTCTCAGCCCTGAATACCACTCAGAATCCTCTGAAGGAGCTTGAGAGAGCGTGAGTGAGAGATAGAGAGAGTGTGAGTGTATGCAAGTCAGATGAGAAGAGTGCTGGGGTTCAGCCCCCACCCTGTCCCACCCCCACAGTCGAATAATCTGTTAAGACTCACTGTCAAGGCTCACCTATCAAAATAGCCACTTGGGTTAAATACCACCCATGAAACTATACACTAGTAGGAAAATAAATTGATCACAAACACTTTGAATGAGAGAGGAGGAAGGGAGAAATTAGATTAGATTAGATTTAAGTCTAACTTAGCTGGTCTTCATTTTCTTTAGGTGCCAGGAAATTAAAATCGCTTTACTCCCCGGCATCTCCCTACCTCTCTGACCTCCTCACTCCCCAATCCACCATTCAGCACCTCCGCTCGACTGGCACCGGCCTCCTGATTGTCCCTCACGCCCTCCGCTCCACCATTGGAGGTTGCACATTCAGCCATTACACCCTGAACACTCTCCTTCAGTCCCTCCGCCTTACCCCCTCTCTCCCCTTTTTCAAGTCCCGTCTAAAAACCTTCCTTTTCCAAGTCCAAGTCAGTGAAATATTCCTCATCCACAGCTTAAGATCAGTATGAGGAAATTGTACGCAGTACAGCCATGGAGAAAGAAATACATCTTGCACAAGAAGTCAACTCCTAATAGATAAGTGGGAGAAATCAAAACCCAATGCTGCTGCGCTCGAAAATGTAGTGATAGCTACACATCTGTCAGAATCGCAAATAATAATGTTTCAATTAACAATGCAAGTAGATTGCAGCCAGATAGCCTGCCAGTATTCCTGTGAGGCAAGCTATAATTACTTTGTAAGCTTTGGCGACAGTAGAAAAGCTTTATTATTAAAACCATTGCATCCAGTCATTTATTTGAGAAGATACGGTTCTTTTTGCAATATCACCAGGCAAACAGTATTCCTGACAGCATCATCATATCATAAAAATACATCAGCTAACAGCAGTGAGTCAGAGCATCAGGCGATGTTAAGGTTCTGTCTAGTGTATTCTGGTAATGTGCAAAATATGTTTATTAATTTACTTGATGCTCTTTTCAAGAATTTCAAAATTAGACTAAAAGCAATTGTAAATGTTTATTCAGCCCTAGGAGCTGTGTTTTCTGGGTTATACAATTATGTTAAGGTGTCTGGGCACATAGCAGCCAGCCTCACATTAAATAGGTGGATAAGATTAATGAGCTTGTTTGACAGGTATTGATAATATTCAAACAATTTTTTATTTTTTTACTGTCATGACATCCAAGGGAGCCTTGGAATAATCACTAAATTCACTGCTGTTCTATTCTGAATTGATCTCTTAAAGAACTAAACATGAATGGTTGCCCATGTTATATTTTCCCTCCTATGACTTTCCAAAATTGCCTCTGGTTAACTGTAGCTCTCCAGCATCACAAACAACAGAAACCTCACATTAAATGCCATCTGTACATTCTTTGGAGAAATTCGGATTGGAGAAATCCAGATTAATCTAATTCTTTTGAATAGAAGCTTTTGAAAAATTAAAAATATTATTCTACGAAATGTCTTGCAAATCCAGATCACATCTAGTAATGTCAGAAGATGCAACATGAGAACAATCATTTAATTATCTGTATCTGTTAAATATGTTCAAGCCATTAATGTTAAGCGCCATGGGACATCCTCCCGAGGTGAAAGATACTATATAAATGTAAATTTATACTGTATTGTTAAGCAGTTCACAGTATCAGACAGAAGGCAATGACGTGGAGAGCAGGCAGTTGTATTTCCCAGAGTATAGAAGGGCTTTATTAAAAACTATGAGCCCCAAAATACACTGCATACACTCTTTCAGCAGTTTTCATCTAAATTCCCCCTTTACCATTCTCCAGCATGACTTGAAATAAATTATGCCTGGAAAGTCAGCACATATTTGTATTAAAAATTAATATTTTGCTCATTTAAAACAATATGAGAATAGAGACTTTTACAGAGGGATTCACAAAATTTGCTTCAAAATGATTATGTGTAGGTATTAACATCATCACCTGGGAAAATAAAAATGCTGTGATTTATTTCCACAGGGATGAGCAAGGTGAAATTGCTTCTGTCTGACAGTTTTTTTTAGAGTTTCTGTACAGCTGTACTTACTGAACCCCAGCATCAACCACTAATAGGGCAGGCATTGGAAATGTGTAGATCACATTAGATGAGCCCTGTGCCACATCATACCCTCTGACCTCCTGTCTCATCAGACACAATTATACTGGAGTATAATTAAGCAAATGTTCCAATGAATTGCAATCACAGCCTATGTATTATACACAAATCACACATGGAGGAGCAGGTGACTTATGCTAAATAAACTACTCCAAATTTCAGCTACCTGATCTCCTTCATGGTAATTTTTGGATTTCAATCATTCTGCTGTTGGTAGATATCTAATAGACAGAAACGTCTCTATGGGGAGAGAGAATGAAAGCTACATCACAGATGTTGAGGTAAACCTGTCTTTTAATAATGTACCGTTTCTGGCACTGGACATCAGGCAAAAGAGGAACAGCATGAATCTCAGCTCTGGCAACACATGAATGTTGGCATAGATGTATGGAATACAGTCGAAGCGGAGCTAGACGGTTATTTTCAATGCTTGATGTTGCTCTTTGGTATAACCCCGGTATCACAAGGTAGAGCAGATTATTTATTTAATGTCTAACAAGATTCCTGTGGGTACAAAATTACTCACTTTTCCAGGAACTTTTCCAAGGTTAACATTGCAATCCTCAATGTATTATTGGTGCAGTAATTAACACATAATAAAACATAATCCTTGCACTTGATATAGCTCCTTTTACATCAGTCTCCAAACGCTTCTCAGGATTTACTGTAACGTGCAGTGACTGTATATTTTGTAGGCAACATCAAAGGGCATTACGGTCTAACATGATATTTGTGTAGGAGTGACTTCCTAGTGTTTCCTATACCTTTACCTCTCTGTATTTTATTGAATTTCCTTAAATATTCCCCCACCTACTATCATCATTTTCAACAGCAGCAACTTGCATTTATACAGCGCCCTTCATGCCAGATGGTGTCTAGGAGCGCTTAACAATGGTGGAGCCCGATACCGAGCCGGGGGAAGGGGAAGGTGACCGTAGCCAATTTACTCCTTTGCTTAATTTCATCCTCATCTTTAGTATTTTCGAATTCCTGGACATTGAATGGAGGAGCGGCAAGTCTATAGTAAACTAGGACGAACTCCATCTTTTTCAGGTTGAGATGAGCGACCTCCTGTCTTGAAATTTAACCGTCTTTGGTCTCAAGTAACCCTGTCATTGAATACAGCTCTAGTCCTCTTAATTCTCATGCTTGAACGTATGCAGCAGTTTAGTCAGCAATGACTGAACAGCTCTTAATCTTTTATTCTCTTGTAGTCAATCAGGGGATTCCCAAGACATTTACAATTCAGGAAACTCGTCTCCTTCGTGCAGATATCTGTGTTAATACCCTCCACTCTGTAATTAAGACTAGCAATGTAGAAATGACTCATAGTTCCTACATCATATGAAAATCAACTCTTCGGATTTTCAGGATGCATCACGTTTACCAGTCAGTTTAAATGCTATAATATAGTGTGAGACTGATAAACATCTTAAAAAAGGCACCTTTAATTGTCAGGAGAGAATTACATGCTGAATATCGTAAACTTCTTTAAGGAAAATTCTCCAGAAGTATTTATATGATACAGATTTCTTGTGTTTCAGTACAACACTCTTCAACTAAACAGTATAAGTCACTCTTATTACAAATATCATGTTTTGGAATCAGTGATGTCCTGTGGAGCATTTTTTACTGTGTCTCAGGATGTGGACATCAAGGGGCCAGCACCCTTGGTTGCCCTAAAAAGGTGGAAATAAATATCATTGGTTTAATCAGCTCAGACAAACTGTGGGTGCTGTTTGTTGTACAGCAGCATCTTTTATCAGCCATGCATGTACATAACCCACTCTAGAGGCTTTTGCACGTTATGCTGTATTTCTATTACAAACACAAATATTTCAATTAAAAGTATCTCAGCAATATCCTGAGCTTTGTGGAATCTACAGTTTATACTGTGAGATGATAGATCTCACAATACCAGTGGTATATCAATTAAACAACTGCATTTGAAGTATGTTTGTAGCAGAAGCTGACACAAAACTAAAATAGTTATGGTTACCTTTATTCTGTCCATGCAAGCTTCCATCTTCAGCTGCTCCACTGCTTTCCTGGCCTGTGATATGCTGGCTGTGCTGTTGTTAGACATCTTTACTCTCGCTCTGTAAACCTTTAAATCAAACCAAACATAGTGAAACTAACATCAACAATGAAAAAATAACCTACAGTCTAACAAAACATTTCCCTAAAATTACTAATTCCTCAGACTTGCCCCTTCCCTGTGACTTGGGTTTGAACTCTGCCCAGACCGTTAGTGCTGAAAGTCTCTTTCTTCTCGTGATACATACAAATGTAACTCAATTCTTAATGATCTTGTAGCTGTTTTCAGCACTGCTGAGCAGATGCTTATTTTAATAAATCCTGTCTTGTTGGTTATTGCAAAATCTCTCTAATGTCTGGAAACCACTGATATTTCCCCAGAGTAACAACTCACCTATTGCCCTAAATCCTATCTAGATGTACTTTCAATCGAGTACTTGCCAGTGTCTTAAGGAATTCAGATTTTTATACGTATGGAGAGACAACAGGAACTAATGAGACTCATAATAAACGGGATATTTATCTGAATAATGCCAAAGCATCTGTACAGGTGGTAACTCAAATGGTACACAATATTGAATAATCTACAAACATCATCAACTATCTGTTCTCCAATGGCTCATTGTGAAACTTAATAATAATTCTTGAATTTGACATAGCGCCTTACCACGTCATTGAGACGTCTCAAAGCGCTTCACAGAATCTACTATAAAGTGAGTTGACTGTATATTTTGTGGGCGAAACACGGCAGTCAATTTCTCACAACAGTGTCCCCACAAACAGTCGTGGATTGAAGTGACTAATTTATTATGATTTTTTTTGAAGGAATTATTACCCCCGGAAAAGTGATCCGCCAACCGTCTAACAACCGGGTTCCTACTTACTGCTAGGTAAACAGAGGTGTGTGGAGTAAGGAAACTTGCCCAACATTTCGCCCTGACGGGAATCGAACCCAGGTCTCGCTTGCGAGGCAAGTGCGCTAACCACTGAGCTCCAGGAAACTTATCCATACAGACCAGGAAGGTCTTGATTGTCGGCTGGGATCGGGACTGTGAAAGGCCCGATCTGAGGAATTTGATCCGCCCTCACAAAAAGAATAGAGAACTATCTTGAGCCCTATGGCTTTTCCTGGGCGAGAAAGCCCATCCAGTCGCTTGCTTGGGTGGTCATGACAAAAGGAATCGAGTTTGCATCGTCCTTTGACGATTTGGGACCTGGATTACTTGGTGGGGAAAGAGCTGTCTGGGGGATTCCTGTTTGAGGAACGCAATTGGGTCTAATTCGATTCACTGGGGTGTGGGAAGGGTGAGTGGGGCTTAACCCTGCTCACAAATAAATAAAAAATCTGGATTGGGGAGGAAAATAAATCAACAACAATAACAACTTGGATTTATATAGTGCCCTCCACGCCGGACGACGTCTCAGAGCGCTTTACAGTAATGGATCCCGGGACTGAGCCAGGGTCTTAGTCCTGACGGCTATGTTGTAAACCCGGCTAAACGAACTGCACATGTGGTCCTTGGGCACAGAACGGATTGGGCTCAGCTTTGATGTTCTTCAAAGTTGTAAAGTTTGACAATAATTAACATCCAGACTTACACATTGCGAATGGCCAGCTGGATGACATTCCTGTCAATCCAATAGGTAATGGTCACAGCTGTTTTGTCAGTCTTGAATTCTGATAGGATTTTTTTGTTTAAAAATAGAGCAGAGAGTAGATCCCAATGCAACACATGATCATGAGTACAGAATTAATTACTTCACGCATATGTGAATGAGGTGCCCAGGGAGGTAGTGAAGGCAGATTGTGTCAGCAGATTCAAGAGGGAATTAGATAGCTACTTGGCAAATAAATCAATTGAAAATAATGAGGAGTTGTGGAGGAATTGTTCCCCTCCACTTTGGGACTGTCCAGATGGACTGAAGTGTTTTTTTCCCTGGACTTGTACATTCCTGTGCTACAGCCGTATACATCACTTGATCTATTGTAATGAGTTTGTGGTGTTTCTTTATCTTTGAAAAACAATGACAATGGAGCCTCAAATGACCACAGTAAACATTTATGTAAACTATAATATAAATTGTAATCATTTCTACCTTACGCTCCGAGTAAGGTAGTAAGGTACGGCCTGCTAGTCATTTACCCTCTCTTTATGGGCACCGAATAATAACCTGCCCATCCTGATGTATCAAATTACAGTAGCCAGAGAATAGTAAAACAATAACCCTCTTAAGAGCCTTGAGCACTTAGCCTCTTCCATTCCAATTCTGCTATAATCTGACCAGGATATGATAACTGGCAGACAAATCACAATGTGTTATGTAAATGTTCTGAATGAGTAGTACACCCAGAATATATAGTTACAAGTGGATTTCTCAATCATAAAATAGTAATTCAAATTCCATTCATTAGTGTAGCAGGTGGAATTGATGGAACAACAGAACGCTGTACCTTTGCACACTTATAGGACATAAATTTCAACAATGATCCACTCGAGAAATCAGAACATATAACCTGTGGCTGCTTAATGTAGCTGAGAGTACATCAGAGCACCCATAGTGCTCAGTCCTCGGTATCCGCAGTAACATCAAAATCCACAATAGAATTTGAGTACATGCCTTTCTACAATTGATGCTTTTGTTCTGATAACTGCAAGGTATCATGTCTTGGTTAGATTTATATCTCTATCTCTGTAAACACTCAGATCTCCAATCCTACATTTTAAGTTTTCTTAGGTGGCATAAACTTCTTATCCTGCAAATTCATTAATTTAGGGCCCTTAGCCTTTGCGTTTTGACAAATCGAGGTACTCCTCCTTTCCCACGTGCTGGCAGTTGACTGGAAGAAAAGTGCTTTCCCTCAGAGACTGAGACAGTCAGCCCACTGTAAATGGTAAAACAAGAGCAGTGAAAAAGGGCTGGGAATCAAGTCATTTGTCTGCTTTTATGGTCAGGTAGTGGTTTGTGAAGCAGATCACTTAAAACAGGAAAGGAGAAGCAGAAAGTAATACAAACTCAAAGCGTTGATTCCTGGTCAACAGTGAATTACCTGGTCTCAAACAGGGTGGAGTAGGATGCTACAAATGACACTCGGTTCACAAATGGATGAGGAAAAAGAACGCAATCACCATCTGTCGAATTTCACCCAACATAAGTCTGTCTCCAAGAGAAGAGAAAAGGGAAGTAAAATTAGGGAAAGTAGGTGAAAAACAAGGCTAATATTCCCTTGCTGGCTCAGTTTGTAAAGTAACTGTCCAGTTGAAATTCAGTAGGAAAGACTCCGGATATCCCAGCTCTGTGCTGAATTAGCTGGTCACAGCTGGAGTGGGGCTAGGGGTGTTGCAATTACTCTCACTGCCCCTGAGCTAGAAAAGTACGAGGAGAAAAAACATTCAGGGTTCGTTCCCACTCCTGATTGCTACGCAGTGACTTCTTTTGCAAAGAGTTCACAAAGACATTGCGTGTGGGACAGGAGAGGGTTTTGGCTTTGATACTCTTTCACGATTGTGTAGCCCAGATACGACTCAAACACATGAACATTAGGCAGTTTGGTGAGCTATTGGAGCCTGTAACTGAAAAATCCTTCGTCCCCCTAAAAATATAATTTGCATTTAAATATATATATATACTTGTACTTCTCAAAATCCTCATCATAGCATTCAACCCACTCAGTGTTCTGATGTAATCAGGGATTCCTGCTGAGTGCTTTGAATGCTGATGAGAAACTTCTTATAGAGGAATGACGTTTTGTATCTGTCCTTTGGAGATGGCTGAAGAGAAAAACAACTTGCATTTTTATAGTGCCTCATCATGTCCAACTGTGTCAAAGCACTTCAAAGACAATTACTGATGATTGTTCTGGCTACTTGTGTAAGCAAGCCTGACAGCCATTTGTGACAGCAATTTTACCTGGATCAATTTTAGAAATGCTTCTTTGTAATAATTAACTAGTCAGTTATGGTTTTCCCATTTATTGGACCAGAATGATTTTTTTTTAAACAAAATTGATTTTGAATTTAAGATGTAGCAAGGCACTTTCATATTTGTTTTGGTCAGCTGGGAATCTGACAGATGCAGTAACCCATCACTGTGATATCCAACTCAAACGGAGTTCCACATTTGGATGGAAATTCCTGTGTCTGGAATGTAATACACCTTTTCACTGTATCTAATGTGCAAGTTTCTGTTATCTTCACATTTCTCAGCCCTCTCCACATCGGTGACTAGAGATTTAATAATTACTGTCAAAGATTATTTCAAACATGAAGCAACAATTTCAAAGGAAACATCTGTCTTTGGTTCTCTTAAGTAAGGAGAAGCAATTAGCACCGCAGGGAAGCTGAGTACTGATGAAAAATTGCTTTCTGGGCGTGCAGCTCTGCTGAAGTCTTCCATTAGTTTTTGTTCTATTCCTTTTATGATAATCAGCATGTCAAGCATTCTGCTCAAAATACATTGTGTGTTGATTTCTTGCTGAGGATTGCTCAAATGTAATAATGGTAATGTAACCTAGTTATTTTACAGCAGCTAGCACAGCTAAATGGTCACTCGTTTACATTCATTTACCACTTTTATGTAAGTAGAATAGTTAAAACTATTTAATTATCTTTTTTAATGTTACATAAATAATAGTTATTAAATTGTAGATAGACTGTATCTGGATAATTGTCCTTTGATCAAGGTGGTCCTGCATGTACTGAATCTGAAGCTTAAATACATCCCCACTCACTGTTGCAATTGTGCTCATCTAAATTGATCTCTTTGTTGTATGTTGTACACTTCTGTGGAAACTGGATTCTTCCACTCTCTAATAAGTCAATCACTGAAGCCTGGCAATACAATATTACATCTCAGTAGAGATGACAAAAAGTCAAAAGGTATTGAACTATCTGTTGGGCAAACACAATCCTTCGAGCAACTGCAGACACAGCTGGGAAGTGCATGTCAATGCATTTGACATTCTCAGATTGATCTGTTATCTCAGAAACACAGAACGAAGATTGGGTGACACGTCACATGTTTTGAATACAGTCCATTCACCTCTGTGAGTTAGTTTTGAATTAAGATCGGATGTCAGCCCTGCTCAGTTGGACGCACTTTCTCTCCTCTTGAGTCAGAAGATTGTGGGTTCAAACCCCACATCAGGACTTCGAACTCAAATGACCTAGACTGACAATCCAATACAGTAGAGATATGCCGCATTGTCAGAAGTGCTGTCCTTCAAATGAAATAAACCAAGGTTGCGCCTGCCCATTTAGGTGGACGTTAAAGATCCCATGGCACTGCTCAAAATGAGAAGGGATTTTTACCTTGCAACCAACAATTCCCTAGATAAAATATTCATCCACTTCATGGCTTTTTGTGGGACATTGCAGTGCGTAAATTGGCTGCCATGTTTGCCTCCAGAATAGTCACTAGATCACTACACTTTACAGAGAAACCTGTTAAGTCCTTTGAGGCATCCTCCTAACATGAAAAGAACAATATCAAATGCAAATATTGTTGTATTATTAATAAAATCTCAAAATCTGCTGGCATTTGACACAAACCAGGCTGGGCAATTTCAATACAATTCCCAAATAAGCATGAGGCAACTGCATAAAGATAGCCTTTAATGTGGCAGGAATTCTGTGTTTCATTGTTCTTTTCCTCAAAAGCTCACTAACAGCAAACGTAAGTGTAACTTGTTGTTTCCTGTGGCTTTTATTTTTCATTATTAAAAGCAACATATTCATCCATATACATTATGTTTGGACAAAACAAACAAAGAAACATGGACTTCTGAATACCTATAGCGTCCAAACACGGCTGAAAATTGTCAGAGCTGCCACATTATATTACAGTAAGAGGGAACAGAATGTGGTCGCTCTGAGAATTGTCTCTGAATCAGAAGGTTGTGGGTTTAAGTCCACTATCAAGACTCATACGGTCTCTGCTGACTCTCCAACACATTGCTGAGAGTGTGCTACATTGTTGGAGGTGCTGTCTTTTGGTTGAGACGTTAAACCAAGGTCGATTCTGCCTGTTCACGTGGACATTAAAGAGCCTTTGGCTGTATTCAAAAAAGAGAAGGGAAGCTTCTCCCAGTGTCCTGGCCAACAATCTCCCAGTTTGCCTATAGGAAATCCAGGCAGATCGTATTTAAAAATATAGCCTGCAAGTTAGGATTCTCCTTTCCAAAGTTCACTAATTGTCTCTGATTCACAAATTTGCTCAAGATGCTTAATCTCTCAGATAACAGCTATAAACCACCATTCACATTTTCAAGACTGAACTGGGTAAATATTTTTTAGGTCAGAGTATTAAGAGATATGGGCCAAAGGTAATTGGAGTTGAGGTACAAATCAGCCATGATCTTAGAGAATGTTGGAACAGGCTCAGGGGGGCTGAACTTCTGTTTTTATGAGATCAGTAGCAAGTGATCACTAATGTACTTGTATCAACCGCAGAACAGTACAGAAGCTGAAAGCCTTGATGAGAACCAATATCGTCAATTGTGGGGCCCAACAGATACATACAACACAATTCTAATTTGAATCTTGCCAAGTACTCAAGGTCTTTATTATACTACACGTCTGCTGCACTGGCATTCCTACCATTCTGGGTGAACACTTTTGACCACTGAATGTCTCTTCTGCAGTCGTCATCTATTTCTGGTGTTTTTTTTTTTGGTCAGCTGGGTGTGGGACACATGCGGAAATCCATTACTATGCTTATCCAAACCAAAGTGAGAATTCCATGCATCTCGCTACACATACAATAGAGGAGGCCCATCATGTCTGTGCCAACTCTTTGAAAAGAGCTATCCAATTCAATCCCACTCCCTCCCTGCAAACTTGTCCTACCCAAATAATTATCTACTTCTCTCTTAAAGGTTGTTATCGAATCAGCTTTCACTGCCCTTTCAGGCAATGCATTCCAGAGCTGAACAACTCGTTATGTAAAAAAATTTCTCATCTCCCCTCGATTTCTTTTGACAACTATTTTAAATTGGTGTCCTCGGGTTACCGCCCCACCCACCAGTAGAAATAGTTTCTCCTTGTTCACCCTATCAATTTTTTGAAAACTCATGATTTTGAAAACTTCTATCAAGTCTCCTCTTAACCTTCTCTGCTACAAGGAGAATAATCCCAGCTTCTCTAGCTTCTCCTGATAACTGAAGTCCCTCATTCCTGGTACCATCCTGGTAAACCTCCGTTGCACCCTCTCCAAGGCCTTGACATCCTTCCTAAGGTGTGGTGCCCAGAACTGAACACAGTACTGTAGCTGAGGCATAACCTTGTTTTATAAAGGTTCATCATAACTTCCTGACTTTGGTATTCTATGCCCCTATTTATAAAGCCTAGTATCCAGTATGCTTTTTTTTTTTAAACAGCTTTATCTACCTGTCCTGCCACCTTCAAAGATTTGCTTGTGTGAACACCCAGGTCTCTCTGTTCCTTCACCCCCTTTAAGATTGTACCATCAGCTTATATTGCCTCTCCTCAATCTTCCTTCCAAAATGCATCATTTCACATTTCTCCACATTAAACTTCATGGTCCAAGTCCATTTGCAGTCTGCTTCATCCATCCTCTCCGTTACTTCATCAAAAAACTATCAGGTTTGTCAGACATGCACTCCACGTGCACATGCACTCCAAGAGTGACTGAGTTTGCTCTGCATTTCTCCCTCGTCTAATCCCTTTTTTGGGGAATTACTCATTACATTGCTATTCGCCTCCCCAGCCTTCTATGTAACTTGTTTGTCCTCTCTAATGCTACATCCCGATTCCCTTCCCACCTCAAAATTAGTTTAAACCCTTCCCCACAGCACCAGTTAACCTCCCTGTGAGGAGATTGGTCCCAGCCTTGTTCAGGTGTAACCCATCCACCTTGTACAGGTCCCACCTGCCCCAGAACTGGTCCCAGTGATTCAGGAACCTGAAGCCCTCTTTTCTGCACCATTCCTCAAGCCATGCATTCATGTGTTTGATCCTGCTGTTTTGATACTCACTTGCACAAGGCACTGGGAATAATCCAGAAATCACCACCTTTGAGGTCCTACTCTTTAGCTTTTCCCCTAGCTTCAGATACTCTCCTTGTAGGATCTCAGCCCTTTTTTCCCTACATCATGAAAACCAATATGGACCACGACTTCTGGATGTTCTTCTTCCCCCTGTAGAATGTTTTGCACCCACACCATGATGTCTTCAACCCTGGCACCAGGGAGGCAACATGCCATGTCTTTGGTTGCAGGAATGCCTGTCTACTCCTTGTGTCCCCAATGACAATTGTATTGATATTTTCCCTGTGTCCTCCTATGCATCCATTTTCGTTTGACTCCCCTCCCCAGAGGTGTCATCCTCCTGACTGGAATTCAGTACAGAGAACCGGTTTCTAGTACTACACTCTCAAGGGATTTCTGCACTGCCCGTCCCCTCTTTCTACCATGCTGGGTGAGCACCCACTCGTTCTCCTTCTGAACCTTTGTGACCATGGGGTGACCACCTCCTGAAATGTTTGATCCATGAACTCTTCAGCCTCCCGTATGCTATGCTGTGACACCAGCCTCTCCTCAAGCTCAGAAACCCTGAGTTCAAGCTCGAGCAGACGGAGGCATTTCCTACAAACGTGTTTGTCCAGGGCACACAAAGCATCCTGGAGTTCCCACATGGCACACATTGTGCATTCAACTGGTCTCAGCTGCCCTGTCATATTCCCAGATATTTTTTTTTAATAGCTATTACATATTTTATAATTATACACCTCTTTTCCCCTTCTGCACCGAATTCCCACTCTCACCAAATTCCTTAACAGAATTCTCACTCTGTTCCACCTCACTCAGTTCCCTCCTCACACTGCTGGGCCCTCTCTTGGAATGGAATGTACACTCTCTCCCTGGAGGGACGCATCCTGCTTACCTAAATCCGGAAAGTATTAGGCGCAGGTTGGCAAGAGGCTTGGGCGCTGGGTACTGTTGGAGTCTAACCAGCTAAAATTGCATAGCTTGCCATGGATGTTGATTTGAAGGGCACTATCTGGGAAGAAGAGGCGGTGAGGGATATTAGTATAGAAGGACTTATGAGCAGTAAAGAGTTTATGAGCATAAAATCTGGAATTGGCAATGAATGGTATCAGAGGAAGGGTGAGTGTAAAGATTGGACACGAGTCCAGAATATTTAAATAGTTTATTGGGCCAACACAGGAGTAAACAGACAAAGAACAACAATTTGCATTTATATAGCACCTTTATGTGGGGTAGCATCTTGGAGTGCTTAAAGCAGTTTGTGTTTGTGAATGAAGAGTAGAAACTAGAAACAGGCAGTGCAGGGGATAAGGAATGAACGAGATTGGAAGTAATGGGAGGAAGAGCTACTTCCATTCTCACAACTGAATTCTTTCAAACAACAAACCGCTCACTATTGCAAACTTGCCTTTTGTAAAAACGTATCTGTGATAATAACACTTTGCCATACATCACATATTTTTTACAATGAACAGAAATGCAAACTCCTGATCGGGTTTTGGCAGATCCAGAAGAAAAGTAAAATAAGATGCCCTATGCGCATGTAAGAACTTCTGACCTTTATATATATACTGTATTTTGTAAACCAACAACAGCAACTTGCATTTATATAATGGCCTTCACACGGGTACTGTTGGAGCGCTTAACAATGGTATAGTTTGATGCTGAGCGGGGAGAATAGGGAGGTTGGCATAGTGGAAGAGGAAAGTCTTCAGATATGATTGGATGATGGGTAATAAACGGGGCAAGGCAGAAATCAATCAACCTGGTGGCCCAGCAGGCAAGAACATCAATACACAACATCAGAGTGGGAGGACACGGGGAACCCAACAAGTCACGACACGGTGTATCGTCCAGCTTCTGTTCATCTTACAGTAGTGCTTCACAGCATCATCATCCTGTGACAGGGAGCAAGTCATCCATCATCTTTGTCAGGGCATGAGGGAGTGGAGAAAATATAACAAAGAACTAAAAATGGAATGGATCCTATAATCATTCCTCAATCTGAATGTCTGCTCTTAGCCAATAGAAACTTTGATCTGAATAATTGGATAATATGCATCATGCAGGAGGGAACAACAAGAAAGACAAAACCATACCAAAAGGGTAATAAACAAATCTCGATCATTGCTAGCTTATGATTCAAGATCATATGATTAGCTTATGATTTAAAATTACCTATTAAACTAACTGTTAAAGCTGCAGACTGGTACAATTTATTACATGAACCTCAATAAGCACAATTCCTGTTCATATTGTTACAAAGGTGCTATTTGAACACCTCCAGATAAATACAGGGGAAAATAGAAAGGTAAAGTTACTCTGCCTTAAACAAAACGAGTACAAATTTAACATAAATCCGGTTAAATAAATAACCTTTATAGGTGTGGAGATATTATAAAGATCTGTGTATGAATTTAATCATTAAAAAAGCATGTTTTGTTGGTTCCATCATTAAATTATAACTACTGTTAAAATGCACTTAGAACTGAAGCTGTGTATCATACTTCCTTGCTGTGGTAAATATTAAAAATTAGGGAAGCAAATAATATTCTGCCCAAGTATTGAAGGAAATACTAGGTTAATAGCCTGAGAGCTGGGTTTAAATGGAGTTCCTCACTGACTGAAGGGCTTCCCTGCCTGGCATCTGTGAGGGTGCCGTGGATGAGTTTGTACGGTCTCAACCCAGTTCCCAGTGGGTGTGGGTTCGCAGCACAAAAGTGCTTATAATTTGGCAGTAATAACAGCAATCCATTCACAGAGGCCACAGGTCTGGTTGGTATGGAAACTGGGAAAAGATCTATTGGTTCAGAAGGGAGTGCTTTTATGAGGTTGAGAAAGGCAGTTTATTGTGCAGAGTAGAGAGCTTTAATCTGCATCTGACTGTGCCATACTGGTCCAGGATGTCACAGTTGCCAACACTGGGTGGGTGCTAACACTGGGTAAATATTTCACTCGCCAACATTGACATCAATCGATCGGACAAGCAGAAAATTCACAGTTATTTAAAAGCAAACAAACTGAGCATTTACATTAAAGCATTTTAAATGTCTTTACTCCCAACACAGCTTCAATTGATCCCGACTACCTTCTGTTGAATTTATTCAATTATATCAATAAATACGATAATGCTACAATAATAGCGTGAGAATAAACGTAATGCTGAAGCTGATAATGGAAAGGACAGCAGCATTTCCAATACTTGAGAATCTCAAACACAAGAAAACAGAAGTTGTTCAATGTGCAGATAAAATGTCCACCAAAAATCTCATCACTTCCCCAGATCTCCACATCTGTTTTTTCCAATGAGAAAATGAGCATTTTTCAAAAAAATCATGCACATTTGCCTGATAACCATTAGTTAATACTAGATTTTATGATGCATTTGAAAACTGATGGGAAATGAAGCAAGAATTTCAATAGTTTGCGACTCCCCCTCCCACCCAATTTAAAATGATTCTGAAATATCTCCTACCGTGTAAGGTTTGGAATGAATGAAAACAGGATTTATTTAAGGTAATCTGCGCATTGCTGCTCTCAGATAGGCTGAGAAACAGCAATATTGGACAAGAAGATAAACCAGCAACACAGCAGATATTAGTCAATGGCTTTTCTTTAAGAAATAACTTACCCGGGTTTCTGGTGAGGAGGTTTTTGTTCCCCAAACTGCTGTTCCTCAAACAGAAAGTTCTAAAGCAGCGTTGATCTTTAGAAATGACATCAATACCCTGCAAACTGCAGTCCATCAGGCCCCATCTATTCAGAATTTCTCAGACATGGGAATGGACATTTTCTGTTTCACAGCAACATGCTGCTCTCTGCTGTAAATAAAAGCAAAATATTCTGGAAGTGCAGTTTTTTCTCACTCGCTCTACAGCCTTATTGGCCCTTTCGGAGTATTTTGAGACCAATCTTGACCAGCTTCTGATGAACAAGAAGATGCAGTAAGATCCTTTCAAGTAGGGGGAAAACCACATCAGAGAATATTCCAAATGTGGCTTCAAAAGAGGGGTGCCTTGTGCTTGTGCACCGCAAATGTGAGGTCAGTCATTCTGGTGAAAGCTTTTATTATTTTAAGTGCTGTATGCACAGTGGAAGTGAGGCATCTGTTCTTTGGCAGCATATGCAGAATACCAAGAACAAAGATATTGGCAGGATTATTTGTATAAAGGGCTATAGTGCTCCCTTCTGAGAATGAATTGGCTCTTTACATTAACTGCATTATAAGTGCATTGTGAATGACGCTATCACAACTGCTTTGTGGCCTTCTTGGTTTTCATGTAGGTTTCTGTTTGAAGCAGGTGTGGCTGAAATACATTTTTTATACAAAGTGAACCAATCTGGACACGAAACTGGATGCAGCACATAATACAGTAGTTACGAATGCCTGGTATGTGTAGGTAATCTGTTACCCCTTTCCTTACATTCCATCAGCCACCTTGTCTTTAACACAGGCTTTCAAAATAAAATTATTTCTTTCCTTTCCATATTTAGTGATCTCCCCACCCCCCATAATGTTTCTAGCATTTTTTTTTACAGGGTGGTTTAATAAAATGTTGCATTTTTTTAATTACACAGTAATTTCAGACTAACCACTGTTCAACTGCAAATTTTTCTGTCTAAAGTCAGGTGAGAGCTGGTTTAATTGATCATCTGGGATAAGTGACAATGTAGCAGGCATATTCGGTTTCAGACTGACTGCACATGAAAAAAAAGTGGGTCAAGCTGCTGAGTGGAGAGGTAATGAATTAACCCAGCTGAACCCAGAACAGCTATTGCCCACTCTGCAGTCAAAGATTACCGTTGTGTTGATGGCTTCTGTTCGACCTCACCTTGCCCGAGTGGAAACACAAGAGAAATAAAGTGGACACAGAGAGATGTGCTTTGATTCACATCAAAACACCATAAGAAAAATACTAAATCACACAGCCCTAGATGAAAAAAGAATAGTATAGTAAACAAAGCTTGCAAACCAAGACTGCAACAAGCTGAGTCACTGGACGTAAAGTTAAGAGCAGAATGAGGAATTGGCTAATTCCCCTTAAAGCGATGAGGTACTGAAGCCTGAGTGAAACTAAGTCAATTATTGAGCTTTTCCTGGGTCAGTGAGTGTCCCAATTTCCGCACCGCTGCCCAGGATAAAACGATAAGCAGTCCAAGAACAAGAAGTTCTCATGTTTCAAAATATCTTTCATGCCTTAGAACCAGGATCACTCAACAATCTGCAAAACAAAGAAAACTTTCTGTTCTCTCAATTTATTTTTGTTTAAAAGAAAGATTGGGGAATAATTACAGTATATTTCAAATTTGTACCGCAAACAACAACTACTCTTCAAGCCTTTTCAAGTGGTGCCATAGTGACAATGATCCAGTGCAGTAAGTAACCCAATAAGTCTAAAAATATCTATTCTCACCTAAATACATTTACAACTCTTTTATTTCTCTTCACTTTACCTCCATATTAATTTGATGATATTCACCTCATGGCTGTTTGCAAGACTGCTTGTGCAAGTGGGTGCTGTGTTTGCCTACAAAAATTTTCATTGCACTTGAGAGAAATTATCTGTGAAAAGCTTTTGAGGAATTTCAATGCCACAAAGTGCTATAAAAATCCAAGTTCTTCCTTTCTTTTCAGCACATCTCTTTTTCTTTTCACATTTCATTTCCTAAGAAGCCATTCCAACATAAATAAGGTTCCAAAATGATAATAATCCTTGCATTTGATACAGCTGCTTATCACACCGTTGAGATGTCTCAAAGCGCTTCACAGAATATATTGTTAAGTATATTGACTGTATTTTGTGGGCGAAACGCGGCAACCAATTGTGCACAGCAATTTAAATGAAACTAATGGTAAGTTTGAAAGAGACAAAGATTGTGGAATAAAGCAGAAGATTATCTATATATAAATAACATGGCTTCACAAGGGGCAGATCATGGTTGTCAACCTGACCTTTTTGAAGAGGTAAAATCCCAGATGGGTAGTAGAAAGTGAACGACATAACGTAGCTCGTCTTCCAAAAGGTCTTTGGTAGAGTAACACCTGAGAGATTTTATTGATAAGTTAATGTCAGTGTGCGTCAAGGGTAAGACATCAACATACATTAGTAACTGATCAAAGTGATCCAAACAGAGGGTAGCTGTAAGAGGAGGCGTAAATATACTCCGGTGCCTCAACAGCCTTGATTGGGTCCCCATTGCCATGAAACATGGGGAAAATTTAAAGAGTTGAACCATAATTAGGGGCACTAATTAAATTGACAATGAATTGACAAACATTGTTATTGCAATGATAATATTGGTTTAGTTCACTAATATTATTCTCTGATTTCATCTAAATTTTCTCAAAAGTGGGTGATTCTTATTTCGCCAGGATATTCACATCCTCCGATTCTGTTGCTCGTGAAAAGTTTTTTTTTTGTCAGTTGAGTATCTGACACGTGAGGAAACCAATCGCCATGCTAACAAGTATCCAAAATAGACTTGACATATACGTGCCATCTACATATTAAAATGTCCCTGTTTGAAATGGAGTGTGCACACCCTGCTTACCTGGAGGGATGTGATGTACCCCATTTACCTAATTCTAGAGACTGATGGTAAGAACCAATGTCTGGGTCCCTAGAGCTTCACTGGGGTTCAGCTGGAATTTATTCAGCTAAAACTGTGTAAAGTGCCATTGTGAGCACTATCTGGTAAATTCCCTGCTGCTTGTCGAGCCGGGACCCTGTCAGCATTGTCAAGGTTAACAGATTCTGAGTGGGAAGAATCCATGCCTTCAGTGGCTGGTCTGCCCCAGAAAGTCCTGCCAACAAGCTAGGCTGGATGGATGGTCATCATCAATGTCTTGGGAGTACTTCCCCCCCACAAACCCCCACCACCTCAAACATAGGGAAATTTTCAAGGGAAAGTTTTCTTTACACAAATCAACAGTTAAAATGACTTACCGGAAAGGGTATAGTTGAAGCCACAAGAATCTACTTTGCCTCCTCCAGAATCTACTCCAGGTCCCCCAATGTTCTATCAGCTTGTCTGGCAGACATCTGGGCCTGGATGAGGGCAAACTTCCTGCCGCTGTGGACAAGATGGAAGCCATACTCCTTGGCTCCCGTCAGCGTCTTCACTCCTGCAGATCTGAACTCCTCAACATCCCTGGGCTCTGACTCACCTTGCACAATCTAGGCACCCAGTTCAACCCCCAGCTGTCCTTCCTCCCCCACATCCGGTTCCTGACCAGGACCGACTTCTACCACCTCCACATTGTCCACCTCTGACCGTATCTTACCCCAAATGCAGCTGAAACCTTTGTGCATGTTTGTCACCTCCCACCTGGATTACTCAAAACGCACTCCTCAATGGTCTCCCCCAGCTCCATTATTCAAAAGATCCAGCTCATTCAGAACTCTGCCACCCGCATACTTATCCAGTCCAAACACCTTACCCACATCTCACCAGTTCTGGCCAGGCTCCACTGGCTCCCCATCACTGAACAGATTGACTTCCAAGATCCTCATACTCGTGTTCAAATCCCTTCACTCCTTAGCAGCTCCCTATTTCTCCGACCTCCACACTCACCACTCGGCCCCTCCGCTCAACTGGCACCGGCCTTCTGCTCGTCCCTCGCACCCTCTGCCCCACCATCGGAGGTTGCGGTTTCAGTCACTACGCTCCGAACCTCTGGAACATTCTCTCTCAGTCCCACCGCCTTGCCCCCCCTCTCCCCTTTTTCCCAGTCCCCCCCACGAAAACCTTCCTCTTTGACTGTGCTTACAGCCACTTCCCCCCACCACAGCCTCGGAGTCAGGCTCCGCCACTGTTAAGTGCTCTGAGATGCTACTCTACGTGGAGGGCACTGTATAAATGCAAGTTGTTATTATGTGGCTAAACTCTACTCCAAAGATTGTGAAGTAAAGCTTTGGTAGTACAAATTACATTTTTTTGAGAGCATATTTACTTGCTAACTCTCTACCCTCACTCCGTCACTGCTCACATCCCCCAAAGCTCTAAGCTCTCTTCTCGACTCTTACTGGTTGTATCAGGCTGTATACAATATCTCCAAAAGACTGGCAGGATATCCACTCCCAGGCATTTACCTGTATGTACTGAGACAGTTACTATTCAGTGCACAAAATTGTCATTATGTTCTTATATCTCTTCATTTTTGTGAGAGAACTTTATCTCCTTTCAATACTTAAACAACAGAGCAGCTGAGATCAGTATCTTTTTTGAACGTGGATTAAACCTGAATTTTCTATTCCATGGCACTGCACAATCATGTTCCATGCTATATTTTAAAAATGCTTTATAAATGGAATCAAGGTTTAACCATTTGGTTCAGCAACCCTGAAAGATTCTCATTACTAGTTCTCAATGTATTATTGCATTAGAATGATCACCTCAAATACATTCTCAATATTTGATGAGAATATAAAGACAGCTTCATATCAGTCACTTAGAATCAATGAAACAAAACTGATTTAAAAAAAGAGTTTCACAGGTTATAATTAATTTAATGTTCAAATAGTCATCACACACACTTTGTTTTACAGATACGCGAGTACAAAAGACAATTGTTTACTCAAATTCTGAGGAAACAACACTGGTTTTGTGACTTTTTAAATTGATTTAAATCACATGTTAGGCTAAGTATTTATATACCAAAGAAATTAACAAAACTAGTTTTTCCAGAGGAGTGATCAATCACTTGCAAATGCACGTTTTTTACCAGTTAAATAAGAGTTAAGAACAGTGCCTTTAAGGCCATATTCAGAGGAAGAACAAACACTTGTAATCTTAAAGGTGAAAACATTTGCCCTTTATTTGAATAAAGAATTATTCAGGTAACCCCATACTTGTAGGTTAACTGGATGATTCTGAAAAACCTAATTAACATTATCATTTTAATCAACATAATTTTTTATTGGAAAACTCTCACTCCCTGCTCACTTTAAGACGATACAATATTCTTTCATGCAACCTAATAAACACAGACCACTTCAATACTCAACTTGAATTTTGAGGTCTGCTCAATAACTTGCAATAAAGGTAATCGGCATGAAATTATCTTCATCAAAATAGTACGAAGACAGAATACATTTTGAAGAAATGTATGAGATGGCAGCACTTGCAAAGATGAAGTGTAAACATTCAAGGCAGTCAAAGATAAGATACTGTGTGCACAAATATCATTTAAGGTGCTTCCTCATTGCTCTTCCATGCTTCGTTAAGTAATTGGTTCCTTCATTCCTGTAGCTCATGGACCTTGTGGTCTTCTGTTCATTATATTGCATACCTCAATGTCATTTTGGAATAGAAAATATTGCACTCTGAAGAGTCACAAATTTGCATAATTTACATTATAATTAGTATCTGTATAAATGAGTTTTACTTTGCTGAATAACTAAGCTGAATTTGAAGAACTATAAACTGCATATGCAACAAAGTAATGATTCCTGTTAACAGGAATATTTTAAATGCACACTTGCAGCCCACTGCAATGATGAAAACTGCTGATCCGATATGTTGCAATCTTTCATTTTGCTCTGCAAACTGGGGAAAGCTGGCTAATGCAATACAGGCATTGGTTTGTAGAGGATCTATATTTAGAGGGCGACATTTCATTCTGGGGGTGTTGCCCATCTTCTGCACGTATCCCCTAAGTGCAGTGGAGGCTTGTGTACATGCACAGTGACTGGTCCGAATCCAAATGTTAGTCTTTAACCAGCAGCGTAATTGCTTAGGAAGGAGTAAAACATAGGCAGCTTCATCCGCTGTTGGTCCTTACGACACCAGGCTATCACAGTCCCATCACTGTTCGCTGTATATAGATGATGACCATCACAAGAGAATGTGAGGCTAAAGTACAGAAGAAAAGAAATTACAAAAGCCATATTTCACTGAATAAAAATGTTTAATTCAGATATTCAACTTAGGCTTGATTAGTGTAATCAAGCTGTTAGAATCTAGCCACCGGCGAAGTGACAAACCAGTTTCAATCAGTACAATCTTTGCAGTTAGGTTAGTGGTAGGACGAATCTTACCTTACAATAGGTCGGTTTGACTTTGAGAAGGTAATTTCTCGAACAGGCTTCAGGTCCCATGTACTCCACAGTCTGATGGACAGGGACAAAGTTTTAATTTAGTTGAATGTCCACATTGAACGTTTAACATTTTCTGAATTATAAAAATACATAAACACGTCACAACAGCATAATAGAATCCTGTGAGTCTACAGATGAAAATATGAGTATTAATGTATTTAAAAACTTTCTGTGTTAACAATTGCTGCATGGCAACATTTTCATCAAAATCTTTAGCTCATGTTTTTAGCCGATTGAAAAGAGACTTTATTGCTCTTTACATGTTGTTTATCTAATAGTTAGCAAGTACTTCTAAATCAAGTGGCCCAATCCTAAGATGCAATGCAGTTCAAGCAGAATTTGAGTCAGAAAGAGAATGCTGTTCTCCAGTGTGCAGCTTAGGATAAAGGTGGGTGAAATCTTGAGTATTATTGTGGTACAATTTATTTGGAATATTTTGAAACAGAATAAACCAAAGCAACCTTTTAATGAGAACAGTGTATATAAATTACAATGCATTGGCATGAAAAATATTTTTTACGCTCAACACAACAGTCAAACGTATAAACGGGGAGTCGTACTTGACATAAATGTACATATTAAACACAAACTTATGGTCAGTTACAGTAATATTTCAATACTGACCTTACGACACCATTTTCTAGTCCTCCAGCAATCACGTTCACAGACACTCCTTCTGGTTGGTTGGAGAAAGACACTGAGCAGATTATTTCTCGACAGTGCACATGGCCACTGAGATCTCCATTCACAGTCCACAACCTCAGGTCACTGCCACCACCAACTGGAAAAGCAGACAGAGTGACAATGATGCAAAAGTGTATGACACAAGATTATTATTCTTGATATTCCAGGCCAGAAAGCAACCTGCTAGGTTCATTAGTACTACTAGATTTGAAAAAGCCAACGTGGCTTGAACAGCAATGATTCAGAAGGAAGGAAGTACTTGAAATATGAATGAAAAATACGAGTGAATCAGCAATACAAAAAGTATTTTTTTTTCTCTTCATAGCTTTTTTTAGAGCATAATTACCTTTAGGTCTTTTCAGACATCAAACTTTTTTTTACCACTGTAATCTCTGTGCACCACACCCTCTACCCTCTACCCTCAACTGACATGTTTAAGACATTCAACAGGGTCCTGATCTTTCTTTTTGTGGGAGGTGTCTGGCTTCTGCTTGGCATCTCCCTCCACTGTTCAAATATCAAACATCAAACAGGTGGAACCATAATATGGTGCTCTATGTACTATTTATTGTATGATGTAAATTCATGCTCACTATAAATTGCTTAAAATTGGCCAATAATAATAATATTTGCATTTGATACAGTGCCTTTCATGTCATGAGGCTGTGTCAAAGCACTTTGCATGCTGTATGTAAAGTGTGACTGTACTGTGAATGCAACAGTCCAATTGCACCCAGCAAATATTTAATTGAGGGCTTTTATTGCTGGCACAGATGCAGAAGCTTTATCCCATAAATGTGTTTTACATTTAGACCATTACCAAAGACTAAAAAAAAACTATGCAAATCTATTGAGTGAAGAACCTACTCAACAACTGATTTGTATTAAATTAATGAGAATTGTACAAATTAACTGATCAAGGAATAACCCAGTTTCTGAGTATTCCAACCTAATTATATCCAAGATTTTGCATTTGATTTTCACTCCTTTGGTTTAAAAAAAATCCTTTCCATTGAACGAAAGATATTTACAGCACAGAATAAGGCCATTCAGCCCAACGTGTCTCTGCTGACCTTGCCTCTCCTTACCCCTCTAGTTTGCTCCCTTTTAGATATCCATTTTATTTTAGAAAAAAATAACCCTTCATTAACAGGTATCCCTGCTACTGGAATTGTCTGACTATTACAGCTGGAAAACATAAGGGCTGATCCTCATTCTGAGTGGGAAGGAAGAAAATCTTCAAATAAAACATTTTGAAATGCTGGGAAACACGGCAAAATATTGGGTTTGACATGGTACATAAACAATTTATGAGTTTCTATCTGTTCAAGATCTTTATACTCGGGATTTTTATTGATTCACAGGTCTCAAGTCTATACTTGAATTTAACTTTTCATTACTAAAAAATTATATAGAATTGTTCATCAGTTGCTCAGCCCTTGGTCGTACATCAGCCCCTCGGATTCAAATACTTACTGCTTGAATTTCCCCTTAGAAAATGGACAAAAAAGTTTAATGTAAGCTAAGTGTACTACTACTAATTATAATCCTTGCATTTAATGTAGCACTTTTCACGTTTTCTAGACGTCTCAAAGTGCTTCACAAAATATACTGTAGAGTGAATTGACTGTATATTTGTGGGCGAAACACGGCAGCCAATTGCACACAGCAGTGTCCCTTAATACTTAACACTAAGTGTATCAATGAGCTCCACATCTACTAAAACACACATGACCCAAAAAAGTTAGGTCCAAATTTGCAATGTATGATGTTGAAATTTAAACTGCACATTTAGAATACTGTCCTCTCAAAATGGCATGTATCTCCATCTTTAGACCAGAGAACTGTCTGACCTTACAGTTTCCTCCAGATTCAACATCACATTAAAAGCAGCAACATTTTTCAAGCATCATCCAAGTGACAGCTGAGGTTGTGTAACCACTTAAGGAGTGCACCACTTTCTATCCATCTGAAACTTGGTGATTCAGCTTTGCTGTTTATTTCAATTAAAGTGGTTAGCACCAGCTCACTGTGGGAGAATATATATTTGAATATAACGTTAGTCATGTGCAGTGGAATATACACATGGCTATATTTTCCGTCTTTATGTTATAGATAACTGAGAAGGAAGAAAATCTCAAAAATCTCTCAAATAATACCATTTTATTGGGAACCCATTGTCTGCTTTAAACCCCGTCTGCACGGAAGGACTTAATAACAACAAATTGCATTTATATAGTGCCTTTCATGTCGGGAGGTCGTCCCAAGGCACTGAACAGTTGCGGTTTGTAAAGTAATTGAAACAAAGCCCAATTCTTTGAAAGCTTACCTGAATCGCAAACAGTTGCAATATCACCAGTTGTCTCGCTTGTAGAAACTGCTGTTACTGGACTTTTATGTCCAGTTAAACTCTGAACATAACACAGTCTGCAGAACAAAACATTAACAGCTCAATAACTATAAATGACTAAATTCTGTTATCTAAACAGCATTATTCAGAATAAAATTATGCACATAAAGTATTTGAATAAACAAAACTGAAATGGCTAATTTATGTCAATACAAAAAAAAGTTTATACAAAAAAAAATCTGGGAGAACAATTTGTACCTATAAGCTTTTAAAATTGGATTTCTACACGTGGGAGTTCATTTTATTACTGAGTAAATGATCAAATAAGACTATTTTAAACTCAAGCATGGTAAATAAATTTTACAAACTAAAAAACTAATATTTTCTATCAGAGAAAAAAATGAAAGAGCAAAAGAAAGGGAGACACACACAGCAATGGACTAATACTGACAAACTAAACTAATTTAACACCTTCTCACACCATTTCCACCATATTGGTAGCAACCTGATTCACAACCTCAACAAATGCCACAATGTACTTGGTCACTAGATGGTGTGAGTGGCCCATGGCGAATTGCAATCTTTAGTTTTCTCTCCTTCACATGGAGACAATGACATTAGCTTGTTTGCAGAAATTCAAAGCATATTTCTATCTCTTACTGTTCCTTAGGAAAACATATCAGTAGCCCAAAGTACTACACTAGCTAGACTTCAAAGAATGCTTTTAGAAATCCTAAAATATATTTGGCATCTTGTTAATATTTAGTGTTCAATATCTTGCACCAGCTTTAATGTTACAGCAGCATTTAATATTAAGAATGTCAGCCTTAGCAGTTGAGTGAAAATAAGAACTATTGAAATTCAACCTAGTGAAACAATCTATTTTACCCAGGGGAACAATACAATTAACACTACTCAATGTCCAGGATTGTAAGCCTTTTAATGATTCTCAGAAGATTTGTAGTTAGGATTTTTGTTTAGGGAATATGACAGATTTTCATAAGTTTCAGTAAACATTAGAATTTAAAATTTAAAATGCAAAACAAAATATGAAATGAAGATTTTGTACTAAAACTTGTAATAATTCAAAAGTTTTAAATAAATTGAAATTCAGCAATACATTTAAACACAACACACAAAAGTCAAAATGTAAGCTTTGCTGGTACTTAGTAACGTTAAACACCACCACAACAACAACAAGATTGCATTTATAGAGCGCCTTTCACGTCGGGAGGACATCCCAAGGCGCGAGACAGTTGGGTTGGGACCCGAGCAGGGGGGAAATGGTCAGGGTGAGGGGAGGGAAGGGAGGAAGCGAGGAGGGAATAGAGAGTTGGGGGGGGGGGGGTGAAGGCACGGTTGAACACAAGCAACACAACCATGAAAACACAAGTTTTGAGGATAAGGCTCTATTTTTAAGCACAGTATACCTAATTTCCTCTTTCAAGTGATATCTGTTGTATGCATCAACAGCTGAGAGCGTTGATCAGTGATCGACCCTCTCTGAGGCCAACTCTTGCCAAAGTTACTTTATAACAATTTTGAAGGTGTCTTAAGAATTTCTCAGTTGCATGCAACATTTAACACTTGCAAATAATTGTTGAAGCATTTTAGAGTAAATAGAGTACCTGTTCAAATCCCATATAATGCAGGTCCCATCCTTGCTTACACTGATTAATATGCTGTATGGTTTGCAGACATAAAGGCTGGTTACTTCTTCAGTGTGACCATACAAGTAGACTTGCGATTCAACTTCAATTTCTGAAGGCTAAAGATCAAAAATGATATATTTGTCAAAGGCTTACTTCACAGTTAACAGGTAACTTCCTTGCAGCTTTTCTATCTAATGAGCAGCAAAACAGTATCTAGTGACCACAAAATCTCTGTCAAATTGCAAAGTAACTGCAGTAACATTAACAACCTGAAAAAATTCATGTGTTGAGAGCTCTAGTAATTAAAGCAGGTATTATGATTCTGCTCCTTTAAAGCTTGAGCTTACTTTCAGGAAGCGGTTAGGCAGCAATATGCAATGTCTAGTTTAAACGTACCATACTGCTGATGAATCTATTTGAGTAAGCAGTGACTACTCCACATTTGCTGCCAGTAAAGAGCTGACAACTGTCAGGCACCCAGGCACAACTTGTAACCTGAAAACAAAAAGGTTATTGGAGAATTTAGAGCCAGGCTCACTCAGCAAGAGATAACAATCCTTAATAGTATTTTGGAAATAGTTTTCAAACAGTTGCATATATTTATTTTTTAGTAATTAAAGCAGGTATTATATGATTATACAATATTCAATTTCCAGTCACCTTACATTGGAGTACTCAGCCCAAGGAAAACCCACTTACTCTCTCCCTCCCTCACCGCCCCCAACACATAAAGGGGTATGGAATGGGTACTGTTCGGAGTCTAACCACCTAAAACTGTATTCCTTGTCATTGAAAGTACTGACTGGCAACCTTTCTGGGTGCTTGTCCAGCTGGGACCACCCTACCCGTTCTGCAGAAGCAGTACTGCGATCCTGCATGGCTGAAAAACTGCACTACTGAGACAGCTTCAGATTGTTGGCTCGATTCTGACATTCCATTGCCAAACATGTCACCTTGAAGCCAGTTCAGCTCCGAGGAGACTCGCTCACCCCCCCAAGGAGGATGCTAGGCTCTAATCACTGTGGGAAAGGTCTGAGAGGATGTCAGGCTCTGTCCTAAGAGGAAAGGAAAAAGTCAAAAGAGCAGTTGTCATGGGTCTCTAGGAAGCTAGATTGGCATTGATAGAGTACTGGAAATAAGTACAGGTTTCTCCTCTGCTCCCTTGAAACTACTACAACATGAAAGAGGGGGAAAGAAAAAAGGGTCTTTTATCTAAACAATAAATATTAAAAACCCAGCAACCAAGCAGATTATAACAAAAACAGAAGTCGCTGGGAACACTCAACAGGTCAGGCAGCAGCTATGGAAAGGAAAGCGAGTCAACATTTTGGGTCCACAACTCTTCATCAGTTGAAAGGTCGTGGACTCGAAACGTCGACTCGCTTTCCTTTCCATAGATGCTGCCTAACCTGCTGAGTGTTCCCAGTGCCTTCTGTTTTTGTTTTCAGATTTTCAACATCTGTAGTATTTTGCGTTAAGCACATTAACCACTGTTATAAAGAACTGCTTTAAAGAAAAACGTTCCAGCATGAATCAGTTTATTTTAAAAGTAGAGAATAAGTATACCTGGTGTAAAGGAGAACACTGAATGAAGTTGACTGGTGGTTCACTCTGTTTACTTTTCAGCCTCAGCATGTTATCAGCATAACCCCAACTCAAAATGGCTGACCACTGGATGTCTGTACTGTGCATACTTCGAACACCTAAAATTAGGATAGTAATAAAATGCTGTTGATACTTGAAAAATCTTATGCAGAGTGGAAAGCAAAGGTTAAATTAATTCCATACCTTGCTCTTTGCTGTACAGCATCATGAGGCAAAATTTTTGAGACAGCCCACAGATGGCTCTGGTTGGCAGTGCGAGCAACGATCCAAACCTTTCTCCGTGAGGTTGACTGAAGCAAACCACAGGATCTGGTGCACTTGGGGAACCTACATATTCACCCCATTTCAGTCCCTTGATCCATGGCAAAGGGCTCTGAGACAAGACACCAGAGTGAGATTACAAATCACCTTGTTATAGATTGCTCTGTACATTTTTCTTTAGAAAAAAACTCAAAACGATTGTTACAATAACAGCAACAGCAATTAGCGGATCTATATTTGAAATAATGCTAAATTAACCTGGCAATCAAAATGTTTCTTTTCTTTTAAATGAGAAAAATGTACTGAAGTATTAAAAAAAGCAAAAAAGATCTTTGAAAATGTATAGATTAATATTGCTGTTCTTTTGAATTGACTAATTTAAAAAGAAACCAATATAAAAATTTAAATGCAAATTATCAGAAGTTAAATGTGACTGACTGCAGGAAGAAATATAATAAAAATCTTTGCATTTGATATAGTGTCTTATCACGTCTTCTAGATGTCTTAAAGCACTTCTCAGAATATACTGTAAAGTGAATTGACAGTATATTTCTGGGCAAAATGCAGCAGCCAATTGTGCACAACAGTGTCCCACAAATAGTAGTGGATTGAAGTGACCAATTTATTATATTTTTTTCTTGAGGGATTATTATCAGGCGTGTGGAGTAAGGAAACTTGCCCAAGGTTTCACCCTGCCGGGAATCAAACCCAGGTCTCTAGTGCTCTAACCACTGAGCTACAGGACTCCACAAATATAGAATAAAGCACGCCTGTAGATGGAACTACATTTTTTTTAATTGCTGGCTTTATTCCATGTACAATGTACCACATATGTAATAGCTACAATGTACTACTGTATCACACATACATCTGTAGCTCTCTATAAGGAACATATTTTTTACATTATAATGAAACATGAAAAATGAAACTACCGGGTAGATTGCTTCTTTGGTTTGGTCTCTGCTGTCCCTGAAAGCAAACTGGACCAGAAGACCCATAGCTGCAGGCAACTCTCCATCCATGGTCAGTCTTGAGCTGTGCTTGCTCGGATGGGTAGTAGTGAAGAGCTGGCGAGGTGTCTGACCGTATGTCTTGATCATGGTTTCCAAGGCCCGTCTCTGCACTGGGTCCTCAACTGCAGATACATCCATGCCAAAGTATGTCTGTAAACAAAAAAAACGAGACCCGAAATAGAGGTTAAATTATTTAATACTTTTATCATCTAAAAATACAGTAGATTACAACAACTTACATTTTTATAGCACGCTTCACACGGGTAGCGGTTCAGACTGCTTTCAATAAAACAATTTCAATGTAACTTTTTTCTGCACCTACTCTGAAGGAAAGGCTTTCTAGGTCTTAGTTTTAATAATAAATTTTTGAAAATGATTTAATTGTTCCAGTCCTAACGTTTGGCAGATTTTGCAGAATATTTTAGGCTGATTCGTCTATTCATGGTCCACCCTCTTCCAGGCAAAAAGTGATGGAATATATGTTTGATGCCTCATTCTGCTGAGCAAACAGTAAAGGATCGTGATTTAAAAAATATTGAAAACCAGGAATCAAGCAGTAGGTGCCTGCATACAATTATGGAAATTTACAGCACAGGAGGCTGCCATTCATTCAGGTCCACTGCCCTGCCTCATCCTTATACCCCTATAATTCTCTATGCTTCATCTATCCATCTTCTTCCCTCTTGAAACTCACAATAGACTCTGCCTCTACCACCTACTTCTTGACATCCCAATAACCCTAAGTGAAAACATTTTGCCTAAGCTCTCCTTTCGCTCTTCTTGTGACTATGTTTATAACTATGGCCCTAGTCATGGACTCCTCTACTAGCCTTAAAAAAATGTTGCAGCATGAATTAGTTTCATTGTGCATTGTAGCCTTTTCTTTGAAAATAATGTAGTAATTTCAGTGATCCAGAAGCACCTTGTGACTAAGGGTTTTAGTACTTTATAAAGCAAACAAATCAGCCACCCATTGCTATATAATTTGGTACATATATAAATTGTTCATTCAATTTTTCTTACCACAAAAGAGATATTAAAGGTAGTAAATTAAAGTTAGGCATTTTTCTTTTTAGCCAATATTTAAATATCTGCGTTTCTCCCTGGTCTACATTTAAATTCTAACTATATAGCTATTAACATCTATAACCTAATCACAATACTCTGTATACCTTTAAAACTAGATGGAAACTGTATTTCTATGCATTAAACACAAAGATTAAAACTTGCTAGGAACTATTGGAATCATTCATATTTAGTTTCATAATTCTAAAAATAATACTCCTTGCTTTAGATATAGCACCTCATCACATTGTCGAGACGTCTCAAAGCGCTTCAAAGGATATAATATAAAGTGCAATGACGTGTACTTTGTGGGCGAAACGCCTTTGATAGGTGCCCTCAAACTGATCTGCATATTGAGAAGGATAGACACTTACTGCAGGGTGAAAGACATTAATAGCGTGTACTGCAGTTTTGCCTTTTTGCTTGTTTCCAAACACCAAGTCAATCCAATTGCAAAGGGTTTGCGAAACCTGATCCGATTCCAAGGCTTGGCGGTGAATCAAGATGAACAAACGAGGGTCATTGCGAGCCCACGGAGGAAGGTTTACGTGATTTACTCTTTCTCCATTCTGACGCAATCCAAAGTCAAAACCTGTGAGCAGAAATATCTTTAAAACACATTTCTCACAAGAAGATTACATTTGTATAGCATCTTTCATGTCGGGAGGACGTCCCACAACACAACAGTTTGTATCAGCTTGGAGATGCATACTGCATACTGTAACTTTGAGGTTGATGGAACAATAATGCTTTTCAGATAGAATAATAATGCTTTTCAGATAGAATATAGACTATCTACAAAGAGAATAATAGTAAATAAGAGTTTTGTTTTTGGTGAGTTCACAGCAGTTGTCAGAGAAATCTTTAAGGATGTTGGATGAGTGAGCTAGACGGACCCATGGTGAAAGAGTTATTATGCTTCACCAGTATTATGTTATTAGATGTTTTAAACCTAAAAGTAGTAATATTTATCCTTACATTGGATACAGAGCCTTTCAAGTCAGAAGGACATCTCAAAACACTTCACAGATTATATGGAGTCCTGTGGCTTGGTGGTTAGATCACTCGCCTTGCAAGCGAGAGACCTGGGTTCTATTCCCGTCAGGGCGAAATGTTCGGCAAGTTTCCTTACTCCACAGGCCTCTGTTTACCTAGCAGTAAGTAGGAACCTGGTTGTTAGTCAATTGGCGCATCGCTTTTCCGGGGGTAATAATTTCTTCAAAAAAAAATTGGGTCACTTCAATCTACGACTGTTTGTGGGACACTGCTGTGCGCAATTGGCTGCCGTATTTTGCCCACAAAATACAGTCAATTCACTTTACAGTATATACGTCTCGAAGATGTGATAAGGTGCTATATCAAATGCAAGGATTATATACCATAAATTGAAGTGACTGTATTTGGTGGGCAAACGCAGCAGCCAATTTGCACACAGTAATGTCCCACAAATAGCCATGAAGTGAAAGACCAATTTTATTTGAGGGTTTTTTTTTCAGCCATGACACCAGGAGAAACTCCATTGTCTTTTCAGATAGTGCCATGGGATCTTTAACATGTACCTGAACAGACAGATAGGATCTCGGTTTAATGTCTCATCTATAAAACGGCACTTACAACATTTGCAACATATTTCAGCGCTGAATTGGAGAGTCAGGTGGATTATATGAGTTCCAAGCCGCTACATGGGGCTTGAACCCACAAACTTCTACCTCAAAAAGTGAGAATGCTACCAACTGAGCCAGGCTGACACACAAATTATAATTTCACCAGGCTGCTGTTCACATGCTGAATCCTGGTAGTTAGTGTACATTTAAGCCTGAGTGGAAATTAACTATTCCTGTTCAGAAAGGTTGGTCCAGTTCCGGTTGCTTTGTGGTTGAGTTTCTAAATTTGCTGAAAATATATTAAATTTGATGGTGCATTCACTCGTTTTCCTTCTGGGGATTAACATCTGAGATAGAGGACAAAGAGGCAAATAGAAAAGACAGCACCATAGGTGTTGCCAGCAAAATCCAGTGGTATGACTCTTGTGTTGAAATCTCTATGATCTTAAAACCTTATATTGTGTGCACCAAGAACCTGAGAAAGCACCACCATTATTCTAAATTGCAGTTTCATGTTGAGCAGAAAAGGAAATCTCACGTTGATATTTCAGTCTTTAAACTAAAGGGCTTAATGTTTTAAATGTTTTGCTATGCTCATTTCACACTGATCAGGAAGGTTGGGAGGGGAACAGGATGGCAGCTACATACGCACCACATTGACAAACAATAAATCTTCATAATACTTTTGCTTGCAGTATTACTTACTAAGTTATGGATCTTTTACGTTCTTAAATTATACTACCACCAGTTAAAAATAGTTTTTTCTTTAAAATGCACCCATTGCTATTAGGAGATTTGTACGAATAAGACGCATTCTGTTTTGGAAATGTGGCTTTATAAGCAAACTAAGAAATACTAATTTTTTGACCGATGTTGCTGAAAATCCAGATAGTAATGTAAATCTATACACGGAAGCAACATTCATTCTCACATTTAAGTGGTAAGTTCAATGTTGCATTCACTTCACACATTCGAACATCAGCCTATGGGTTTATTTTGAAACTTAAGCATTCATCTGACATGTATACCTTCTCTATTGACCAAGAACTCTGGAAGGTAGAAGAACTCTGGAATCAGCTCTTTCACATCTGTCATGGATTCGAAAGAGGATAGGCGCCAAGTAGTATTCATGGAATGAAAGGTTCGGTCTGGGATATCAAAACTTTGATCTAAACAAAAATACATAATTTTAAAAACTAGTTAATACTACAATACAAATGTAAGGATATTACTATATTATTCATGTTAATCCAGTAAAGTCCCAATTACAAATGTTGACATATTTCTAACAGTTCAATATTCATACTTAAAAGAATTAATAACTTACCAGGTACCACAAAATCCACATTATCTTCATCCTAAATATGCAAGTATTCTTGCCTCTGCAATTAAGTGAAACAAACAGACACATACGAGAAATTATTTTAAATGGACCTTACCTTGGTACGCCAGAAACATCTTGGTAAATGGTGGCATTCTAACCAAGAAGTGCAAGACAGTCCCACTGTTTGAATAATGAGATCCATAGTGATACGGCTGTACAGGTGGCATTGGGTCATCTTCTTGAGCTCCTTTACGAAATTCCTCCTCCAGATACTAATAGGAAAAAGAGTGAAATTCACTTAACTGCCAGCAGATTCTGNAAAAAATTATTCAATGTCCATAGCGATTTGATTATGTTAACCTCAAAATGTTGTTGTTGTTTTTTTTTTTACAGACTAGCACCTAATTCACTAAAATATTTAAACTTGCAGTATTCTCAAAATATAATGTATTAAGAAGATTGTAATCTTTTTATTTCAAATATTACAAGACTCAACAACAACTTGCACTTATATAGTGTCTAAGACCGCTTAACAGTGGCGGAGCCAAACACTGAGGCCGGGGGGGAGGTGGCTGTAAGCACGGTCGAAGAGGAAGATTTTCAGGGGGGACTTGAAAAAGGGGAGAGATGGGGCAAGGCCGGGTATTGAGGGAGAGTGTTCCAGAGTTTTGCGGTGTAGTGGCTGAAAGCACGACCTCTAATGGTGGGGCAGAGGGTGCGAGGGATGAGCAGGAGATCAGTGCCAGTCGAGCAGAGGCGCCAGGTGGTGGATTGGGGAGTAAGGAGATCACAGAGGTAGGCAGCCGCCAGAGAGTGAAGGGATTTGAACACGAGTATGAGGATCTAGAAGTCGATCTGTTCGGTGACAGGGAGCCAGTGGAGCCTGGCCACAACTGGTGAAATGTGGGTACAGTTTGGTCCGGGTAAGTATGTGGGCGGCCGAGTTCTGAATGAATTGTATTTTTTGAATAGTGGAGCTGAGGAGACCGGTGAGTGAGTTTGATTAATCCAGGCGGGAGGTGACAAACATGCATGATGGTTTCGGCTGCATTTGGGGTAAGTTATGGTCAGTGGCAGGCAATGTGGTGGAGGAAGGCGGTCCTGGTCAGGGACCGGATGTAGGGGAGGAAGGACTCATTCTGGTATTACCTTATAGTTTTCTACATAACGATCTTCTTTTTCTTTAGATTGTACTGCAATCGGTTTCAGAAGATTTCTGAAAAGATTGAACATATCTATCAAGAAAATGAATACAATGAAATATCACAGGTACCAATTCCCAATAATGGCAAGCTCCGGGTGTACAACATAACATCAGTAGCTAGACGAGATTTATCTCGCAAATAAAAAAAAGTACATAATTCTTTCATTTCCTGTTGAATTATGGTTTAATCAAACAAGAAGTTGTTAAATTTCATTATCCTTTTAATTCTCTAAAATACATAGTTAATCCATTACTGTATCTTGTTTTTTTTCTGGTGTAGGTCCATATTTGTAACTATGCGTACTTGTTTACATGCTATTGTTAACTTCTGTTCTTTTTTTGTATATAATAAAATACATTTTTTAAAAAAAAGCTTACCTGTATATAGTGTGCTCATGCAAGTCCAGTGTTTCACTGGAATAGTCACTCAGTATGAAAGGAAAAACTGGATACTGCATGAGGTCATTAAAGGAGCGACCTGCATGCTTGTTTAGATGAGTCAAATACTCAAAATTTGTTATCTGTCCTGTGCTCCACAAATGGGTCAGAGCTGAAATGTTCCCATACTCCAATAAATTTGGTAGACTGCAAGTTAGGATGCTGTGGTGAACATCATCACGAACCTATGTTTTTGTTAAAAAAAAATCAATCAGTTACATGAATAGCCAATCAAGTTGTAATCTTTACATTCTTACTTAAATAACTTACAACACAGCAACATTAGGAAAACAGATTTAATTGTAAAGTCGTAAATCTATCTCCCAGAAATTTTAATGCATGGCTATTTTGTGGTGAATGATTTAGGATTCTTTGGAATGTATGAAGGAAATGTAAAACTGAAGAGTGAAAAAGTTCTAGAATGATTTTTATGGAAATATCAAATACAGTGGAGCCCTGTTATACATGGTAGTTGGGGGGAGGCATAAAATTCCAACTCGCTCCATAAGATGGTGTGTGTACTTCCAAATTCATGGCACAAGAGATAGAAAGATGTCCTGCTCAACAACAACAAATTGCATCTATATAGCGCCTTTCACGTCGAGATAACATCCCAACCGTCCCTTGAAAATGTCATGCGGCTTCTGAAAAGACACAATGGCTGACTTCTGAGTCACTGCCACGTCACTTCCTTGTGAGTGTATAGCACTAAACCGTGTTACACCGGGATTCTACCATGTGTCAGTTGAAAAATGTTGAGCTGGATAAGTGTTTCTATTGTGAACAGTATGTAGAGTCGACGTAGATTTCTAATATCCTTTAGAAATGTAAATGTATACACAATCTTAATTATCGCACATAATTTACAGTATTGAAAGGAGGTGTCCTAAACAAAACATTACCAAGCTTCCCTCCCTCCTTTATTGCACGTCTATTTAGAAAATTAAACTATTAAAAACTTCAGTTCATAGAATACCTTTGTATCTTGAAATGCTAAAAGAAGAGTTCTGCCATTAGTTAAGAAAATTTCTAGCGCTTTGTCTCTCAGCTGCCACCATCGTTTGTGAACCTCCTTAATTTCTTCATACGTCCAAGAAAATGATGCTGGTTCAGTTTCCACTGTAGTACTCTGAATTACAGAAATTCAACTCTTCACAAATACCATTTTGGAAGCACTTCATTACAAGTTTGAATTACTAGATTTCTTATAGTAATAATGAAATAAATTTAAATGAATGATTACATTTAAAGTTCTAGACTTAATTAAGTTTTCAATACAACAGAAAAAAGGTTTAGGAGAAAGCACAAGTTAGATTAACATATTGAAATACAAACCCAATGGTTTGATGACGCATTTTGTGGATTTTCAAAGGAATCAGTAACACTCTCCTCAACAAAGTACATGCCCGACCCTCCTGAAAGACAATAGAAATATATTATGATTTTATCAAACAGTTTCTTACCCAACTAATATTCACACTTCACAGTTCTAGCAACAAATTGTGGTAAAGCACTCTGCAACTTCAACTAACCTAAAAGAAGTTCACCACATGTCTCTCGAGAAGGTGCAACACTGATACATGCTCGAGTGGATCTACGGAAAAAAGCACAAAGTAAGTTAATACATAGCAGCATAGAGTACAATAATATAGCAATAATGCAAAGTTTGTACAAATTGAAACTGGAGTTCACAGAGAGGCACTCACTCACAGACACATTCTCACAAACACAGAGAGACACACACTCACAGAGACAGAGAGACACTCAAGTCAGAGAGAGACACACTCAGACACATACATAGAGGAGACACTCACACCCACACACACACACACACACAGAGGAGAGTGACTGACACACACACTCAAACACACACACACACAGAGGAGAGACACACAGATAATCTCAACAATGGGGCCTCGAGGTGACAAAGCCAATTTCCCATTTGCACCGCAGCTGCTCCAACCACAGTAGCGTTAACAGTGGACTGCAGCACACAGAGGCCCAGCACCGTGGAACTTGCAGCCAAACTTTTCTATTGGCCCAGGTTATGATGAGAGTTGAGAGAAATTAGGTCTATTTTCAATGGAGAAGAGAAGGTTGAGAGGGGAAACCTGTTAAGCGGTATAGCAAAATGTTGAGTGGTTTGACAGGGTAAATAGGGAGAAGCTACTTCCACTTGCAGGGGAATGAGTAACTAGGGGCTATAGTTATAAGAGTCACAAAAGAGTGAAAGGAAAGCTTAAGTGAATTTTTTTTAACACACACACACAGAGCTGTTTGGGATACCCAGTCAAGTAAGTCCTGTAGCTCAGTGGTTAGAGCACTCGCTTTGCAAGTGAGAGACCTGAGTTCAATTCCAGGCAGAGGGCGAAACCTTGGGCAAGTTTCCTTACTCCACACAGAGCCCTAATAATAATCCCTCCAAAACCAAAAACAATAATAAATTGGTCATTTTCAATCTACGATTGTTTGTGGGACATTGCTGTGCGCAATTGGCTGCCGCGTTCGCCCACAAATATACAGTCAATTCACTTTACAGTGTGTTCTGTGAAGCGCTTTGGGACGTCCTCCCGACGTGAAAAGCGCTATATCAAATGCAAGGATTATTATTATTATTATTAAGGCAAAGCCTATTGTGTGTTTCATTGGGAAGTGGAAGTGGCTTCCAGAAGTTAAGTACAAAATAGAGAGGAAAAGAGACACACACATACACACAAGTTACACTTATATAGCACTTTTTATTTAGAAGGTCACAAAGCGCTTCAGAAAATCTAAATGGGAGTCCGAGCTGTTAGAGAAATAGGAGTGAGGAGGAGGTAGCTGAAAACACAGTTTTGAAAAGAGAGGGGGGTGGAGGGGGAGTGAGATGGAAGGATTACAGAAAAGCTTTCCAGAGTAGAACACGTTATAGAATCATCTTTACAAAAGAATAAGCAAAGTCATCACTGCTTCTTGGTCATCAGATCAAGATGTAGAACAAACTTGATGAGCTGCCTCATGTTATACTTTTCTTATGTTCTCCTGAACGTTTTAATCCTTGGCAATAACGGAAAAATATATCGAACAACCAATCGAGTTGGAATTGCAAATAATCACTGGCAGCACTTTTTTAATTATTTGACATCTGACAAAATTACCTGATCGATTCACTTGTTGCTTTGTCCTTCACAGTTGACGAAAAAGAAGAATGTGTTTTATCTTCAAATAAATAGGATAAAGGTTGCTTAGGTGGCTCTGAAAGAAAGAAAATAAATAAGAACATCCCGAACAAACAGAAATTTCAACAAGTGATTAATACATCACACATTTTACCATCTGGTTTCCGCCTGTCTTTAAGAAGGTATTTATTGGGAATAGTCAAGTAACATCTTTGCAAACGTCGACGTTCCCTATTAGGACCTTCTGTTGGATCCAGCTGCCATGATGTTGGGTAAGATACTGGATCGTACCATATAGCCCTAGAAATACAATCATAAAAAAGTGATGTATACTGATTTCAAATGAAAGCTTCCAACCCTGTACAAACTCATTTTTACGCAGCTCAATTTCTGGAAACATGGTTACAAATCACTCAAATTAGGGTATAGTTGCATGGATTTGCAATATATTTCTTATAGTAAGTCACTAAACTTTACTCTTGTGTCAACTTTACAACTTTATATCCTGTGAAGTGCTTTGAGACGTCTCGAAGACTTGATAAGGCGTTATATCAAATGCAAAGATTATTATTGTCATTTATAAAAGCAGGCATTTGATTTTTGACTGCAAAGCTTACTTTAGGGGGAATCATAGTTACACTAAGCATTTATTTTGAAACAAATTATTAATGAAAATCTGCTACCTTGACACCTCCGGCATTTAAAATGAACTGTTTAACAGTCTTTACTTCAAACAATCCTGACCTCTTTATTGGACTTCAATTGGCTTCACCAGTTACTCATCATGCTTACTATTCACAATGGGTTTAAAGACCTCACACTGGGTTCCTAGTTGGCATTCAACCCCTGGGGGCTTCTCTTTCTGGTGTGTAGGTCTGTGGAATTAACATGTGCCAAATATTGCTTTATTTCTAGGCATGGCCCTTTTTCACTAAAAAGACCATTTCCAACTCTGTGAACCTAGACTAATTAGTTCTGTCGGGTCGCCCTTTTTTCAATCAGTTTCTACCATGCAACTTACAGAAACTAAGAACCTCATATCAGATTGTTCACATGCTTGACTGGTAACTATTAATTTCTCTGATTATTGGTTTGCTTAAGTGCCTTCCAGGATTAAATTAAAAGATTAAATTAAATGAAAGATCAAATGAGCCAAAATGATAGTTGGTGACCACCATAAACCATCTTAAGTAACTTTGTATTGAATGCTCAGGAAATTGTACCCTATGTCTGCTATTACAATATCAAAGGCCTTACGATTTTCAATGTTAAATGGCATTTACCAGTTATCTGCCAGGCTCCAAAGCAAATGCTGCATTCTGGCACCAATCTCATTAGAACATCAAGCCTTCCTGCAAAATGTTGCATCTTTCTGCAACTTTCAAAATTCCATGCCAATACCTTCACTGAGTTTCTTCAACAAATACTTTCAACAGTTCTATTGGTCACAGCTACCAAATTAAATATTTCCCTTTGCCATCAATCAGCAATTGATTAATGTTGTCTGAGCTTAATTTATTTTAAAAGGTGAAACAATTTGTGGCCATGGACAAACTATACAGTGTTATATATAAAATGTGCATTAGGTAGGTAGTCAGGGGTGGTGTCAACTTTAAAATGATACGGTATCTCAATAAAACTGTCCAATACCAGCAGAAAATGCTGCAGAGGGATCATGAACAAGAACCTGGTTTCCCTCCATTATCCTAGGGCCAATTTAGCCTCCCCAAGATCATCACATTTAACATGGACTGCAATTCAAACCAACAAGCTTCCAGTGTAAGCAGCAGCTCTATCCACTTCACCATCAGGGCTGCCCCATAGTTTACAGCCCTTTCCTGCAGTAAAGATGGTGCCAGCAAGTTTTCATAAATGTTTTTGCAAACTCAAATAGAGAAATATATTGTGCCAAATCTGCAAGGGGTTTGCAGAGTTGAAACATGTAATTATTGACTGAAATCTCAATGTTTCTCACTTCAAATCTGTTATGAAATGTTGTAAATTTTACCCCAGTGTTCAGTCTAAAATAGTTAATTTTAGTACTGAAAAATAAACATTTTCTTAAGTTCATTTCAATTACATTTAGTAACTGTGGAATCCCATAGTGTTGTGGTTAGCAAACTCGCCTCACAAGTGAGAGGACCTGGGTTCGATTCCCGGGCAGGCCTCTGTTTACTTAGCAGTAAGTAGGAACTCGGTTGTTAGTCGGTTGGTGGGTCGCTTTCTGGGAGTATTAGAATCATAGAATCATAGAATATTACAGCACAGAACGAGGCCATTCGGCCCATTGTGCCTGCTCTTCCAATCTACCCAATCAGAAGCTACCCAATCAGTCCCACTTCCCGTTCTTTCCCTATATCTTTGCAAATTTTTCCCCTTCAAATACCTATCCAATTCCCTTTTGAAAGTTGTTATTGAAACTGTTTCCACTACCCTTTCAGGCAGTACATTCCAGACCATAACAACTTTCTGTGTTAAAAAAAATTCTCCTAATCTCCCCTCTTGCCAATTATCTTAAATTTATGTCCCTGTTTACTGACCCACCTGGCAGTGGAAAGTTTCTCCCTATCTACTCTATCAAAACCCCTCATAATTTTGAACACCTCCCCTTATTAATCTTTTTGCTCTAAGGAGAACAATCCCAGCTTTTCTCGTCTCTCCACATAACTAAAATCCCTCATCCCCAGTACCATTCTGGTCGATTTCCTGTGCACCCTCTCCAAGGCCTTGATATCCTTCCTAAAGTGTGGTGCCCAGAATTGGATACAATACCCCAGCTGAGGCCTAACCAGTGACTTATAAAGGTTTAGCAGGTTTAGTGTTGCTTTTATACTCTTTGTGTCCTCCTGCAGTCTGCTACCATTCTCCTCACTGTTTTGTCATCTGCAAACTTTAACATTTTGCTCTCAATAGCCAAGTCATTTATGCATATACATAATAATCACACCCAAATTTAAAAAATTTTCAATTCACGTCTGTTTGTGGGTCACAGTTGTGAGTAATTGGTTGCCGCGGTTCACCCCAATAGTCAATTCACTGTACAATATGTTCTGTGAAGCACTTTGATATGCCTCAACAAGGTGATAAGGCTAAATCAAATGTAAGGATCATTATTATTATTCCAAGGCTTACCTGTCGTGTGTTAGCTGCTGAACAAGCTCTTGCCAGTGCCTGCTAGCACTTAAATCAATTTTGCATGTTCCCCTGATGTGCTGAATCACTTTCTTCCTCTCTATGCCTTGCTGAAAAGATACATTTTGAGTGATTTCTGCAGCTATTTTGGAAATATCTTTTGACTTTGTATCTAGTCGTTGAAGAAGGCTGGAAAATTAAAACAAAACCAATATCAAACTTTAATTATATGTTTTCTGTTTCTATATGTCATTTAATGTGATCTATTTTAAGGGAGGATTTGTTTTTAAACTGTAGACAATGCTGCTCTACCTTTCTAGGCAGAGGACAAACAACAGGTTTCATACATTTTCTCTCTTCTAAAGCACAGTACTGCTCAGCACCTAAGCAATGGGAGGGAGTGCTGGACCTGAAGACGCCAGCTCTACGTTTGTGCACTTCTCACCTCTGTTGAGAAGTCGCCATTTTCTTTTCCCAGGCAGTTTTACTTATGCTTTCCTCATTCTCATACTTCTTTTGCTCCTAAAAAGACAAAGAGTGTATTACAATAAACTGTTTTAAAACTCTCCAGTTAATAAAATAAACAAATATTAACTTTTACTCGATAATATTCTTCAGGCACTGCAAGCAGTCCATGCATCATATGGCTTTTAAGGATATTGTACTAAGCTAAAACTTTAGAGACTTCCTACATTTTCAGCATTACTTGAGCTAAATCAGTCCATGGAGTCTAATTTGTGAGATATGAAATGTAAATAGCAATTCCTGGATGTTCTGTAGCTGAACTTTTTGATATTTGTTTGGATGCAGACTTCACAAGAGTTAAAACTGAATTCGGCATTCCAGTGAAGTTCCAGAGGATCAGCAGGAAATTTCACGTTTACCAATGTCAAACAAAGAACAAGGGATCTTCAACTTCCAAATTTAAATTTTGTCAAGTTTTACACTTACAATAGAGAACTTTTTCAAATTTGGATTTTAAGTTTCTTCAAAGTTGTATCGAGGAGCAAATACAGAGGGATTCCCAATAGCCTAGGGAAGGGTGGTCCAAAGTTTTAGCTGCTGAGGGCAGGCCTGGATGCCCTACTTGAGAAAAGTCAGCGGGCCACATGAGCAATATTTTTGTGTTTCCCTTTCAGAAACATAACATTTACGGGGTATGGAGGAAGCAGGCGGGCCAAATAAAATGGTGGGGGCGCTGAAATCGGCCGTCGGGCACCAGTTGTACCACCCTGGCCTACTATATAGAGTGACCACCATCATGTCATTCAGACCAGATATGTTTCTCAGTCTATGTCGGAATAGCTAATCACAGCTGGGGCATAATTTGTTACATTACCCTGGGTTATGAAGGGAAAAATCTTCCAGTGATTCCTGCAAACCTGAGTGAGAACAGGACCAGACATGGCAGAATGAAAACCGCCCCACACCACCCAAATATTTTGAACAGCATCAATCAAAATTCACATTTGCAATTAAACCAAAATGACAAAGAAATTAAGTTTTTTTTAACAAAATTACATAACAATTATCAGTAATTTCCAGGAAAAACAAAGCTAAATTCACATCAGATGAGAATTAGTGCTGTGCTAAAAGCATCTGACACTCAGTGTTAACAGAGTGCAATTTCTAACCATTTTCATTTTTATTCATGCAACATGATTTCAAACACCTTGGGGATCAAAGTTACCATATTCCAACACATAATCCAATATATCTGGTGTCAAACATGTTTCAGATCTGTTGTGATTGTTCATGTGCACATATAACAATACCTCATTGATTGCTTTAAGAAGATCTGGCTTGGGTGGCGCACTGGGAGGAATGCACTTGTGACCACAAAGCTTTAAAGAGGTCATAAAATTCCCTGCAGCAGATTGCTCTTCCTTTGACAAGGCTTCCTTGTGATCATGGATTAACTCGTACAGATACAATGCCAGTTTGGGTCCATGCTGAGGTGAACAAAACAAAGGGTTCTCATCATTAATCTTACATGTAAGGTCCAACCAAAAATTCTTAAAGGCTGTCTTTTGGCACATATTCTTCAGAGAAATTCCCATCATTTAATCCACATATTGCAGAGAATCTGTATTGATCTATATTAATCTTTCTCTCCTCAAGATCTATTCAAAGCATACAGAAAATATTTAGTTCTAAATGTTTGAACACATTTTCCAAATGTCAAAGTTGTGCACTGATATTTTTATTTAAAAAACTGTCCATGAGTTGCTAACACAACAGGAATTTAAACATTTAACTTGGCAACAGCAACTCAGTGCATACATTGGGCTGTTTTAATTTGTATGATTTTCATTATATTTCATTATACCTCCAGAGCTTGACCAAGGCACTCCCGCAGAATCTCCTGATAACTTGGTTCATAAACTATTTCTAAACCCATTTTTCTCTCCTCCAGTGGGCGGGAAGGGCACAGAATGTGTACAAGCAGTCGACCCAACTGTGACCGGAATGTGTCTCTGCAGGACCAAAGCATACGCTTCCATTGTTGCCTTGGAGGATTACTTCTACTTACTCCCTGAAAAATATATGTACATCAATCAGCAGCCAAGAAACGATGAATCTTTCAAGGAGTACACAGCAATACACAGAACTGAAGTACATTACTTGAGACACGTTAGTAAACTACATCGCTCTGAGCTACAAGCAGTTTATGTATCAAAGTCAAACTCGGCACTTCTAAAAAGAAACATTTGTGCTTCAAAATCTATTTTTTCACATTATATCTTAACATTTACTTAATTGCATCCTAACACTGACAATTTGGATTGTTTTGTTAGTTACTAGCCAGTTAAAGTGGCTCATCATTCTCAAAATCCACCTGCTGACCGCTAAGTGATTTAAAAAACAGTACCTTATGACGCCATAGAGAATAGAAAATTACGTTTGAAACTTGTGTGAACTTCAATCCAATGCTGAGTAAAAGTGACCTTAGACCAATAGCCAGGACAACAGTAGGAGCGCTACCATTGACTTCTGCACTGCAGGTTGGCAAAGAGGATAAAGAGACAGGATGCCAGCTCCTGATCACTGTCTGAAAGAACGTCTCCACATCACATCCATCTGTGGGAACTCCTTTCCAAAAGCAGATTGTGTTGGAGACACTTCCTGCATTTTGGCGTGATGTACTTTCCGATCGACACCTTTAATTTAACAATCCTTGTTTAATCTGGCTTCACCTCTGATCATCGACCATTGAACTGAGTTGAATGTTTGGTATAACAACTGGTTGCTAGCCTAGAGGTATGAGCTTTAAAATACACAAATATACTCACCAATGATATTTTAATTCCTTCAACCATTAATTTCAGCATTTCTTTTTGAAATGTTTTCATGTTATTGCTCTGTTGTACTACTGAAATTTCTGAGGTTTCAGATGGAAAGGCTTGCTGTCTTTTATAATGTGGACATTCGGACGTGCTCAATAAATCCAGAAAGCCAGGATCAAGATCTGAAACATATTCACAAAATAGCACAAATTTTATTGGTAATTTTAAAAAGGACATTTAATTAAAAAAAACAATCTATTCATCCTGATTGATATCTTGCCTAACAAGGATTTGGTTGATATCTCAAAGCAGGCTGCCCACTACATATACACATGGCGCCTGGTTGGACTGAAGAATGGAGATAAAGCAACCTTGACATTTAAATGATTAGTAAAACACAAAGAAAAAAGGTCCCTCAATTATACTTGATTTAATTTGTGATAGTGTTGGGACCACTCAACATCTCTAGACACACATTTCTAGATGAAAAACACTGAACTGTTTCCTAACAGACTAAACGAGAAGGTACATATCATGGCATTGAACTGTTCATACCAGCAACGTTCTCAACGTTGGTCTGTGTGATCAGTCACGACAGTAATAGCAATGCCACAACTGGCTTCAATATCCATGGGTAGCTTGGGGAAGTGGTGAGAATAGTTCCTGTTTCTGATCTGTGTTTAGTGATTCTCTAACAGAAAGTGCATGTTTCTAGACATTAGGTAAAGAGGATTTTACTCAGATTTTACCCATATTTAAATAACCCAAGATTCACGGTCTGGAATGCACTGCCTGAAAGGGTGGTGGAAACAGATTCAGTAACAACTTTCTAAAGGAATTAGATAGGTACCTGAAAAAGAATAAATTGCAGGGGTATGGTAAAAGAGCGGGGGAGTGGGACTGATTGGGTAGGTCTTCCAAAGAGCCGGCACAGGCACGATTGGCTGAATGGCCTCCTTCTGTGCTGTAATATTCTATGATTCTATGATTGGTTCATACATGAAAAAAGGCAACTGGTTACGGAAGGCTCTATCGGAACAGTAATCCAACAGAAACTATTGTATTCATGAAATGAAGATGGGATGAATATAAAATACAATATTGCTGACAAATGGGATAAACACACTTACCTTGATAAATCAGTCTATTCACAGATAAAACAGTCAGTCGTTGCAGTCTCTGTATGAACTCAGTCTCAGTGGCTCTCATAGGGTTCTCATGACTCATCCTCCTCTGCATTAATACTGTGAGTTCATCACTGGCTACTGATCGCATTCTCATCAGCAAGCTATCCGACCGAGCAGCTGAAAATCTACGAGGGCCTGACAACACAGAGAACTACATAATTAAAAACTAATCCCTTTTTCTAGAAAGTTTATTATGTTGGTACTGGTTTCAAATATATTGTGAAAGACTGTCCAATAATTATAAAGTTCAGTATAGTGAAGCATTGAAGCAATAATTAACCAAGTCCCCACATGGGGCACAGAAAGTATTAATCATTCAAAAAAGAGGAACAGAGGTATTTTTTGTAGAATGTGAATTTTAGCAGTCACTATCACTTAAGTCATCATGTTCAGTCCATTTAGCACGTTTCAAATTTGAAATCAAAAATACTTTCACAAAAAGAAGCAGTTGAAAACAGTACACCAATTGTTTTGTGAATATTGTAGATATGAGGATTGAAGGATTTGGGAAAAAGCACTTTAGATGATCCAAGGCATGATAGTGATTATAAAAACTCAAGTCTACAAAACATTGCTACTTTTAACAATGAATGCACTATGCCCAGAGAAATTTTTGGATAAACTGCTTCACTGTTATACCTGGTGGTGTTTTTCAGTTAGTTTAAATTGCAGAAGAGCTGTAAGCAAACCAGTGCACCAAAAGCTATAGTCAAACAATAATTTGACCAATAGTAAACCTAAATATACTCACCATCTAAAAACATTCTTTATTCATGATATAATAATAATAATTATTCATGATCTGTGAATATTTTTAGACTGTAAGTAATGTTCTAGGTTTACAATATTAGGGAATATTTTGTTTGTTCAGCATAGTGTCTGCTCCAAGCAAAAATCATTTCAGTGTCAAGAAATGTTTCTGTTATTTGATCAGAAGGCTGAAGGTTACTACTGCACCTGCTTCTGTAGGAAAAGTATAAGAGGTGGATCCAGTTGGGGACTGAACGGGAGAATCCTGGTTTACTGGGTTGAATGAAAAAGTCATCGGAAGGTGCCCATACGAGCAGAAATGTTGTCTTGGCAGTCGTGGAATTATGGAATCTTTCATTGCAACTGAACCTTCGTTATAAACAAGTACAAATCAAATAAACCATTTCACACAGGGATGAGCTACACAATTCCTAAAAATGTTCCTTACACAAGTTTGAAGACAAAGGCTCACACTTAATAGAAATAAAACCCATACCTTGAACTATGTCAGGCAATTATCTTGTCAAAAATGGCAAATAACTTATGGAAATTCAGTTTTAGTAGTAGCAAAAACTGGTAAAAGTTAGACAAAAAGGTATACTGAAGAACTTCTACAGATATAGCACATTATTCATCCATTTAAAGGGGATATTGATCTTCATGAAATGCGTTTTGTATTTGTATTTCATTGTGTGTGTAACTCTCACATACAATTATGAACTGTAAATGGCATTAAAATGGATTATTTGTGCTAAACGTCACTGCAGTGAAAGTGACAAAATTTTATCTAACAGAAAATAATTTGCTCAATTCTATCATGATCTTATTAATGTCTACATAACACTTCACAAAAGATAAAACTATTTTACATGTACTAGACAAATCAAGAGAACACAAAAGAGTCGGAACAAAAGTACCTGAATTCATCCAAAATAATGGTGATAATACATTAAGTTTACTAATTAAAGAGAGAAGTGCTTACAAATCTAATTAAAAGGCAGACACCAAATACCTGAATATCTACGGTAACATTTGGGCCATAAAAAGGCTGGAGATTTTTAATGTAGAGAGATTAGTCTTTTCTAGTATAGTAGATGAAAATGCATCTGTTTTCTTCAGTTAATCCTGACATTTAAGAACTCCAATATAGTGTCTTAATTGGCAGTCAAATCTGTATCTTAAAGTATACAACAGTACATGAAAAGTGGAAAGGCATCCTCTACTGTGAGGATCATATATTTGTATAAGAACAATGCTTAATTTTATCTGGGGAATACGGCTCAGTATCCAGCACTGCCATGTAATTCTGAATCAATTGATTGCCTTAGCACATTGGAAGTGTTCAATTCTATCTATAATTGTGAAAAAGAAATCTATAATAAGCAAGTAAATTCTAGATTTGCAGTTGAAATTCTACTGCAATCTAAGGAGTCATCAATTCCAATATATACCCTGCCTTTTGAGGTACATTTTAATAAAAACCTGCACCACAGATTCGGGCAAATATGGTAGATAAGACTCCTCTCTTTCCTTTTCCCCAATAAGCATTGAAATTGGCAAAAAATTAGACTCCACTGAATAAAATAAGTGCATTGAAGACCCATATTATTTTAATATAGTCTTTACTCCCAGAGAAAATATAATTGAAGTCATTATGTATAAAGCAAAGAAACATTTATTTACTAGTTAACTGCAAATCTCCATTCTACTGCATCTGCCCTGCTCACCTCCCACTAGACTCAACACTCAGCTATCATATTGTGCTTACTTACCAGAGTTACTTAACAGAGTCAGCTCCAGGGAGCTAGGTTAGATGGATGAATCGAGCAGAAGAAAAAAAAATAGGGTGCAAAAATAGAGATTGCACTGCACTGCAGCTATTTTTAATAATTGCACAGCAAATATTTTGCCCACCCAAAGGAAAGTTTGGTTCAGGTGAAGTATAGTCACATTTATCATTTGGAAGGGAATATAAAGGAATTTATCTGATTTTTTCTGTGCTAAAATGTGTGCATATAAATCTATATAGTTACAATTTTCGCTTAAGATTCCTAAAGTAGAGGACATATTTAATAATTATTTGGAAAGACGCATCACTTACTTCAGTATAACACCAATAAACCAGAATCCAATAACATTCCATAAATTTATAGCAATTACTGCTTTGAAAATGTAAGGTTATATAGTGCTCCTGTGACCAATATTTTGCCAGAAGACTTACAATACAAATGTAGAAAATAAAATACTCACCAGCGATACTTTTCCTTTTCTGATGAATTGCATGGTGTTGTGTTGCAGGCAAATGGTAAGAGCTGCTCAGATTCTGGACATCCTGATTGGCAGTGCTCTTTATAAATTCAATGGCGCTCTGAAGTACTCGAAACTGCAGTGCAACAGCCATTTCTAAATAAGAACCAAATCAAACAGTCATCATTTTTGTAATCCAGACAGTCCAACTAACAAAAAATCAATACAGTACAAAGAACACTTGATATTGTAATTAACAGTTAATTATTATTCCTACGATGCTTTTATATAATGTTGTGACTGCTTTATGAGCAATATTCAAGTAGTAGTGCCAACACTTTAGCATCACCTATTGTTCAATTGCAGCATTTAGCTTTAAAAAAAGCCATGTTTTATTCCATGCATATGCAGAACTTCTGATGTCATTCCCTGGGGTACTTGTTTTTCACTCCAGTTGATCACTGACTATATACTAACACATTTCCTGGCTGTGATAAATTATGTCACTACAGTCCTGGAACCAAACCAAGAAACTTTCTGCCTTATTTGGCTTAGTAGGGAATGACACAATTCTGGTATTCTCTTGTTTTCAGGTATAGCCATGTGTCAATTTACATCACCTAAATATTAATCTACAATGATAGAATAATGCTCATATATGCAAAATCGAGAGTCAAATGTGTAACCTTTGAAAGTTAGAAACATTATGTTATAGATTAAATGGAGTACATACACATTTTGTGACAAGGTAGATCTTAAAGTGAAAGATTTAATCTTCAATGCTCCCTTTATGAATTTTACCATGTTTTCCTTTAGCTTAAAATCAACCCAAGGATTATAAATCTAAATGGCTTTTATTTTAATCATCCAGGTGCCTGACATATGTGGAAACTTGTCAAACAGAGTAGCCTTTAAAGTCCAAAACATGATACAAAAATGTAAAAATACGATGTTTAATGATGAAAATTTATTTTCCTTGATTTGGAGAAATTCGGAAAATAGACAGGTACAGATTTTTATCAATTAAAATCAGAAACTGCCAAGCCGAATTATATATTACTAGTTATCATCAGAGAAAAAGTAATAAAGGTGGTAGCATCAATAGATCAAAAAAGATATTAATCTATGCTCTGGAGTTCGAAAGGTCTGAGAAAAAAATGTCCTTCATCAATAATCTGTTCTCAGGATTGATCTTCTAAAGAAATTTATTAAAAATACAGATACAAAGGAACACAGGAATAGATGGATTACTAAGGCACATTCCTTAACAGAAGAAAGATACCTTAATGGGAAATGACTCTCAAGTTTTCCTGTCTGAGAAGCAGTTGGTGAAAATCTTGATCTAATATAAACAGCTATTATATCTGCATAGAACATTCACCTGTATGGTATACAATTTTTGCAGTTACCACATTCACCATGCTTGTTGGTTATTTCACAGGATAAATAATCTGTCATTAGTGGCAGGAACACTAGATCTGGCATGCATCCAAATGTGAAAGTTGAAATCTTATACTAAGTGATGATATTTATTAGCATGGAACCATTAACCAGCAATAGATGCATTGCCAAATTCCATATCTGCTCCTGAAGAACTGGAATACCAGCTACATGATTTATACTTCCAATGTTTAACTAGCACTGTGAATCAAGTCAAAGAGCCTTGGCCAGGGTAAGCCAATTTTGTGACAGAGGAATTAGTCACAAATAGAATGGCAAGCACACCTCAACTAAGACCACAAGTTGAAGTAATTGTCTTTTAGTTGATTTATCTGCAGAAAGACATAGGAGAGCACTTTTGAAAACAATAGGCAAGAAATTTTGGTCCAATGCATGATGATTACATCCGGATCCAGAATCATGATGATTATTTCCAGGACCAAATCGAAACGGAAAAATCAAACTGCATGTTGCAGAATCAAATTCCAGTGGTAACAAGAGATTTTACATTGACATATTTAATTAATAAAAAAACCCAGTTTCTATGGTAAATTTGCCTGGGATGGGCAATTGCAAACTCCCATCCCCAGCTCGATGCCCTTTCAGCATTGGCAAGCGCTTGAGAAATGCCCCTGACCATCTGAGAGCACAATTTTTTTTTGCTCAGCCAGGTGTCTGACACAAGAGGAAACCATGCTTTTTAAGAGTATCCAAATTAAACTGAGAATTTCATGCATCCCACCTACACATGGAAATCCCAGAGATAGATTGTTGGAATGGAATGCGCACTCTCTCCCTGGAGGGACGCATCCTGTTTAACTAATTCTGGAAAGTATTAGGCGCAGAGCCAAGGCTTGGGGACCCAAGAGTGCGTGTTGGGGTATTGCTGGAGTCTAACCGGCTAAAACCACATAGCCTGCCATTGGTATCACTGTCTGGGAAGCTTTCCCACTGCCTGTCCAGGCAGGACCACCCTACAATTTAGGGGTTTGGCTGGAGGGCTAACAGAAGCTGAGTTGGATGATTCCCTGCCCCAGTGACTCATCTGCCCTTCCAAGTCCTGCCGATGAGCCATCCGACTGTGCTATCATCAGCAGTGCCCTGGAATACTGCAGACCCGCACAAGTAAGCAACTATCATCTTCATAACTAAATTCTTAATAACTCAAACAAACAATCCCCTTGAATGGAAGAAAGTTTCAATCAAAATTATTGGGTCTTCCTGGCCAATTTTCCTCAGCCAGGAATCCATTCTGAAACGTCCCTGCCACTGGTAGATTGGGAGGAGGCGCGCAGCAGGGGAATGATGGTGAACTGACTGCTAGTAAGGTGCTAGTAGTGCTTAGTGGAATCGATTAAAATCACAGAAAAAAATATAAAGTACTCTCCTACTCACTATATTCAGCTACAAATGGCAATCATTACACTTTACAGTTATATCCTGTGAAGTGCTTTGAAATGTCTTCCCAACATGAATAGCACTGTATAACATGCAAGCATTATTAGTTTATCAAAATTAAATAAATAAAATAGATGAACCAATCTGGACATCGTATTAAGGAAATTTATCTTTGTTTACTAAAATGGATCCACAAGCTGTTACACTGAAAAAATTACACTGAAAATACTATACATTTAGAATTAAAAGGAGGCAATTTTAAAAAGTATTCTGGGTAATTCCTTGTTCAAAAATAGGCTTTTATCTTTTTCAAACAAACATTTGTACTGAACATGTTTATTGAATTCTTCCCCACCCGCAAAATTCATTACAGAATGAATTTTCAAAAGCTACCTTTTGTCTTTGTGTTCTTGCTGGTTTGCAGGTACCCAAGCAGCGAGATTAAATCCTCTATTATGCGAAAATACTGTGAACCTGAGGAGCTGCAGGAATGGATAGTAACTGCTACTAAGAGCTGCTGAATATCACATAACAGCAACTTGTAGTCACTCATTGGGATGCTATAATAAAAGGAAATGATAACAGAAATTTAGCAAACCGATGAGCTGCCTTTCAAATTTCAGAGAAAAGATTAAGGAAAATAGCAAAACCAAATTTAAAAATTTTAATTTTTAGAATTATAACAAATAATAATTAATTTGGAAATCATAACGATATGATTACAGATTCTGATATTGACCTATGACTAAACAAATCTTAAATCTTCCAATACGCTCAAAGTCCTTGTCAGGTGATTTTCTTCATCCACCCTAACATTTTCATGTATTTTGCCCTTCAGGTCGGTTCACAATCGAACAGGATTACAAGGCAGGAAGATGGGTGTGTGTGTGTGTGACAGAGAGAGAGGAGTGAGTGAGTAGTGAAAGAGATGAGTTGTGTGTGTGCGTGTTTGAGACAGACAAAGACTATTATTTATAAATAAGCTATAATAATAACTACAACTTGTACATCAAGTAGGATGAGCATTTCAGAAAGCTGCATAATCAGAATCTTGAGAGGGAAGGGAGGAGAAGCTGACCAAAGGCATAGGTTTGAAGCCAAGGAGAAGAGCAAGATAAAATGATTTTAGGAAAGAGCTCCACAGAACTAGGATGTAGTGGCCGAAGGCTCTCACCAATGATCGGAGATAGAGTGTGACGAATGAGCAGTAGCTTAAAATAGGATGAGCGGAGACAGTGGGCAAGTGAATAGGGCTGGAAGAGTTAGCATAAATAGGGAGGAGACTATGAACAAATTTGAAGATCAGGATAAAGATCTTGGTTGATCCACTAGAGTACCAAGAGCCAATGCAGACTGGCAAATAATGAGGTTAATGGGTGTGCAATGCCTGGTGCAGAAGTGAATACAGGCTACAGAGTTTTGGATGGGTTGGAGTTTGTGGGCGGTGAAGCTCAGGAAGCCAACAAGTAGAACAATGGAGATATCTAACTTCCAAGATGATAAAGGCATGGATGAGGATTTCAGTTGCAGAGAGAGGAAGGAAACAAATGGGCAATGACTAGATATAGGATCTGAAAGTTGAGCTAGTGGGGGAGGAGGGGAGAAGAGAGAAAACTGAAAATCAAGTTTATACAGTGGCTCAGTTAGCCAGAGCAAGCAGCCAGGCAAGAAACTAGTTAGAGACAGAGGTAAAGAAGGCATTAGCGACGGCTGAAAAAGATGGTTTCAGTTTTGTTGACGTTCAGCTGAATGAAGTTACAGACTCATCCCGGATGTCTGGCAGGCAGTCGGTCTGAACAGCAATAGTCCTGAAATCAACAGTGGAAATGGAAAGGCACAGTGCCTTACTCTAAATATTTAAATCAAAACTACTTTTGTAAATAAAAACACAAACTCAGAAACAAAATTTCTCTTTCTTACTAGAGGAAAGAACATTAGCATATGTGTCCAAACTCAATTATATCCTTTTCTAAATTCTTAAAACAAACCTAGCAATAGAAATTTCAGCTAGGTCTAGAATTACTCTCAACATTCCAGAGCATGCAGAATTTTGTAAATTGTTGAATTCAGTCTTAACTTTGAATTCATTTTGTGTAAGTGTTTTTAAGAACTTTAGAAAACCAGCTTCAAAGTTAAGCACTAGATTCAACAATTTGCCATATTCTGCAAGTTGAAATGCTAATAAAATGAAGTAAATACAGACTCAGGTGAAATTTCTTCTCCCAAAACTGTGGTAGGCACTTTAAGCTTTAGAATCTATACTTTGCTTCATTAACAAAATGATTTTTCTGTTGAATGGTTCTATGAGATATCATGGGTTGAACAGACAATATTAAATGGACTGTTTGCCCATAATATATTTGGAAACATTCCACCACAAATAGAGAAGCAACACCGATTTGAAGTGGATTATAACATATTACACATACATACAATACATTCAGCAATTTAAACTTTTGAAAATTATAATTTTCAGTAAGGCAGCTGTTGGGCAAGCTTCTTGCTGCTTGTCCGGCTAGGACCACTCTACCAATTAAGGCTTTGGGAAGAAACCTGGCCCCCAATGACCAGTCAGGGATTTCCAAGTCTGCCAATGAGCCAAGCTGTTTGATCTACCATCAACAGCACTCTGAAGTACTGTGGATCCACTTGGTTCAGAAACCAGACAACATAAAACCACAATAAAGGGTTTACTTGATTCCGATATTCATTTGCCAAGCACATCACTCAGCTCCAAGGAAGTCCTCCCCAAGAGGATAATCACTAATTGGTCTGATACTTTACATTTTTCTTGTCACTGTGCCACTCATTTACTGCCCCATGAGAATAGTCACTAATTGATCATTTGACATTCAGCAAGTGCAGGTTTGAACCCTCATTAGGTCGATAGCAGGTACCAGGAACTCCTTGTGATCTTCCTTGCGAGCAACACTGCTCAGCATGAAATACTTGAGAGCATTACATGATCACTACCCTAAACACATCCCTGCCCACTGAGTGATGCTCTCACCAGCTGGAAGTGCTGAGCTTGAGCAGCAGCTACTTACCTCTCTCCTCACCAATCAAGGTGGATTGCAAGACCTGGATATCTGAGGTGTATTTACAAACCCGGACTCCAAGTAACACCTTCCAGCATCTGTCGTCCCAAGCCTCAGAGTCTCCTCATCAGTTATTCTACGGACATCTGCCATCAGCATGCTGAGCAAAATTATACAGGACAAGATAGCTTGCATTGTATGAACTAACATTTTAGGGAACAACCAGGGAAGATGCAGTCAGAGGGACAGAGTGTTGCTGAGGGTGCAGAAAGGCACAGTGACTAGACACATTTAAAGTATCAGAAACCCTTACTGATAGGGTTAACCCATAGATAGCAAAGTCACTTCTGCCCATATGTAGCGGAACCAGCGGAATGAATAAATGAGCAATGAAGAAATTAGCTTAACAATTCAGCACAACCACTAACCCAAGTCACACTTCTCAAATCGTCAACCGAATCTCACAAATAAGCAGTGGTCACATTAAATAATAATAATAATAATCCTTGCATTTGATATAGCGCTTTTCACGTCGGGAGGACGTCCCAAAGCGCTTAAAAGTGAAAATGTTGCATTACATTTACAGCATCCTTTGTTTGCAAAAATCTCGCAAACAAATTTATGATTGCAGGATTATTACTTGGTTTCACAATCAAGTATATTCCTTCTAACTATTTCCTTACCCATTCTCTAGTCCATTTAGTGCTGCTAAAGTATTAAACAGCACGTAGAGTAGGCCATTGTCAAGTAGTATGTCAGCTAATTTGGAGCAAGCATTCAGAAGCTGAAGTAGGACGCACAGGGTATTGTGGACCAGTGTATTTTCATACAGGGAGTTTTCAATGAGACCCAAAATAGGAATAATGCACCTTTTATGGAATGGATCAATGTCAGTCATAATTGCTGGATCCAACCTACATTAAACAAGAAAGAGTTGGTCATAAGCATTAAAAAACAATTCCATAAAACTAAACTTGTGTGCCAACAGATGTATATTTGTAACCCATGAGATGGCAAGTTCAAAACACCACCCCCTCTGGCAGTAATCAAATGAATATTCTTCAAACACTGTCAGGAAAGTTCAGCATACCAGAGTTTTTTAAAACTGGCCTCTGCCATTCTGTCTAAAATCATAATTCATTTCAATATTTCCAGAAACGACATCTTAACTACATGGATTCATGCAGAATATCACTTATGAAATAAAGACTTTCATATCATTTTCAGATAAGAAAAAAACTAGTGTGTCAGATGGATTTCTTAATGTCCATCTCATCCTTCTAAGTGAACATGTCAGGCATCAAAGCAAACCCTGCTGTAACACTGCTAAAACATTCAAAAGCAATTCTCAGATTAGTTTGCCTATTGTCTGTTTTCAATGGCTTCATCCTTACTGCTACAATTATGTTTTATGCACATTCATGCACAATTCAGAATTTTTGACATCTGCCCTTAAGGATCAATCTCTAATCAGAGAAACAATTTCTGCACCTAGCCATTACTTAAGAATTTTTCGGCTAAACTTCTAAAGCGATTCAATTACCTTGTAAAGTTCCGTTAACATATAATAATTCTCCAGTTTACTTAAACATTCACATGAATAGATGGAAATAGGTTATTGTACTCATTTAGCATGAGCTGCAATTTGAAGTAACCTTCTTATCTTAAGAAGTTTTATCTTAAAAATGGATCCTGCCTCATGACCTGGGCCAATAGAAAAGTGCGGACATTTTTGCACACAAAAAAAATGCGGAGCACTTTACGAACCTTGCAGGAAATTGGGGGGGGGGGGTGGCACTTTGCTAAATTTTGTGGGAATTTGCGGGGGGGATTGCGGGATTGATTGGTGCTATTGAGGTACATTTTACTCTTACATTTTTTCACTTTATTGATAAAATCTAAACAAAAATAATTAACACATTAGATTGTTGCAAAAAACTTAATTACTTTTTTTAACAAAAACTGAGTGACCTTTTTTTTTCGCGGGGAGAGGCTAGTGAGGCTACAGGAGCTCACCACCTCCTGCCTCGGAGGATCGGTACCGCACACAGACCCAGAGACCGACACACACTCAGAGACACAGAGAGGCACATACACTCAGAGACAGAGAAACACACGCACTCAGATACAGAGAGAGACACACACTCAGAGACACAGAGAGACACATTCACAAAGACACACACTCAGAGACCCAGAGAGAGAGACACACACACACACTCAAGAGACACAGAGAGTGATACACACACATTCAGAGACACAGAGAGAAATACACACATTCACTCACAGACACAGAGACACTCACTCACAGACACAGAGAGACACACACATACGCAAACACAGAGAGGTACACACTCAGACACAGAGACACATTAGTGAGACACATTCTCAGAGAGAGAAACACACACATGCACAGACACAAAGAGAAATACACACACAGACAGACAGAGAAACATTCACAGAGACAACAACAACAACAACAACAAGATTCCATTTATAGAGCGCCTTTCACGTCAGGAGGACGTCCCAAGGCGCTGCACAGTTGGGTCATGACCCGAGCAGGGGGGAAATGGTCAGGGTGAGGGGAGGGAAGGGAGGGAGAGAGGAGGGGGGAAATGGTCAGGGTGAGGGGAGGGAAGGGAGGGAGCGAGGAGGAGGAAGAGAGTCGAGAGGGGAGCTGAAGGCACGGTCAAAGAGAAAGGTTTTGAGACCGGCCTTGAAGGAGGAAAGGGAGGAGGCGGCGAAGGCACTGGGGGATGGAGTTCCAGAGCCTGGGGGCTGAGAGGCTGAAGGCCCGACCACCGATAGTAGGGCGGTTGGGGCGGGGGACGTGGAGCAGACCGGAGCCAGAGGAACGGAGGGTACGGGCAGGTAGGTAGGGGGATAGTAGGTTGGAGAGGTAGGAGGGAGCAAGGCCGTGAATGGCCTTGTAGGTGAGGATGAGGATCTTGAAATCAAGACACTCAAATACACACACATATAGAAGAGACACAGACACACTCACATACAGACACACACAGAGACAATCAAAACAATGGGGCCTCCGAGTGTAGCCCATTTGCTGCTTGCGCTGCACTGTGCATGCATGCCCGGAGCTGCTCTGCCCACAGTGACATCAGGTAAAGAGCGTGAGCGGCCCAGGAACTAAATTTATGGCGGATTTGTTGCCGGCAAGCGTCGTCGTAGCGGAAAATGCGGAGAAGTTTTCCATTGGCCCTGCTCATGACGTTAAGACAGAAACAAAATGAACACAAAAACATACTCTTCATCCAGACCAACTGTGTGGCCAAACAGCATTTTAAGGAAGCACTCTAGTAACTCTTGAGTCCCTTGGTGAAGATATAACTGATTTGCCAACAATGAAAATCCATGAATTTTCAAGAATTTTTCTTTTTGTTCCTTTGACGCTCGGGTGAAATACGCATCCAACAGCTGGAAGTGAAAAATGTACAAACGTTAATAAAATGAAAAGAAAGTGAGAGAAATCTTGTTGATAAGTAACTTGAAGTAAAGACCTAGCAAGCAAGTTTCTTTGTACTTTGAGTGATAAACAAAGCTGTACTCTGGCCAGTTGAGGCATATCTACCCGTTAAAGTTAGGTTGCTATTATTTATTATGTTTCAAGAAGAGACATAACAAATAAATAACAACCTAACTTCCTTCCCACATCAAGTTCTGTGAGCCTATCAACCCCATTCTCACTGGCTCCCCATCGGTCAAAGGATTGGTTCATGATTTTCATTCTCACTTTTAAACCCTTCCAAGGTTTTGGCTCACCCTACCTCTGCGACCAAACCTTACAAACCTGTCTACTTCTTCCGCTAGGCAAGCAATGGTCTGCTTCCACATTCCCTGCTGGCCACCATCTTCAGACTGGCCTTCAGCCTTTCTGCCCCTCCTTCTGGAATTCGATCCCGAAGTCCCTTCAGCTCACCCTTTCTCTTCTTCAAGGACTGTATCAAGACCTTCCTCTTTGACCATGCCTTCAGTCATCTTCCAACCCCTTTATCCCCCATCCCTCGACAGCACGTCCCACAAACAGTTGTGGATTGAGTGAACAAATTATGTGAGGTGAGTGCTCTAACCAATACGCTACAGAACTCAGCTAATTATGTACTGTACTGTTATACCCAAGGAGTCCAGTACAAACAGGGCCTCAACGTGAATCCTTCTAGAGTCCTGCTCCTGAGCTTAACTGAAAGAGGGTTTTAGGAGTTCCTCCAGCACAGTAGAACCAATGAAATCTTTGACACATTAGGAGGAAGCCACCTATCCTAATCCTATTTCCCTTCATTATGAATCTAAAACTTATCTTTTGGATAAATAAAGGAGAAATCCCAAGAAAGTTTAACACTGCCAACGTGTGTAACACTGAACAGAAGCATCAGATACAGAACAGCATTATAGCTACTAATTTGAATGTTCAACACCAGAACACAATTTGATTGAAGCATGGAGTACAATCAGCTTTTTTTTAATGTGTTTGTTTCAAATTTGCATATATCTGAGAGTCAGGCTTCACCTTGAATCATCTGTTTGTTAAGCAGGAACTCTGCACTGCCCAAGTTTGATTTGGGGTTTGCTCAGACTTTCCCTTAACAGACACCATCAAACTTACTATCAAAAGAACTTGCATTCTGAAAAATTCCCCTTTAATGTTTTTAAATAATCTTGGAATATTACTGCTCTTTGTGAACATGTCTCTTTAATGTATCATTCTGCCATATTCTCTTACTTTAATAACTCCTTGCTGAATAAGTGGTGACGGATGATTGATTAGGACTATTAGTGCTTCAGGGTGAATCAACTTGTCCATCACATCGGGTATCATTAGATCTGGCAAAATAAGTAGGATCCCTCGCAAAAGGTCATATAATCCACAGCAAATCAGAATCAGGCAGTCCTCTGTTACAGATCTAGATACATGGAACACTGACGTTAGTAGCGAGCAAATACATTTAAAAGTACAGGCTCCACCTTACCTATCAAGTAAAAGAAAACAATGTTGCAAGCAGATAGTTTACATTTGCTAGCAGCTGTGTTTTACTGCTAAGCAAAGATCATTATCAGTTAATGAAGTTAGGAACTTACCTGAAAATGCCTCCATGTCACAAATTACGTTAATTGTGTTTGCAGTTGGACTATTCCCTTAAAATGTCAACTTGCAGCACATTGTGAGGAAGGGAACATTGGCTCCTAACCTTCAGATACCAGGGACTTGTTTTCATAAAATTCTGAGTTTTTAAATAAGGTGACTTCCTGTTTGTTCAAAGACAAATCAGGGTATGAGTGACTTTATGGAACAATGCACTGCCAAGTTCCACCATAACTTTTAAAGTGAATGTACCAGCAAGTTTACTTGTAACAGTGAAAACTGAACAGGCTATATGGGCAGATTCACAGGTCTTAGAAAACTCATGGAAGAGCAATGCATTCAAAACATTTTATTCCTCAAAAATATTTGAATCAATTTAATTACTTTTTATTAAGATAACATTCTGAGTTTTACCAGTGTTTTTGTGAATTTTATTTAACTTAAAATTAGACAAGACACTAATCATCCAACTTTACACAACATGATGGCATTAGAATTATTTCTTCCTCTCCAACTATTATTGTAAGTTTGCTGTATTTTATTGTTTTATTGCACTAGCACTTCCTATTACTTTTATATTGCAGGGACTAAAAATAACAAATACAATAGACAAAACATAAAATACTGCAGATGCTGGAAATCTGAAACAAAAACAGAAGTCGCTGGGAACACTCAGCAGCATCCATGGAGAAAGGTAAGTGAGTTCGTCAGAACTGGGACATGTTGGGAGGGAGAGGCTTCTATGGACCAACAGAGAATGGGGATGGAGGGCAAGGAAGACAAAGGAGAAAATGGGGTAGAGGACAGGGGATGATGGGTTAAAAGGTGTTAATAATGTAAAACAAAAAGTGTGTGTGTGGGGGGGGGGGCTGCAACAAAACAGGCAGACCAGAGACAGAAAAGGAGTCTCTGGGACCCAGATGATGTGGTAATGGTCACAGAAGAAAGGTAGGGGAAGGTGAGCTGTTATTGTCTGAAGTTATTGTAATCAATATTGAGGCCAGAGGGATGTAAGGTCTCCAGCAGATAGACAAGGTGTTGTTCCTCGAGTTTGCGCTGTGGTGCATTGGAACAGTAGGAGACTGTGGATGGAGAGGTCAGAGTGCGATTGGGAGGGAGAGTTGAAATGGCAAGAAACCGGAAGCTCAGGGATGTGCTTGCAGACAGAACAAAAGTGTTTGGCAAATCGGTTGCTCAACCTGCGTTTGGTCTCCCCATTGTAGAGGAGACCACATTGTGTGCAGCGAATGCAATAAACTACTTTGGTGGTAGTACACATAAATCGCTGTCTCACTTGAAAATTGTGTTTGGGGCCTTGGAGAGTCGTATGGGAGGGAGGAGGTGAAAGGCCAGGTATTGCATCTCCTGCGCTGGTAAGGGAAGGTGCTGGGGGAGGACAACAACTGTTGACAGAGATGGAAGATTGAACCAGGGATTCATGGATGGAACATTTCCGGTCCCTTCAGAATGCTGAGAGGGGAGGGAAAGATATGTTTGGTGGTTGGATCATACTGGAGGTGCCGGAAATGGCAGAGAATTATTTGTTGGAAAATACATCAGATGCAGCCATGCATCCCTTTAGGTTTTGGTGCTATGAATTCAACCCATTTAATTTGCAGGCACAATAACACATCTGGGGGTGGGAGGACCAATATGCAATCTGCATGCACTGTCAAGAATCAAAATTAGTTTTTGGGTCTTTCCAGCTATGCATTCCTGGCAACAAAATGGCTTAACCATCAGATTGCCATTAATCAGAAAATCATAGCAACATGCACTCCACGCAAGGTTGCTTTTTTATATATCTACCTTGGGACAGGAAAGTCAGCACCTCTGGAGGCAACTGTGTTGATTTGTTTATACTGCACTGCTCTTGCTAAAGCAGATATGCAACAAACATACCATTACAGCTGCTGGAGTGTAAATAAAATAGCAAGAACATCATCTATTTTCTTCTTGGAGACGTTCTGTGATTCTACTGTGAAAGCAGCTGTAATTGTCTGGTAAAATAGAAATGTAATTCTTCATCCCCGCTGAAATAACTTTCATTATGGCAACTCATCAAACATAAATAAAAATAGGCACTTCACAATATAACGATAATATTGAAGCACCCACATAAGCTGTAATAATTCCTTAAAATGAAGCAAACTTATCTATGAAAGATTTAAATGAAATAATCCTCAAACCAAATGTATTCACCAAATATGTATAACTCGACAGTGAAAAGGTAGATATTTCACTCATCAGGAGCAGCTTCATAAGCCTTGTGGGAGAAAAATTGCCACAAGTGAATTATTAATGTTATCTTTATCGTAAAGAGATAGAATGTGAATACTCCCATCAGTTGCCTTTTATATTCCATGAAATGTAATAGAGATCCATATATTAAATCTCTCATTATCCTCGCGTTTCTCTATTGCAGCAGGTAGAAAGTAATTTAATTCCCCAATTTCTTTACTTCCTTATTTTACTACCATTTTAAGCTATTTGGGTAGTTTAATAGTAACCATTAAACTGATAATATATGTATATATGACATATATAATTTCTACCCAGGCATCTCAAGTAGTGAGTGGAGCTAAACAAGTGTGTAGTGTCAATGCACAAGGCCAAGTCAAACAAAATACCATTGGAAATCACTAACTGCAGAAATTGTCAAATCATTCTATCTGAATCCATATTTTGAATGCTGTAATTTCCATTTAAGAAATTAAATCCCAATGTATGATTATATTTGGTCAACCCAAGTATCTGATACATGCAGACTCATTACTTAGAATATCCAAACCAAACATGGCTCCATGCATCCCATCTATATATGGAAGTTCGCTAGATATTTATTAGAATAGAATGCATACTCTCTCCCTGGCTCTTGCCACAAATTGGCAAGAGCCAAGGCTTGGGGACCCAGAGTGTGCATTGGCATACTGCTGGAGTCTAATAGCTAAAACAGCATAGCTTACCACTGATATTGCTGTCTGGCAAGTTTCCCGCTGCATGTCCAGCTATGACCACTCTACTCATTAGAGCTTTGACTTGCAGGCTAACAGGAGCTAGGTTGGATGACTCCCTGCCGCCAGTTACTGGTCTGGCATTGCTTGTCCAGCTAGGACCATCCTACCCGTTATGCAGAGTTAACGGGAGCTGAGTGGGAAGAGCCCTCCAAACCCTGCCGAAAAGCTAGGCTGGCTGGACTGTCATACGTAGTGCCCTTACGTTTTGTGGAATTGCCTGGCTCTGGAATTCGACTACCAAGAACGCCAGAGTCATTCCTTTGCCCAACATGTCACCTTGGAAATTCCATTGTTTTCTAAATAGCAAAGTATGGGTATAGTAAATTTTGCAGGTGACAAGAAGTCCCAAATTATTGCAAACTGCATGCACACTCCCATGAAAAAAGGCAAATTCTATTCTTACCTTTCTGCAGCATTATCAGTTTGATTGTAAGGTCGTTCATAAATTGGTGAAACACCAAAACTCTCCCATTCTTCAGGAATCAAATTATTCTCAGAAATATTTGGCCAACGCGCCATAACTAGAGATCCATTTTGGGAAGGAAATGCTAATCCCAAACTAGTAAAATTACTATGACTCCTTTGGAATGTCTGAAGCCCTTTAAGGCTATCTGGGCGATTTATTGCTTCATCTCCCATTCCTTCTTGTTTCAACTCCAATTCCAAACAAGATAAAATGCTGTTGCCATCATCTGAAGCAGGTTCACCACCTTGATTGGAGACAATATTTGCTTGGTTAACCGACTCCACTGCAGGTATCAAGCATTCTCCTACAGGACAAACTGCATCATCTTGTGCAGAAGTTGCCTTTTCTGAATCGCACACGGTTTTTGCTGACTCACAGCTGCTAAGGTATAGCTCCTCTTGCATCCTTTTCGAGGTTTCTATGCTGTCCATTTTGGGAGGATTCCCTTGATTGCGAGAGTCAGACTCACACTCAGAGACTTCTCTTAAGTCATCAAAGCTGTGTTCTCTTCTTGGGGTTAATTTTTGGTTTTGTATTTGTGGTGAGGTAGAAGGGGTGGATGGCAGACTTTTGGAGTGTTGTTCGTGCCTCGCCTGTGGACTGTGTAACGTATTATCTTGTGCTTTGTCTTCTAGGAAACAAAATGCAGGGGACCAATAGTCAGAGAAAGGTCCTCAATAGCTTTACAGAGTTTGGATATCTCAAGGCAAGAAGAATCCATAATGCTATCAAAATGTCTGTCGGATGTCATTGGTACTATATTATTTAACTCCACAACTAAATGTGTAAAATAATCAAGATGAGACTAAATGTGTAAAATAATCAAGGTGAGATTCTCACCAGCAGTTTTGCTTTTTAAAATTTGATTCTTTCTACTGATCTTCATTCTTAATTCCTTCATTAAATTACATGAAACTATGTTCCTTCCAAAACTGAACCAGTCTTCAATTCCTTCCAGGTATCGCTTTTTAAAACAAAGTATGTATAATATAAAAACATTAAAATAGTACCATAATGAGGGATCCATAGTGCTGCCAAAGACTTTTAAAAGGATAGCTTATTACAAGATTGTTAATGGAAAATACTGCCATAAGATTCAGCAGCACAAGACAAATCTATGTGTTTACAGCGGTTAGAGAGTGACCCATGATCACTGCACCATGCATTTCCATTATACTTCAATTGAAGAAACATTAAAGATTGTGGAGTCCTGTATCTCAGTGGTTAGAGCACTCGCCTTGCAAGCGAGACACCTGGGTTCAATTCCAGGCAGGGCAAAACCTTGGGCAAGTTTCCTTACTCCACACGCCTAATAATAATCCCTCCAAAACAAAACAATAATAAATTGGTCATTTTCAATCCATGACTGTTTGTGAAACACTGTTGTGCGCAATTGACTGCCGCGTTTCGCCCACAAATATATGGTCAATTCACTTTACAGTATATTCTGTGAAGTGCTTTGAGACGTCGAGAAGACATGAAAAGCGCTATATCAAATGCAAGGATTATTATTATTATAGATACTGCAATAGGGATTTGTAAAGACCTTTAACATTTCAAAATTATTTCAGTTACTCTCATTTTCAAATTCAAAGTCTGCTGATCAAGGTCCACGTAAAATATATTAAAGTAAATTGTTTAATGCTCACAACTATTTCTACCCCTATTGCTGTTTCAAACAGGTCACATGGTATTTTCCAGAGTGATGCAAAAGGAACTTGCAGAAATATAATAATAAATAATCCTTGCATTGGACTATTCTAACGCCCTCCTTGCTGGCCTCCCATCCACTACCATTCACAAAACCCAGATCTTTCAAAACTCTGCCGCCGGCATCCTCATCCGCACCAAACTCCACTCCCCGATCACCCCAGTCCTTGCCCAACTGCACTGGCTGCCTGTCCCAGAGATGATTGACTTCAAGATCCTCACTCCTCTGCATCCCCTACCTCTCTGACCTCCTCTTCCCTCAAAACAGTACCAGTTACCTTCGTTCCTCCGGGTCTGGCCTCCTCCTCGTCCCCCGAGTCCTCCGCTCCACCATCGGCGGCCGTGCCTTCAGCCACCATGCCCCGAGGCTCTGGAATTCCCTTATTCGCTCCCTTCGCCTNCCCCCCTCTCTTCCTATGTTCAGGTCCCTGCTGAAGACCTTTCTTTTCGACCGCGCTTTTTCGGCCCCGGGATCTGTTACTGTGAAGCGCTCTGAGACGCCGTCTGGCGTGGAGGGCGCTATATAAATCCAAGTTGTTGTTGATATAGCGTTTTTCACGTCTTCTAGACGTCTCAAAGTGCTTCAAAAAATATACTGTAAAGTGAATTGACAGTATATATGTGGGCGAAAGAGGCAGCCAATTGCACACAACAGTGTCCCCAAACAGTCGTGGATTGAAGTGACCAAATTATTATTTCGTTTTGAGGGATTATTATCCCTGGAAAAGTGATCTGCCAAACGACTAACAACCGGGTTCCTACTTACTGCTAGGTAAACAGAGGCGCGTGGAGTAATGAAACTTGCCCAACATTTCGTCCTTACCGGGAATTGAACCCAGGTCTCTCACTTGCGAGGCGAGTGTTCTAACCACTGATCTACAGGACTCCTATTAATATTTCTGGAGTAGGAGTTGCATACCAGAGATGGGAACCTTCTTTGTGTCGAACCCTTCGGAACTTCATCCTTTAATCACTTCGCCTTGCTCCCTCCCTTGCCTCCTTCAAGGCCTAACTCAAGACCTTCCTCTTCAACCGCTTCTTCAGTCACCATCCTACCCCAACCCTCCCTGCCCTCCACCCCTCCTGATCCCAACCCCCTGCTCAGGTCCAAATCCTTGATTGGCCAGCACCTTGGGACACCCTCCCAACATGAAAAGCACTATACAGATATAGTTTGTTGTTGTGAGGAATTATGGACATGAACCTGCAATCTATTAAATCCATAGTATTGCTGGGCAGTTTTTGGAGCCCTAGAGTGGGGAATTCACATAAATCAAATTCATTCCATAACTACTTAGTAACATATCCAATGCTCTGACTTAATCTGAAAATTTTCCTACCATCAGTTGGCAAAGCGTCAAAAGCAGATGGAGATATAGATGAAAAGCTAAGACTTCTAGTAGACTTTCCACCACTGTTGGAATATCTCATGTGTGTGATTGATTTGACTTTTTCTTGGAGGATTTTACCATCTGAAAGCAAAAATAATTTTATTAGAAATTGTATTGCACTTCACTTCAGTGATTTACAAATATCTGATTGTAATTTTGTGCATTCATCGTAGAACTTTTATTTGGTCAGTCAAATGTCTGACACATGAGGAAACCCATCACCAAACTTAGAAGAATCCAAAGCAGACTGAGTTCCACATACAAATTTTCCCACATCTGGAATGGAATGTGCTCTCTTTTCTTAGAGGGATACATTCTGCTCAACCAATTCTAAAATGTAATAGGTGCAGGTTCACGAGAGCCAGGGCATACATACCCAACAGTGTGAATTGGGGTACAGGTAACATTATCCATATAGCTTGCCAAGGTCCTAGCAAGTTTTGTCAGTTAACTTTGAAATGGATGCTGATTTGTCCATTTGCATTTAGACACTGTCCATTAATATGTACTATACATCTCCAATTATGTGATTATTTATGAAAAATAATCCCTCAAGAAAAAAACCCAATAATAATTTGGTCACTTCAATCCATAACTGTTTGTGGGACCCTGCTGTGCACAATTGGCTGCCAGGTTTCGCCCAAACATATACATTCAATTCACATTACAGTACATTCTGTGAAGCGCTTTGAGATGTCTTGAAAACGTGAAAAGTGCTACATCAAATGCAAGAAATATTATTATTATTGAGCACCGTTTCGCAAGCTTCTTGCTGTTTGTCCAGGTAGGAACAACCTACTCATTAAAGTACACCTCCAAAGAGAATTAACTCATTATTCTGTTGCCCAGCCAGCTCAGCCCCAACTGGGACCTATTTGCCTCCCTTCTAAATAGGATTAAACAAAAAATGGACTTTGACTCTACTTTCAACATAACATTCAATTTCCCAGCAACATTGCTGCTTGAATTTGGGGCAGGAGAATTATTTCATGGTATGTTATATAAATTCTTTACACTTTTTTAGGTCAGCTAGTGTCTCATATATATGTAAATCCATCACCATGCTTAAAATTATCCAAACCAGAATTCCATGCATACCACCTACACTTAGCAATTCCCGTGTTAGAATGCAATGTGCAGTCTCCCCAAAGGATGAAGTTCAAGTGAACAGAGGCCAATAAGGTGAAAACACACCGATTGATGGTAGGGCATGTAGGGCGGGGAAGATGAAGCTGAGCGAAGGCAGTGGCTGGGTTTGTGGAGATGGAGGTGGAGAAAGAGTGCAGCAAAACCATGGAGGGATTTGAAGGTGAGAATGAGGATACTGAAATTGATCCATTGGGCGATAGAGAACCAATGGAGCTGAGCATTGATAGAGTGATAAGCTCTCAGAGCCTGGTGCAGGAGCTTTGGATAGTTTGCAGCCTGCGTAAGAAAAGCTGGGGAATTAGCAATGTTAAGCCTGGGTGTGATGGATGAGGGTCATAGCGGTTGGGGGTGGGGGGGAAAGGAATTGTGCATTCTACTCACCTATATGAAGAGAAAAATAAAACCCTTGTGGAGTATGACAAACATAAGTGTTAGTGGGAGGATGCACTGCCAACAGAAAGTTGCAAATCAGTTGCAGCAACTCCAGATCTGGTGGAGATCCAAGGACTTCCTGAATGATCTTCACAAATGATCGACATACCTCCCGAGGAATAGAAGTTAGGCTTTCATCTCGATGTTCCTGAGAATGAGGGATGGGGAAAGAGAGGTACAAGAACCCAAATATATTATAACAGCAACAGCAAAATTACATTTGCATAGAACCTTTTACGTCATGAGGACGTCCCATTGCGCTGGACAAACAGATTTCGGACCTGAGGGTGGGGGTCGGGATTGGGGAGGGTGGAGGGCAGGGGGGCGAAGCAGAGTGATTGAAAGCACGGTCAAAGGCGAGGGTCTTGAGATGGGTATTGAAGGAGGCAAGGGGAGGTAAGGCGAAAGGACTGCGGGTTGGAGTTCCAGAGGGTGGGGGCAGAGTGGCAGAAGGCCCACCTGACATTAATTGAATTTGACATACTTCTAATTCACAAAATGCAAGTCTATGAAGCTGTACAATACTTACATATAGACCAAGTATCTCTGTACACCGTTACTATCATATCAATAAGATATAAAGTTATAAATATGCAAGAATGTGGTGTTATTGTACATCATCACCTGAATCCTCTCTGTGGTTGATGAGATCCCATTTACAATATGCTAATATCTTGCGATTAACAAACTAGATCAAGGTACACTTCATATGGTATCTACATTGTTTAATTGCTTGAATAAAAAACTGTAATAACTGAATTTATTTTCTTGATGAATCTTGATGTTGGCTAAGGAGAGGGGATGTTACTGTGGGAAAGAAACAAAGGAACTGTAATAGGCTATTTGGCCAGTTACTACTGATCTCCTATTAAGTCTATAGTGATCCAATTTCTCTCTTCTTCATGTCCTCTAAAATCTCAATTTACCAAACAATCTATCTTTACAAGTATTCTATTTTTTGAATACTTCAGCCAGCTCTGGCTTTCTGTAGATCCCTCGTCCGCTCCACCATCAGTAGCCTTGCTTTCACCCACTACACCCTCAAACTTTGGAACTCCTTGCCTGTATCTCTTTGCCTTGCTCCTTCTTTACTGTCTTCAAATTGCAGTTGACAACCTTTTTCATTCAACTATTCTTAAGCATGAATTAAGCTGTCATTTTGCTGTTGTGGGCAGCTTAACTTCAATAGGCACCAGATTCAAATACCAAAATCACTGAATATTGACCCTTAAAAGTCAGAAGAGATTCATTCAATCAGTATGTAATAGTTTCAAGATCAGAAGTCACCCAGCTCCAAGATTTAATTCCTATAAAACACAGCACTTGTTAGGATAAATCTGTATAAGTTACAAATGTTTCACTTAAATCTAATGAAATAGTTTATACCTGAAGAACTTGACAAGTCAAAAGGAATCGATAAACCACTTGAGCCTTCAGAAGCTGTCTGATATTAAACATCTGCTCTGGATGATCGACTCGAATGAGCACTTCAAGAGCTGCCATTAAAGTCTCCCAGACACCACGCTGGTAAAAAAATAAACACATTTTTGGTCTTGATAAACTTAGAAAATTCTCACTGTAATGTATTGATACACACAATGCCGCCAACTCTTCACATTATGACTAAAATACATTAATTAGTTCAAATGGAAGTGGACTTTGGACCAGCCTAAGTTCTGGTCCAGAGTTAGTACTGCACTGTTCTGATGAAGGGTCGTGGAACCGAAACGTTGACTCACTTTCCTTTCTCCATAGCTGCTGAGTTTTCCCAGCTCACTCTGTTTTTGTTTCAGATTACCAGCACCTGCAGTATTTTGTGTTTTGTTAGTACTGCACTTTCCTTGGTTCATATAGATCTGCATTAGCCCCAAGAATGCCTAAGCCTGCTAAATTGGATGTTGGCAATCAAGTTAGCACCTATGCCATTACGTGCAAACCTAGAAGGTGAGAAGACTGGTCCATGGATGTGTAAAAGCAAGGATACCTTCTTAAACATAATATAATTTTAGACATTTTTTTAATATAGTTCAGGGAGAATTTTGATCAGAAACTACTGATCCTAGACTTTCCTTCCCTTTAAAGAACGAAATTACGAATAAACGAGATCAGCGTGGTCCAACTGGTGGTCTGCGGGCCACATTCGGCCCGATGGGTGATTTTATCTGGCCCGAGACAATTTCCAGCATTTTAACTTCCCCTCCTTCCAGGGCAGTGGCAGGAGCTGGCGGTTGGGTGGACGCAGTGCGGAGAGTGAAAATAATACCAGTCATTGCTGCAGTCTGTCAGGATGTCAAGCGCGGCTCTTACCACCGCACCTTTACCAACCGTCGGCTCCTGCAGCTACAGATAGAGACCCACGCGGCTGATTGGGTGGGAGAAAGAGGAATGGGGGTGGGGGGATAAGAAGAGGAGAGATGGGGAGAAGACGGTTAGAGATGGGGGGGAGAGAGGGTGATTGAATGAGAGAGAGAAATTGAGAGTGTGAGAAAGGGAATAGCATGCGAGGGGAGTGAGAGGGTGTAAGAGTGTGTGCTAAAGAGTCCATGAGTCGTGAGGACAGCATTTCGTGGTTCACTGTCAGGACAGACGATCGGAGCCTCCCTCACCATCGTGATGGGAACTGAGCAACATGCTGAACTAGATAAGGGAGCACACTCAATTTCTAATTGGCATACCATATAGATTGAAGCTATGCTTCAAAAGTTACAAATACACAGGCACAAATTTTAGGCAAACCTGTGCATTAGCCCAGATCTTCCAATCCAACAGTAATTCTGACAGAAGCATCACGTCCTGGACCACAGCATGGGATTCCATGTCAATTTCAAATTGATCTTTGTGTTCATTAAATTTAAGGACTGGAGCACTGCAACATCCATCAAGTAGAGTCTAAAAATGTAGAATTAAAAAACATTCACTTCAAAGTAGATAAACAAGTAAATAGATAAGTTGAGTTCAGCTGTCAACCCATAATAATAATAATAATAATAATAATCCTTGCATTTGATATAGCGCTTTTCACGTCGGGAGGACGTCCCAAAGCGCTTCACAGAACACACTGTAAAGTGAATTGACTGTATATTTGTGGGCGAACGCGGCAGCCAATTGCGCACAGCAATGTCCCACAAACAGTCGTAGATTGAAAATGACCAATTTATTATTATTTTGTTTTTTTGGAGGGATTATTATTAGGCGTGTGGAGTAAGGAAACTTGCCCAAGGTTTCGCCCTGACTGGAATTGAACTCAGGTCTCTCACTTGCAAAGCGAGTGCTCTAACCACTGAGCTACAGGACTCCACAACCATGTGCACTTACCGGCCAGCTGCAATGAATCGCAGGAAACATAGTCTTGAACCATTGCCTGATGCGCAAAAGAACTTCCATTTCCTGCGATTCAATGCTTGCTGGTAAGTGGGCATGCTCCAACGGGTAAGATGCACTGAAATCAGGAAACGTAGCCTTGACTCGTCACCACATGCACACTTACCGGCTCCAATGACGAAGTCATATCATCCAGACTACATTTAAAATAGCTATTTTAAACAAAATTATATTGAATAATCATGAGGACGTATTCAGGGCAACTTTGTTGTCCAGTATTTTGCAAGAGCACAGGTTCATTTTTAAATGAGTGCCATATGGACCTGTTACTGGAAGCACAATACACTTCTGGCTAGAGATGACTGCCTTCCCGCATTAATATATGGGTGAATTTCAGGTCATCACTTCCTGTGTTATATACAGGAAGCATCACTAACGTAATTACCTACACATTGCTGTTGACATCACTTTGTGAAGGAAATGATCACATTGGTGCATAACATAGTGTGCAGGAAAGGATGTCAGTGGCTTACCCAGAAGTCAGTCATTTTTTCACACTCCATTTTAACCTGTGTGTTTGAGATGGCTATACTATAACAGGGTTGCCCTGCATTTAAGCAAACAGAGAATGCTTCATACCTTTAACACGTGGAAGCCTACAATACATTTTGGTTTGATTAGCACTTGATGAATCATAGCATAGCCATGACAACTCTCCATTTCTTGAATCCTCTGTTGACTGTACTTAGCTAAAGTAAGTACGATCTGCAGTGCTAGAGCTTGAGTCTTCTCACAGTCACTAACCTCAACAGCCTAAAGAAAATAAAAATGCAAAATGGTTTATTTATAATCTTCCAAACAGAGTATATTGGAGGGAGTACAGCAAAGCGCAACTGAATTTATAACTGGAACTAGCTAGCTGATTCGAAGTGAGGATATCAAAGCTGGAAATATTCATGTTAAAGATTAGGTACAGGGGAGATATTACTAAATTATTCAAGATCCTTAAGAATATAGTTAACTGAAACAAAACGCCATAATATGCTTAACATGATTAAAAAATATTTTAAAAATGGAAAAATGTCAGAAATAGAGACTATATTGTATGAGAGAAATGTGATTAAGTAGTTCAGATTGAAGTATTTTACACAGTACTTATTGTACATTTATATTTAAAAAATTGGTGCGAGATGTACCCAATGGTCTTTTTCAGCACCATGAATTTGTATGCTCCTATAATAACAATCGTTGCATTCTGATGTAACTAACACTTGATCACACTGATAGAACGTCTCAAGAGTTCTTCACAGGATTTACAGAAAAGTTCAGTGACTTTGTATTTGTAGATGAATGCAGCAGCAAATTTGACTCAGCCCTGTCCAATAGCCATTAAGAAAATAACCAGTTTTTTATCTGGAGGATTGTTAGCTCGGACACAGGGAGAATGAGAAGTGTCACATGTACTGTATTGAAAATACATAAGTGAAAAAATAGTATCATCAAACAACCAAATATTAAATTCTAATACACTCTGCATATATTACCCATGCTTAAATCTATCTTTGCTAAAAACAGATTACTAAAGTGGCCAAGAATGCACTGAAGGTAAGTTATTTTTGCTATATTCAACTTGTTTCTATGTGCACATCTGGTTTCCCTTTTCAGCTCCCTGAAAGTCTTTAATTTTTCCTGAAGATTGGAGACTGTTATAGCTTTTTTAAAAAAAACTAGATTGACACATAGTTATTTCTACATTTCGTTGCTTTTTCAGATCTCAAAAAGCCTCTAAAATTACTAAAGATTGGAGACTAATTTCACTTTTTCAAAACTGAATTGGTATGATATTGCAGAGTGAAAGTTAATTTCCTTACTCTGGCAAATAGGAAGATAAATGTACCAGTTCCCCCAATTTCATGCAAGATCCGCTGAAGTTCTTGGTGCTCTGAAGCCTTCAAGGTCTTCAGTTGCTGTGGCTCCAGCACATTACTCAGCACATCTTTCAAGCTGAATGGTCTCTGCGATGATACAGTTTTAGTTTGAACTTTGAGTCGAATTACTGGCTCATAGATAGTGTACTGAGCAGGACATCTTGGATTGTAAACAATGGCAAGACTCTCCTGCAAGAAAATACACTGTTATTTACCTGAAACCATTGTATATAGTTTTGCAGTCATGTATACACTGAAATATTAGGTATAAATTGTAACTTTAGAATAATTCTAAGGTAAAAAGGATAATTCAATAATACTTCAATGTACTTAGTTATAATTTGACAGAAGGAAAAGGGTTATTGGTTTTATGTAATATTAATTTACAATAAAGTATTTTAAAAAGGTGTAGGGCATGGCGCGAACCAGTTTCACAGAAGGAAACAAATACATTTTGCATTCATAAGTCAATCGCTCTTCAATATACCTTATCAGCACCGTTTACATATTTTTGCATAATTTAATGCTGACAAAGCTCCTGTCCCTCATACAAACATCCTTCCTGCCAAATAAGTAGCAGTGAACCAGTATATTCCCTTAGAGAAAAGTTCAATTAAAATGAGTAATGTCTGTAGAAGTGCAAAATAGGTTTTAATAATCTATAGTTTTGTCTTTGTTCCTTGCACAGATCACAGCCACCTGAGCAGCTTCCAACAGGAAACAGCACAGAACTCAGGAAATTAAAGGGAAGGGAGGAAACTAACACAAGGTTTAAAAACTATATTTTCTAACTTTGGAAAACTTTTTTTTTAATAATTATTATTATAATTATTATAAAGAATCCTTGAATTCAGTATAGCACCTTTCATGTCAGGACATCGCAAAGTACTTCACAAAATTTTACTGTGAAGTGGAATGACTGCGTATTTGTAGTTGAACACAACAGTAATGCTGTGGGATCTTTAACGTCCACCTGAACAGGCAGATCATCAGCACTGTACTGGAATGTCATCAGACTTCAAGTACCGACGTGGAGCTCTGCCTCGGAGGCAAGAGTGATACCAACTGAGCCAGGGTGACACACCTGACGAATATACAAACCAGACAATTTCCTGTTGCATAACCTTGAAGTGCATCTGCAGTGCAGGATCTAATCTCAGGATTCTTGGACAATAATTGGCAGTTAACGGCTTATGACAATAAATATTAAACACTGTACAATATCACATTTAATCAGTCAGTGAAATCAGTACTATACTCACCACCAGTGGTCCACTATCCACTTTCTTGTGTTTCATGAGTAACTCTTTGATTTGATCACACTGCAGAATCTCCACGTTAACATACTTCGAGTAATTTGGTTGTGAGTTGCCATATTTACAGGGCATAATAGAAGTAAAATCAGGCCCACAGACAAACAAATAATAAGCTTCTTCAGGTCCTATCGCGGCACCTAAGATAAAACATAAAACTTAGTTCCAATAATTTTTTTAGAAATGAAACAAAAAATTTCCAATCAGTTTCTATTCAAAATCATAAGTGTACTGAATCTATCCTTGTTGCTTTAATATAATTAGAAACTTGATTTACAAAACAAATTACTCTAGTCTAAATGCTGAAGAACCTGAATCTAAACGTCAACTCTAACCTTTTTTGTTTTTTACTTTATACGTTCCTGGCTTGGATCTGTAAGATACTCACCATTCTCTATCCCCTCCCCACCTTCAGAGCAACATTTTACGAACTCAGGATTAAAGCCATCTGCATCTGTTGGCTTACCAAAGTACCGTAGTGCAGAATCTACCTCCTCCTAATGGATCAGGTCAATAATAAAACAATCCTTGCATTTGATGTAGCGCTTTTCACGTCTTCTAGACGTCTCAAAGCGCTTCACAGAATATGCTATAAGTGAATTAACCGTATATTTGTGGGCAAAACGCGGCAGTGAATTGCGCACAGCAGTGTCCCACAAACAGCTGTGGATTGAAAATGACCAATTTATTATTGTTTTGTTTTTTGGAGGGATTAAGGTCTATAATCTGTCCCTATCCTGCCGCCAGCTCTTCTATCCTACGTACAGGTGGATCTCTGTTATGGCCTATTGGGACAGATGCAGGGGCACACCGGGTATATGGGAAATCGAATATTTCCCAAATGACCCTGTGAATGGTTCCTGAAACTTGCCATCCAGTGCTGCCTAGTTCATAAATTCCATTTAAGCCTGACAGTTTTAAACACAAGGATGTTTTATGGTCTTCGGCATTCCCCATGAAATCGGTGGCCCCATGAACACTTTCAAGGAACCCAGCTCCCACTGATCAGATGCCAACTCCACATAACAAGTCTCTCCAGACCCAAAGGATTCAGACCCCTGATGTGTCTGTTGTAGAACATCAGATATGACCAACACTGGTACAAGCCCAGAGGAACCTACTAGGCATGACCAATGAGAGACTTCAGCCAATAGAACAACATTCTTGTGTAGTTGGGCTCCCTTTTTGAATGATGCCAGTCATTGATCCTGTTTTATTTCTCTAATAACCATCCTAGCTTTGTGCTGTGCTTACCCATACGTTGCCTTTGCTGCAGTTCCAGTTTGCTGCAAAGAAGCATCCAAAACTGCTTTAAAGGCCCTCACGAATGACCAAGTTAACAACAAAAAAATGCATTTGAATAGCTCTTTTGCTTTGGGAGGACGTCCCAAGGCTCTGGACAGTCAGTCAAGGGTTTGCTTTAAACTGGAGGATTGTTGGCTAGGACACTGGGAGAAACTCCCTTTTCTTTCAAATAGAGTCATGGGTTTCACCTGAACAGTTAGAAGGAACTTCAGTTTAAAGTTGTATCCCAAACATCGGACTTAAACACTCAACCTTCTGACCATGAGATAAGCTACCAATTGAAACAGGCTGACAACTGATTAATCTATCATCTTAAATTGATCGCTCCTACTAGTTATGGGGCTCGGTATTCACTATTGACTCAGTTTGGACACCAACTGCCACTGATGGTAGGGGAAAGAGGACACACAGCAGATTGATTTGAGTTAGCTAAGTAGAGGGGGCGAGCAAAGGAGTGAGTTACGAAAAGATCAGACCAGCAAGGTGCTAGGGTGTAAAGAGAACCTTGAAGTCAATCGGTTTGATGTGGTGAAATACTGCGCAATTCTCAGAAAAATTAGAAAATGTTAATTCTTATTAAAACGTTACCATTGAAGAGAAGCAAGCTTCCAATATCCCATCTGCCAGCCAATCTGATAGTATCTTCTTGAGAAACCGTGCAATGGCCAATCATTGCAAAGGTTTTATTACTGTCAGAGGAGAGGCTGGTCTTTCGAGGAAGGGTGTAATCTAAAGCAACCTCAGACTTTCTGAAAAATAAAAATATTTGAAAAGTTCAAACAAGGATAAATATTTTTAAAGTTTAGAGAATCTTATTATCAATAAACACTCGGAAAATATCTTTAGAAAGAAGATTCAACAACGTGCAATTATATAATGTCCTTCACGTAGTGCACAGTCTCAGAGAGCTGAACAATGACAGTTTGACCCCAAGCCAGGGAGAAAGGGGAGGTGACTGTAAGCACGGTCAAAGAGGAAAATATTCAGGTGCAATCTGAAAATGATTAATGAGCAAGACGAAGGGACTGAGGCAGGGAGTTCCAGAGGTTTGGAGTGTAGTGGCAGAAGGCATGACCAATAGTGGTGGAGCGGACGGATTGAAGAATGTGAGGAAGTCCAAAGCCAGCTGAGCAAAGCGGGCAGGTAGAGGAGTGGCGTGTGAGCAGGCTGGAGAGTAGAGAAGTACTAGAGCATGAAGTGAATTGTAGGTGAGTGAGGGTATCTTGAAATCAATCTGTCCTGTGACAGGGACCCAATGGGTACAAGGTATGCAGAGTTTAAGGAAGATGAGAGACGTACAGATTAAAAATACCCTTTGGTTCATTTGATATCATCCTTTTAGAATACCACCTTATCCTCTTACCATTACAGCATCAAGGAATTTCTTAAAAGCATCCAATATCCTGGCCTGAATACTTTTCCTGGTAATCTTTTAATTGTCCTCAGTGTAAAGAAATACTTCTTGTCGTTTGTCCTAAAATTGCACTTCACGGCCTTGTTGCCTTGGCATATTTGAAAATATCCTCCTGGATTTACCCATCCCATCTAGCATCCCATATACCTCTATAAAGTCCTCTCTAAAATGTCTCCTTTCAAGGCAGAAAAGCTCTGGTATATTGAATAGTTTCTTGAAGCTAATCCCTCTAATATTTCAGGTTTCATCTATTAACAAATGTTAGAAGGAAAGGGTTAAGGAGTAGGAAGAAAGCAAAACCTAACCAAATGCTCCCATGCAATGCTATCTATTGCAATATCTCCTGGTAAATAATGTCTATCGAGGTAAGTGTTCATAGCATTCAACTAATTTACCACCTGTTTGCAAAAAAAAGGATAGCAACCTCTGATTTCTCTTCTCCCCTTTCTCTTTTTTGCTCTTATCTTGCAACACCATGCATGTAATCTGTAAACTAAAGGTCAGCCAGGCTGTGATAAACACTTTGAGAAAGTGTGAAAACATTTTGTAAATGCAAGTAGTTGCTGTTTGAAACCGGTCACTGAGGTACAATGACCTCAACCAGCTACTTCAGTAACAAACTCAGTTTTTATTTTTGGGGAAGTGGTTGAATTTCACTTGGTTTCACTTCCCTACAGCATCATATCAGATTAGGAACTCAGAAGAGTTCATTTTTTTTTAATAAATACTTTTATATATCCTTTGTCTCTATTTCACATGTATCCGTTTCAATAAAACGGTTAAACAGTTATATTTACAATGCTTTCCAGATAACGTTTAAGAACATACCTTTGGCCAGAAACCCAAAGCAAAAGCTTGCCACGAGCATTCTTCTTGTCCTCCATCTGTTGCACATAGGTCAGTGCTAAATGTTGCCATTTACCTGGAGTTAACACATTTTCCTGTGACTCAGCTTGAGCCAGCAGGCCTGCTTTCATGTCATCATTTGGATCAATACAAATTCTACAGAAAAAATATCAAATCCTTTTACATTTTAAAACCATAATATATAATGCAAGCATATTATTCTATTTCTGGCATTTGATTGAACTGCAAAAATAAAACATCGGATAACAATTTTAGCCCCAAATCTAATTGGCTTTAATAATTCACGAACAAAGAATTTGCAAGCAAATTTTGGTCAGTGCCACAAGTGCATTAGTTGGGGTAAAAATATAACTAACACAAGTTGTAAATAGCAACTCCTGCTGATCTGTCAGAACTACGCTCTGGAAGGAGCTAATGTCAGAGAGGAGTTCCTGTGGATCAGTATGAGGGAAATCGGTTTGAGTCACCATTTGCAATTCTTCTGATAAATAGGATGTTTTAGACCCTGTATCATATATTCTACTGAACATTACAAATTTTCTTTACATCACGTTAAACAAGTAAATTAAACTGATAAAAGCTAGATGAAGGTGAACTATGTTTACACAATGATTGCAGACTATTCTGGTGACTTTACTGAAAGCTTTTATTCCACATTCTTCATGAGGATTTTATTGCCATGAAATAAATTATTTTCATTAAAATTTAATTGCATCTGATGTGAAATCCAGTTCATTCATTTTGCGAATATTGAAGTTAGTCAAGGTTGCACACGCCTAAAAACATTGTTGCTGCTAAAATCAATAGATGGTGTGAATAAGAACGTTTTTCATGTAGAAAGTTAAAACTTTTACCTAAAGATGAAGCGACCTTTGGTTAAATCAGTCCAGACCTGCATCATCATTACTTTGGAGCCCATTGAAATCACATGAAGGCAGCCATCTTCAACCAACTTATCATCAGAATTTGGAGTACCATAGCAATCCGTGCCCATTGCTTTTTCACCATCTGTAAAATGAATAATTCTATAAAGTTCACAATGACCCAAGAGAGATGTATCCCGGTGACCTCATTCTGGAAAATATTAGGTGCAGGTCCCCAAGAGTGAAGGCTTGGGTGCTGGCGCACTGCTGGTGTTCAGCCTCGCTCTTTATTGTACTAGTTTTAGCTGGCAACTTCAACATGTATGCAGATGACACCCAACTCTATCTCTCTGCTTCCACCCTCGTCCCCAGGACCACTGATGTCCTGACAGACAGCAAGTCAGACATCAAGTCTTGGATGAGAGCCAACTTTCTACAGTTGAATGTCAGCAAGACCGAGGATCTCCTCATTGGCTCACGCCAGCACCTCCGCACCTCATGCACTGGCAGCATCAGCATTCAAGGATGCACACTCCACCCCACCAAGCCAGTCAGGAACCTTGGCATCTTGTTCGACCCTCAACTGTCCTTTTTTACCTAATTCATTGCCATGACCTGCTCTGCCTTCCACCACCTCCGCAAAATTGCCAGACTCTGCAACTGCCTCACCCCTCAGGCTGCCAAAAGCCTCATGTATGCCTTCATTACAACCAGGCTCGACTATGCCAATGCTGTGCTTGTCGGCTTTCCCAACTCTTCCCTCCACAAGCTCCAGATCATCCAGAACTCTGCAGCTTGTGTTCTCTCCCACACTAGGCTCCATGACCTCATCACACCCACCCTCACCCGGCCCCACTGGCTCCCCATCCCTCAGGGGATCGCATTCAAAATCCTCGTCTTCACTTTCAAGGCAAAATAAACCAATTAGTTTATTTTATTTGCTCTCAGGGTGATACTAATGACAATTACAGAATAAGAATTTGCTCAGCTCCATTTGTGAGGTGTTGACATATAAAACTGAAATTATCAGGTAATAAAGTTCTAACAATCTACTGCTATCCACTAAACAAAACCTTGAAACCCAATAAATGGAGAATTAATTTTGCAGCTTACCAGTACTGGCAACACTACTCCCTCTGAAAATATTTAGCCTATTTCGTTTTTGCTTTTTGGCTCTCTCAGTTGTTCCTTCCAGGTTACTGGTAACTTCTACTTTCATCCACAGAGAAACACTGAAGCCATCTGATATGTTGGTCAAAACAGGTACATGGAGTGGGGCCACATGCCAGGGTGACGCCAACTGGTGACCGTAACCCTCAGATTTTGTCTCTCTTTTGACGTGATGGAATTTCGACCGCTTCAGAAGGTTCGAGCTCTTGCAGCTGGGAGAGCTACCAAGTTTCTGCATAGCTGAAACATTATTGCAGGCACTAGGGCTCAGTATTATTGGAAAAGTGAGAAACTGCATTGGAACTGCATCCACATTTGCTTCCACAATTTTCAGAATCCCTCCTAGCAGTATTTTCTGAAATATACCAAAAAAAGACTTTCAAAAAGTATTTAGTTTGCATTATGAGAAAACACTTTGCTTTTCAGTCAGCCGGGTGGATGTATGACAAAACTGGAAACCTATCACTATACTTAAAAGCATCAAAACTAAACTAAGAATTCTATGCATCCCACCTACATATGGAAATTTCAGAGATAGGTTGTTGGAATGGAATGCGCACTCTCTGCCTGGAGGGAAGCATCCTGCTTACCTAATTCCAGAAATTATTAGGCGCAAGTTGGCAAGAGCCAAGGCTTGGGGACCCCAGAGTGGGTGTTGGCTTTCCCACTGCTTGTCCAGATAGGACCACCCTACATTATATATGAACATGTCTCATGGAATACAGCTAGCGTTTAATTAGCTAGAATCATACAGCCTGCTATTGTAAAGTTTCCCACTGCTAAGATTCCCACTGTTTGTTCAGATAGACCCTCCCTATCTGTTACAGCTTTGTCCTGCAGGGTTATCAAGAACCAAGTGGAAAGAATAGCTCCAGCAGTACCCCAGCACACACTCTGCGGTCTACAAACCTTGGCTTTTGCCAACCTGCGCCTATTACTTTCTGGAATTAGGTAAGCTGGAAGCATCGCTCAAAGGAGAGAGAGTGTAATTTCATTCCAATAAACATCTCTGGAATTTCCATGTATAGGTGGGATGATGGAACTCTCAATTTGACTTGAATACTCTTAAGCATGGTGATGGGTTTCCTTATGTGTCAGACACTCGATTGACAAAAAAAAGGAAAGAATCCTAGCCCCAATGACTACTTCTTCAAAGCCTGGCAATAACCCACTAGGAACACCATAAAGGATCAATTCAATTCTAATATTCCAGTCCTGTCACAATACCACACTAATTTACATTTGTATAACGCCTTTCACATTGGGAGGACATCCCAAGACCCTGGACAGTCAAGAATTTGGACCCGAGCAGGGGGGTTCGTGTCAGAGATTGTGGAGGGCAGAGAGGGTGGCTGAAGGCGTGGTTGAAGAGGGGGGTCTTGAGACCCGCCTTGAAGGAGGCAAGGGAGGGAGCAAGGAGAAGGGAATGTGGGATGGTGTTCCAGAGGGCAGGGGCAAAGTGGTTGAAGGATTAACCGCCGATGGTGGGGTGGGCGGGCAGGGGACATGGAGCAGGCCGCAGCTTGCTGAGCGGAGGGAGCGGACAGGTTGAGATAGAATTAGCAGGTTGGAGAGGTAGAAAGGAGCAGGGCCTTGATAGCGAAGATGAGGATTTTTAACTCTATCCACCGGGGATGGGGAGCCAGGCGAGGGTGGGTGTGAAGGGATCACCTTCAAATGAGCAGCCCCAAAGAGACCCCATTTGCTCACCTCCCGATCCAGAGGAGGATAATCACTAATTGGTTGTGAAGAATTTGATAATGTATTTGGAATAACATAAGTGAATGCTAAACCATAAGCAGCTTTTGTATAACGCATATTAGCAGTTAACACATCAAAATCTGTAGCTGGACAGAACTTCAACAGCCTTTTGTCACTTCTGCATAAAGTTCAGATAATTTTTTCCTAATTACTCTTCAAAAAACATGTAAAATGTTAGCATATGCTTCCCAATATCCTCAGGTATGTACCAACTACAGCTGTTCCATTTTTGTCCCACTATCACCCTTAGTTTAGCAGAAAAGCCCAAAGACGCTATCTCTGTAGCTTCCGAACATGATGGATGTGAATGTAACTTAAGTGCCTTTCTCGCCATTCCCTCTTTGAACCCCTCCAATCCGGCTTCCGCGCTGCCCACAGCATGGAAACAGCCCTGTTCAAAGTCACTAATGACATTCTGAACATCTGTGATCAGAGCTCCCTCTGCCTCCTTGTCCTCCTCGACCTCTCTGCCGCCTTCGACACTGTCGACCACTTCATTCTCATACACCGCCTCTCCTCTTTACTTAATCTTCACGGACCTGCCCTTGCCTGGATCAAATCCTATCTCTCTCACCATCTCCACTTTGTTGCTTCTTAACGGTTTTTCCTCCAGCACCTGCACTGTCACGTCTGGTGTCCCCCAGGGCTCTGTCCTTGGCCCTCTCCTGTTCAATATCTACATGCTCCCCCTTGGTGACATCATCCGCAAACATGGGGTCAACTTCCATATGTATGCGGATGACACCCAACTCTATCTTTCTGCCTCCATCCTCAACTCCAGGACCACTCAAGTTATGGATGAGGGCAAATTTCCTACAGTTGAATGTGAACAAGACTGAGGCCCTCCTGATTGGCTCGCGCCAGTGCCTCAGGCTCTGGCAGCATCAACCTCCATGGTTGCACACTTCAACTCACCAAGCCAGTCAGGAACCGAGGTGTCTTGTTCGACCCTCAACTGTCTTTTCTTCCCCACATCCATGCCATGACCCGCTCTGCCTTCCCTCACCTCCGTAACATCGCCCGACTCCGCCACTACCTCACCCCTCAGGCCGCTGAAACTCTTGTTCATGCCTTCATCACCTCCAGGTTCGACTATGCAAACTCCCTGCTTGTCGGCCTTCCCAACTCCTCCCTCCACAGGCTGCAGATAATCCAGAACTCTGCAGCCGGTGTCCTCTCCCGCACCAAACTCCGTGACCCCATCTGCCCCATTCTCGCCCGATTCCATTGGCTCCCTATCCTTCAAAGGATCCAGTTCAAGATCCTGGTCCTCACCTACAAAGCCCTCGCCCCACCCTACCTCTGCGACCTGCTAACCCCCTATCAACCCGCCCGCTCCCTCCGCTCAGCCGGCTCTGGCCTGCTCCACGTCCCCCAACCCACCCGCCCCACCACTGGTGGGAGAGCCTTCAGCCACTCTGCCCCCAACCTCTGGAATTCCATCCCCCAATCACTCCGCCTCGCCCCCTCCTTAGCCTCCTTCAAGTCCCGCCTCAAAACCCTCCTCTTCGACCATGCCATTTGTCACTCCCCTCCCCTCTCCCCCCTGACCCCAGCTCGGGTCTAAAATTCTGTACACTGTCCAGCGCCTTGGGACGTCCTCCCAACGTGAAAGGCACTATACAAATGTAATCTTGTTGTTGTTGCCTTAATGGCTGAATTTGAAGGACTTTGTAATTGGTATGGTAAATATAGAGCAGTCTAAATCATACATTTTAGATTTTAGAATATTACTCTACATTAACATTATTCTAATAACAGCGATAACCAAGTTTTCAACACATTGTGTCATCCCCATTCTCTCTATCTGGTTCCTCTAACTTTCTATCTCTTTCTGTGTGTCCTTGTCTTTCCCTTTATCTTGGACTCTCCCCCTCTCCCTTTCTAATTGCTCACTGTTAATAGATCTATCTTTGCGCTAATGGCAAAAAAACAGTTGCACGCATGAATGAGTTGTGCCAAGCATGAGATTATATGCGTGTGTGTAATGTTACTAGGTCTGAGACTGGCCTTCCCCCACGTCCCTCTGTGCAGGGTAATCACATCCACAGTAATCTTATGTGAATGCACAATATTTTGCGATTACTATGCATGTGTGCAACTGGAGTGTGTAGTCATTGAATACAAGGCTAGTAACAATTTTAGGACAATAAACTTCACATTATATTTAAAACAATATAGCTATAGATCACCAATAATTTATCTCTGATTCTACTACAACTGTAATAATAATAATAATCCTTGCATTTTGATATGGCGCTTTTCACGTCTTCGACGTCTCAAAGTACTTCACAGAATATGCTGTAAAGTGAATTGACTGTACATTTGTGGGCGAAACGCGGCAGCCAATTGCGCACAGCAGTGTCCCACAAACAGTCGTGGATTGAAAATGACCAATTTATTATTGTTTTGTTTTGGAGGGATTATGATTAGGCGTGTGGAGTGAGGAAACTTGCCCAAGGTTTCGTCCTGCCTGGAATTGAACCCAGGTGTCTCGCTTGCAAGGCGAGTGCTCTAACCACTGAACTACAGGTCTCCAGGACTGTGGACATTAACAAAGAAATTTGTTAACAAATAAATTGTGCTAGGAAATCGAATCTCTGCTTTACATAGACATAGACAGAATGGTAAAATGGGCAGACACATGGGAGATGAGTTTCAATGTAGAGAAATGCAAAGTAATGCATTTTGGTAGAAAGAATGAGGGGAGGCAATACAGGCTAGGTAATACAATCTTAACAACAACAAGATTCCATCTATTGAGCGCCTTTCACGTCGGGGGGACGTCCCAAGGCGCTGTACAGTTGGGTCAGGACCCGAGCAGGGGGGAAATGGTCAGAGTGAGGGGAGGGAGCGAGGAGGGGGTAGAGAGTCGAGAGGGGAGCTGAAGGCACGGTCAAAGAGAAAGGTCTTGAGACCGGCCTTGAAGGAGGAAAGGGAGGAGGCAAGGCGAAGGCACTGGGGGATAGAGTTCGACAGCCTAGGGGCTGAAAGCCCGGCCAGTTGTGGCGCGGATATGAGGGAGAAAGGACAGCTCAGGGTTGAACAGAACGCCGAGGTTCCTGACTGGCTTTGAGAGGTGGAGAGTGCAGCCTTGGATGCTGATGCTGTCAGCGCCTGAGGTGCGGAGGCGCTGACGCGAGCCAATCAGGAGGGCCTCAGTTTTACGCACGTTGAGCTGAAGAAAGTTATCTCTCGTCCAGGACTCGATGTCGGACAGGCAGCTGTCAGGACATCGGTGGTCGTGGAGTTGAGGGTAGAGGAGGAAAGGTAGAGTTGGGTGTCATCCGCATACATGTGGGAGTTAACCCCATGTCTGCGGATGATGTCACCAAGGGGGAGCATATAGCGGGTGAAGAGGAGGGGACCGAGGACAGAGCCCTGAGGGACACCGCACGAGACAGTGCGGGGGCCGGAGGAAAAACCATTAGTGGAGACAAAGTGAAGACGGTGGGAGAGGTACGACCAAAACCACTCAAGGACAGGGCCTTGAAGGTTTAGGTGGGAGGACAAGCAGTGGAGGAGGATAGCATGGTCGACCGTATCGAATGCTGCCGATAGGTCGAGGAGGACGAGGAGGCAGAGGGAGCCCTGGTCACAGATGGTCAGGATGTCATTGGTGACCTTGACCAGGGCAGTTTCTGTGCTATGGACAGCACGGAAACCCGACTGAAGGGTGGAGAGGAAAGAGCGCAGCTGGGAGGCGACAACTCGTTCCAGGACCTTGGACAGGAAGGGGAGGTTGGAGATGGGCCAGAGATTGATAGCTGTCGATGCATCAAGGGAGGGTTTTTTCAAGGTGGGGGTGATGGTGGCAGTTTTTAAGGGAATGGGAACAGAGCCACAGGAGAGGGACAGGTTGACGATGTCTGTGATATGTGGGGCAAGGGGGGTAAAGGGGGGTAAAAGAACAGAGAGACCTAGCGGTGCAGGTAAATAAATCCTTGAAGGTGGCAGGACAGGTAGACAAGGCTGTAAAAAGGGCAAATGGGATTCTAGGCTTTAAAAATAGGGGCACAGAGTACAAGAGTCAGGAGGTTATGATTAACCTATATAAAACACTGGTTAGGCCTCAGTTAGAATACTGTGCCCAGTTCTGGGCACCACACTATAGGAAGGATGTTAAGGCATTGGAAAGGGTGTAGAGGAGATTTACGAGGATGGTACCAGGAATGAGGGACCTTGATTATGAGGAAAGGCTCGAGAGACTGGGATTATTCTTATTGGAGCAGAGAAGGTTACGAGGAGATCTAATAGAGGTCTTCAAAATCATGAGGGGATTTGATCAGTTAGAAAGGGAAAAACTGTTTCCACTGGTGGGTGTGTCGGTGACTCGAGGTCACAGATTCAAAATAGTCTTTAAAAGAAGCAGATGGGAGGTGAGAAGAAATTTTTTCACGCAGCGAGTTGTTCGAATCTGGAACGCATTGCCTGAAAGGGTGGTCGAGGCCAATTTGATAACTATTTTTAAAAACGCGGTGGATGGGTATTTGAGGAGGACGGGTTTGCAGGGTTATGGGGAAAGGGCTGGGAAGTAGGATTGACATTAATTGTTCTATTCAAAGAGCCGGCACAGACTCGATGAGCCGAATGGCCTCTTTTTGTGCTGTACAATTCTATGATTTACCACCAAAACAAACTATTTGTGCTGCCTCTCGTATCATCTTTTAAACCTTCCTCATTAAAATCTAGAGATTACTTACAGTTGGTGGACTCTTCTCTAAAAATAGTCTCATGAGAACAGACAATTCTTCTGCGGACAGTCTGGAACTGATTAAAGTCACCAATAATTCCATGAGTACTCTTTGGCTCTCTGTACAAACATCAGAATAGGGTTATATTGTACATTATGTAATAATAATAACAATCCTTGCATTTGATATAGCGCTTTTCACGTCGAGAGGACATCTCAAAGCGCTTCACAGAATAGACTGTAAAGTGAATTGACTGTATATTTGTGGGCGAACACGGCAGCCAATTACGCACAGCAGTGTCCCACAAACAGTCGTAGATTGAAAATGACCAATTTATTATTGTTTTGTTTTGGAGGGATTATTATTAGGCTCTGTGTGGAGTAAGGAAACTTGCCCAAGGTTTCGCCCTCTGCCTGGAATTGAACTCAGGTCTCTCACTTGCAAAGCGAGTGCTCTAACCACTGAGCTACAGGACTCTACCTGATAGAGTACAAGAGTAAGGAGGTTATGATTAACCTATATAAAGCACTGATTAGGCCTCAGTTAGAACACTGTGCCCAGTTCTGGGCACCACACTATAGGAAGGATGTTAAGGCATTGGTAAGGCATTGGTAATAGTTAAGTGCTATTTAAGTAACAATTCAAAATGAAAATTATCCCAACAGAACCTATATAACTAAACATCACTCCAAACTACAGTATTAATACTCTCAAACTGTTAACCTTTCATGTAAGGCAATTAAGAACTCAAGCAAAAGAAAGAGCTTGCAGTTTACACATACCTTCTAAAGAAGTCTCTGACTGGTTTAATATATTTTGAAAACCTCCCAGAATAGTTTTTACAGCTCCCTGTAAATAAGGAAAATGTTATGAGGAAGCAAAATAGTATGAAACCATATTCATATTCAATAAGTAAGTTTTTTCCCTGTAATTCTCAAAGATGTTGAAAAAATACTGGGACCTGAATTAAATCAAGAATCAACCAGCACCAGAATCAACATGCAGGATACTGGTCCCAATTTAATATAATAATTATTGCGAAGAATTCTGCTGCTTGGATAAGGAAATAAGACTCTCCTGATCAGGAGGTTCAGAAAGCATCTCCAGCACCCAGCTCTCTCAAGAAATTGAAACTTAATTGTAAACAAAAGTAAAGCATAAGAAGTTGTTTCCAGATAAGCCTTTGGCTACCCTCTCCTCTGTCCCGCCCCCAGTTTTTTTTAAGGACAAAACACAAGATTCTTGCTAAAATGGGGGAAAGATAATGAAGACTATAGCTCAGTGGATAAGCTTCCTGAGCCATCAGACAAAGCTAATCTTTCTTCAAAAAATAAAAGTAAGTTTTACCTGTTGGTAGATGGCTGCAGCATTTTGTTCACTCCGCTGAACAACCTCGAGCAGATTCCTGAAGACATGATTTAGAACATCAAGGCTAGGGTTGCTGGCAGCCAGTAGGTTAAGCTCCAACATACAAATCTCAGGATACATTAGTTCTCCCGATATGGTACCCTCAGCAGTACTACAGAAATAACTAGATGATTGAGCCAAGGATGAAACTTCTGGCTTCACACCTGCTTCAAAAGCAAAAACAAAGATTGCATTCTGTAATTTTCTCGGTTAATATATTTGGGATTGTAGGAGAAGGCATCAAATGTAGAAACTATGTGGTGAATTGCTCAATGTTTTGTTAGAAATGGAGAAATAAAATGGATGCAACAAAACTCACAGCTGTACAGCCATACATGATTAAACAGCTTTAATAACAAGCCTTAGGCTAAAATTAATCACACAAAACTGTCAAAATGTAACTAGCAAATGTAACTATTAAACTTGCAACAAATGTGTAAGTTAAAGATCTAGGGAGAAATAAATGCCACATTTATCAAAGCAGCTGTCATAAGCATTTAATTCCTAGAAAATTAAATTTAAATCTGTTAACGGATTTGATTCCTTCAATAGTTTTCCCAAAATTGATGCTTTTTTTCATGTTCACTTGATAGCTGAAAGACACAATTACTTTACTAAAATTACATCTGAAATATTCTAGGATACAAACATAACCATTACAAGTACACATAAAACTTACAAGAATATAAGACTTAAAATTGTAATTTCAAAATCAGAATAATAACCTCTCTATCAACTTTCAAATTCTGCATTCACACACAAGGAGTTGTCAAGTCTCAGTTAGTTTACAACTATCAAGAGATCGCCTCTTCAATCGATCATAACGTGACCAAGATAAAATGCAGTTCTATTCTCAACTCAAAATGTTTAAAGAAATTTCTGACACTATCCACCTCAAGTCTAGCAATAGTTTGTCCCTCGCTCTTCTGTTGTTTGATTTTGTGCTTCATTGTTCTAGAATTTCACAAAGTCACAAACGTATTGCGTTTTTAATCTATGCTCCAGATGAAGCAAACTATCAATGAGACTGTGCCGTTTGGGTAACAAGTGTGCCCCTTTTAATTGTGCGTTTTTCTCAGGATGTAACATAATCCTAGATAATTAACATATTGTTCCCTAGTATCCAGCTATACCCAAGTCTATATTAGAAGTATTGTGATCTGACACATGCTTTAACCAAAATTAACAGTATATTTACACAAAGATAGTAACAAATACACAAGTGCACAAATATTATTAAGTGGGATGACAAAGTATCTTAAAATGAATGTAACAAAAGTTCAAAAAGATTGATAAAGAAAGACTATTCATGTAGGAAGTAGAAAGTATCACATCTCAAAATGAAATACAAGTTGGGGGGGGAAAAAAAACTTTGGAGTTGCTGCCTCTCCACATGAAAGCTATCAATCAACTGCAGAATGAAGAATTCTGCTTTCCTATATTCTAAAGTTCTTCTTTGATATTGGGGCACTGTCAAAAATGCACTGAATTTACTGATGTCCTGAAACTTCAAAAGGAGGGCTCCAAAATGACTTTCATCTAATGATATGTATTAATGATGGTATTCAATTATATTTAAATTGTCTGTTGACAATGAATCTCAGTTGTTAAATCTGCTAAACACTGAGATTACTTGACATGAGTAGATCTCAGACCATCTGGTTATATAAACTAGTCTTTGATGAACTGTTTGGCATTGATAAATACTGCACTTTTGTGACTCATTGTATAACATGTAATCTTGTGAAAATGCAATTGTAACACTGGCTCCACACATATAGAGAACTGTTGCCAGAAAAAAAAAGTCTTCCCTTGGAAAGAGAATGGAGTTTCCCTGGAAAGCAGAAGGGAGTTTCTCCAAAGCAGTTCTCCAAAAGAATTGGTTATTCACCTCATAGCTATTTGTGGGCTCTTATCACGTGCAAACTGACCGCTGTGTTTACCTATAAAAGTTTAGTAACACTTGTTATTCTATGATTGAAATTAAATGTAACCCGTTGGACCTAAACTTGTACTAATATCATAATATTTACACAAAGTTGCTAAAATATTTGAGCAGTACACAACCATTTCTGAAGATGAAGCAAGAAGTCAACTAAAGACCAACTTGTTCTACATAAAAAGTATGCAAGCCTCCTCCTCCTGATCAAATTCAAGATCCTTGTTCTCACCTTCAAATTTCTCCACAGTGTCACCCTACTCTATGGCCACCTTCAACCCCACTGGCCCAGCCACTCCCTTTGCTCAGTAAACAGTAGCCTACCTGCTTCATGTCCCCCATCCTATCCATCCCACAAATGGCAGGTGGGCTTTCAACCATTCTACCCCGCACTCTCTGGAACTCCAATTCCCTCTCTCACCTCATTCAAGGTCAGTCTCGAAACGTACTTCTTGAACCGCACTTTCGGACATCTTTCCCTTACCCTTCCATCCCCTTTGGCTTCCATCCCCAGTTCGGGTGCCCAGTTAAGCACTTTGAAACATACTCCCGACTTGGAAGCTATATAAATGTAAATTATTGCATTGTCGACATTGACTTTTCTAAACAGCAGATCTACTTACACGGTTTAAATTATACGGTTAGAGGAAAATAGTGTTTGGACACTGTGGAACACTTCAGGCAGATTTGTAGGTCACCCTATAATAACATTCTGATGAATTAATGTACTTGTAGGATATTTTAAAATAACCACTAGAAACCCAGAAAAAAGATAACTTTGAACCAACAATATTTCAGCCTTGAGTGAGCATTAAAAAAATCTTATTCTGTGTTAAATACTCAGACTGTCAGCACTGAGGTAACCCCTCAAAGTGTCCTTTCATGATATATAATGCCATCTAGTCTTGTATCCAATTACTTTCAAGTAAATATATCTATATAACTGAATTAACCATTACTACAAATAAACTCGTCTTTTCAGTATTTCATTTCTAAAGTCATGAGAACAAAAACACAATATTACTCATTATACAACAAAAAGATGCGTTGGACATTTAACTAGGGAAGATTATTTGCATAAAAAGTTTGTACACCAAAATTATCCAGTCAGGATTTGGAGTCTTGCTATAGAGCTGCATTTAAAGAACAATTTATACACGGCCTTGAAAGGATGCCTCCAAGCACTTCATAGAATTGACTAGGAGCCCGAGCTGGAGGAGCTGTGGAAGCAGGTAGGAAATATGACCGAAAGTACAGTCAAAATGAAAGGTTTAACATGGGCTTTAAAGGTGGGGAGGGAATAGACAAGGAGGAAGGAAGCTGGGATGGAGTTACAGGGCGCAGGGGCAGAATAGCTGAAATCTCACTACACATAATTAAAGCAATTCAGAAATTTGAGAAACACAATTAGCTATACTTGAGCCTTCTTTGCAAAAAAAAGTTCAACTTGACAACAAATTTACCTTCTTCGTCATCTGTACTAGCCTCTGAGTTACTTTCGCTATCAGCCTCATAACCTTCCTCTTCTGCAAAAAGAGTGATGTTGTAACACTGTGGTTCTTCAGTCTCTTCTGAAAGATCACTTGGTTGTAAAACTGACTCACCATTCACCTTCTGCAGCTGTAACACAATAGAAAGGTTTAAAATAAATCTTTAAAATCATGAGGTACATGTGGTGCTGACTGATGTGATTTTAATACGCAAAATCTAACTGTTCTAGATTACTTATGATGAAAATAAGATGGCTTCAAAGCAGGGAATTTCTTCACTCTGATTCTCACTGCAAGAGCAGGAGAAATCACGACACTTGAACTTATGTCGAGAGATCAATGGTAAGGTGAATGAGACCAGGGGAATCTCTGGAAGCATAATACAGGTTTCCAGGAGAAACAGTTATTCCAAGTAGCAAAGTAGGAAGGTGCATCAGAATGCAGTCTTAGAATACTATATTGCCAAGTTTCATATCCCTAAATAACATTGTAATAGAAAGGGAAGTGTGAACACTTAAATTTAATTGGGAAAACAATAGACACACAGTGACAACATTTGGAAGCAGAGAAAAATATTATCTCACTTGCTGTTACAATTACACAAATGGTATCAACCAATTGGCCTAAATCATAACAATGTTGCCTCATCTTATCTTTATTTTAAAAGACTTATCTCACCCTGTTGGTAAGATGCAGCTGCATTTAAGTGAGCCTCGGAAAGAACACTAGGAATGTGGAAGTTGCTGAACAGTCACTCAAACTGATATTAGCGATTTTAAAATTTGTCACAACAAACATTCCTGCATATTAAACTAATACTGAAGATGGCTAAACACAAACTGTCCTGTAAGAACGTTACTGTATAACTTCTTACAGGACAGTTTACTGTTCGTTCCTATAGATAGTAAATTGTAGAATCTATGTGTAAATTTTGAATGCTACCAAGGAATTCAGTGTTGAAGACCAACAGGCACATGATCCAACTGAAAATAGTGTAGTTATGTCTGTATATTAGACTTGAAACCACAAAATCTGAAACATAACTGCAAATGGTATAAAGTCTCTATTCTTTAGAGGGTAATGACATTCTTCACACTGCAATTCTTCACACTGCAATTCTAAACTACTGATGCATTATTATTAAGATAAAGAGTTACCAAAGACAAATGCTAGAATTGCAAGTAATCTTTGTGGGATTCAGTTGAGCATAAACAGTGAGGAAGGCTCATAACCCTTTGCACATACTCTGGTTGAACACCAATCAAGGTAAAGCAATCTTTATAGTTTTGACTTGGAGCTCAGAGAACAGTTAGTAATATAATCAAAAATTGTTGCTTTGCTTGAGCAGCATAATAACTTAATTCTGCCTACTCATATTGTTCTTAGGTTGATATGCAGTACAACTGGGGCATTAGAATGATTGATTTCAGCTAAATTTTATCTCCCAAGTGTTTACATAATAGTCTGTCCTCACAAGTAATGTACATTTTATACAAAAAATAGCAAACAAAAAGATGTGATGTAGAGAAATCCAGATCTGACAGTTAATGAGGATACAGTACATTAACCTTTGGTAAACTGAAGTCAGCAGAATGAGATAACACTGTGATACTCTGCCAGGAATGTTAAACGCCCTGGGACATCCTCCTGACGTGAAGCGCTATATACAGTAAAACTCACATAAGTCTTATCTTTATAATAATAATAATCCTTGCATTTGATATAGCACTTTCATATCTTCTAGATGTCTCAAAGCGCTTCACAGAACATACTGTAAAGTGAATTGACTGTATATACGTGGGCGAAACGCGGCAGCCAATTGTGCACAGTAGTGTCCCATAAACAGTCGTGGATTGAAATAATCAATTTATTATTGTTTTTTTGAGGGATTATTATTAGGCGTGTGGAGTAAAGAAACTTGCCCAAGATTTCACCCTGCCTGGAATTGAAACCAGATCTCTCGCTTGTAAGGCGAGTGCTCTACCCACTAAGCTACAGGACTCCACATAATACGATTATAAATCGTATAATTATAAAAATTATAAATCGCATTATCGCCTAAGTTGTACATGCATCCGCGTCCCATTCAGTTTCCTATCAAAGACACCTAGATTTCTTTGCACTAGTTGTATTAATCATCTAACTCGTAACGCCACTCCCCTATTCTCCATTACCCCAACTTACCGACTGCATTGAATTGCAGGAAATTAAGTCCTGACCAGTTGATGCATGCACAATTACCAGATGGCTGCACTGAATCGTGGGAAACGTAGTCTTGACCTGTCGTTGCATGCACAGAAGAACTTAATTTTTTGCGACTCAATGCTATTCTAATACTTGCCGATAAGTCCGCATACGGCGACAGGTCAAGATGCAATGAATCGTGGGAAGCGTAATCTTGACGTCATGGCATGCACTTACCAGCTGCAGTGACGAACTGCATGTACACTTACTGGCTGCAATGAATTACGCAATCGCATGAAAGATTATTGATAGTTTACCTATAACTTGGACTTTGTGTAAGTCATATTAAATGTTACGGTTCTGACTGATATAACGTATGTGAGCTTTACTATAAGTATAAATTTGTTTTGTATATGGCAAATTCTGGACACATTACTTATTATACTTAATTCGTGTTTACAATAACAGGAATTTGGGTACAAATTTGGGGGAGGGGTAGAAGAGGTTCTGCTGGTAGTGCACACCTTCCAATCATGAGCTATTAGTCCTCTTGGCATAGGAATGCCGCAATGAGAAAATGTATTTACAAAATTCAATTATTTAAGAGGATTTTAGATTCACTCACAATGAATTACAGTAACAAATTTGAAAACTGACAGGTTTGCAATGAAAAATTAATATAATACAGGTTAACTCACCTTTTTTCTTTCTTGCTCAGCAGAATAGTCATCCATAGAACTTCCTCCCAAACACACGTGTTGTAAGGAATCAAAGAGAGGCATAGCCAAATGAGAATCAACAATAGCAGCATGAACCAGGAGATCTCGCAGTTCAATCAGGAGCTCATCCACAGAAAAGTCCTGAAAAAAAAAGTGCATGCAATTTTCACAATGGTTGTTCTAGTCACATCTTACAAGCAAGCGTCTTGGGATGCTCTCCCAATGTGAAACATTAAACAAATGTTAACTTAGATTGGATTGTAAGTCCATTGTCGAAGAGCTCGACTGTGACACCTAGCTGAATGCAGAACGCAAACACTGGAATGGGCAACAAGGCTTTTTTTTTTGAAATGCCAGCTTTAACACATCTTAAACGTATTGTGATGATTACATTTGAACTCCGTAGCCTGTATTCTCCTGCATTAGACTCCATGAGTCTATCACTCCCATCTTTCCTTGGCTCCCCTGGTGATCCAGAGACCGGGATTAGACTGCCTGAAATTTAAACCGCCAATGGTGGGTTGGATTGGGTGGAGGGTATGGAGCAAGCCTGAGTGGAGGGAGCAGCTGGATTGGTAGGATTGTAGGAAGGTGCATTTAGGGAGGGTTGAAGCCAGGGTGAGATTTGAATGCGAGGACCTTGAATTTGATCGCTCGGGAATGGGAGCCAGTGAAGCTGAGCACGATGGGGGTGATAGGGTGATGGAGTATGGTCCGGGAGAAGACACAGGCTGCAGAGTTCTGCATGGTCTGCAGATAGAGGGTCTTGGCAGCCTGGGGAGAGAGGAGGTGTGGAGATGAGTGAGATTAAGAAGACGAGGAAAACTGAGAGTGGGAGATTTACTGATTGGAGGAAAGTTGGAAGTCGAACAAGCCATAGAGTTTTCGTAGAAGAGGTGAAGTGAGCATATTGGTGTAGTCAGCAATGCCACAAACCCACCAAAAACTAAATAAAAAACTGTACCGGTAAAGGTGACTCTGAATCTTTCTCAGCAGAAATACAAGCATGAAGACAGATGGCTAATAAAGCTTCCAACAGCCTGATGCTCTGGAGTGCCCATTCCTCATCTGATGTTTTACTTTGGTCCTGGACCCTGAGAAGATCACACTCTCTGGCTGTTACATCATCTTCAGAAGTAAAACGGTGTGAAACTCCTTGCTCATCCAACTGGCCTGCAATCGTTGTTTCTTCAATATCTTCAGTCTCTGGTTTAAAAGACTCTTCATTAGTATTGACGTCTGACAAATCTTGTGTAATCACTGAACTTGATTTAGAAGACTCCGTATTTAATTCTTTTTGATTTTCACAACATGTAACTATATTATTTTTGTTTTCTTTCTTTATGTTGGACAACTTCTGAATAATCATCACCATCAGTCTTCGAGATACCTCCAGGCCACCAAGTTTATAGAACTGTTTCCGAAACACTACGCTGTTCAGGTAGATCCAACGGCAAGCAGACCATACATCTGATGCTTGTCTTATCTGCTCTTTTGAAGGTAAAGTAACACTGTCGGGTGATAAGTGGGGAAGTAGGTTACCCAGAGGTTCACTTGCTGTGCTATCATAACCTGAAGTATCTTCAGAGTCATTGGCAGAGTCACGATCAGATTCAGTCTCTTTACTGACGCACAGAAATGCAACACAAAGAAATAAGTTTATTACATTTAGATGAGTATCAGTAGTTTTAGATTTTTTCTTTTTTGGATACGATTCTTTCAGTTCAGCATAAAACTTACTCAGACTTTGCTGCATCTCAATTTTATGCAGGGTATTTTGATGGGTATCTGTAGTGTCATTGGGATTCAAAACAGATTCCTCATCTTCTTTTCTTTCCTGACCTTGCATTGTTACATCAATCTTCTGATCGCCAAGACACAGGATCAAGGTTTCAAACACTTTCAGCGCGCAGGACCTAACAGAGTCTAGATAAATTAGTTCAGTCATCTGATTTAATCCACTGCAGCTCAAAAATAGATCTCTGACTACCCTGTGGAAAAGAAACAAATTTTAATTTTTTTAAAATTAAGTTTGTCAAAGAACTGAAAAATAATTAATCTTAAATTAGTATCTTCAATTTATTTACTTATATGCAATCTCGTATTTATGCAACATAAAATAAACACACCTAATAGAAAATAACCTTGAATTTGTTGCCTTGAAGTTCATTATTTTGTCCCTGCTTACCCTGCTTACCATTTATAAACCAAGATTTGGGGACCAATTCACTTATTCAAAAGACAAACGCATTGTAGAAACCTGTATCAAGGTGGTATGACCACACACACGCCTCTTTACTGTCTGAGAAAGCCGAATTACCCAGTTAATATCATATTTTTCTGAGGTTTGGCTGATACTAGCAAATATGAAGTGCCAGCTTCCACTGAGGATACAGGCTTTCTCACTCATGAAAATCATCAAACTCACTCTGGGTAAGAGAACACCAATGATTAGTCTCTATAGTTAAAAGTACTTTCCACCATATAATATTCTTTTCTTTCGCCAAAGATGAGAGAATATTTTAAATATAAAGTACTCATTTAAGGCTCTCCTTTTTAAAATTCTTAAAACTGAACATATATTCTCAAACTTCTAAAATCTGACAACAGAATTAAATCTTAATTTTTGTAATTACCTCAATTACGCCATTATCAAATCATCACATCAGCAATAACTCTTTGCTTCGGTTGACAAAAACACCATTTACTGAACTTCGCTTTATTTCTGATCAAAACAGCTTATTTCCCAGAAACCAATCTTCCCATTAACTCCAAAAAAAGCTTATTGTATAATGTTTCAAATCGCTCATAGCTATCTTAACTGTAGCAATTTCATGCCTCCAAAGTGGCCTAATTTTATGCATCTTCTAGATTTTTTTAAAAAAATACATTTTTCCTAATAATAATCTCAAATAAGCCATTAAACTGAATATGGTACAGCCTATTCAGCAAAAGACATTTGTTGCCTTCATTTTCTTTAAAATTTATATTGAATTAATATTCAATATGAAATTATGTGATTCATACATTGTGCCAATTTTGCTTTAAGAACCTGTGCTAAAGCAAAATATTTCAGGCAAATGGAAACCCTACTTTTATCACTATTAACATCAAGCACTCAGATCACATGTAGCACAGATATATAGAAACTAATGTTTTCACCCACTCTACCTTTAACTCAAGCACAAAATGACATGAGCTTGCTTCGTGTGTTTCTATGTTATCTCCCAAGATTGGCAGTCCTTGTTAATGGAGCTGTGATTAATTATATCAGCATTTGATATCATATATCATCGTAATGTTTGAAAGCACTTCAGAACTTTTGTAAAGTGTAGTAACTATGCATACGTAGGCTAAATGGCAGCCAAATTTGCACACAGCCAAGAAGTGATGAATCTCATCTCAAGGATTAGTTGCCAGCACACTGGGAGAACCTCCCTTCTGTTTTCAATTAGTGACATAAGATCTTTAACGCCCACTTAAACAAGTAGATGGGACTTCTATTAATTCATCCATGACACCTTTGACAAAGCAGCACTCCCCCAGTACTGCAATGGAGTGTCAGTCAAGAAGACAAACTCAAAGTCACAACATGGAGCTAGAACCCATAATAATAATAATCCTTGCATTTGATAATAGCACTTTTCATGTCTTCTCGACGTCTCAAAGCGCTTCACAGAATATACTGTAAAGTGAATTGACTGTATATTTGTGGGCGAAACGCAGCAGCCAATTGCACACAGCAGTATCCCACAAACAGTCGTGGATTGAAGTGACCAATTTTTTTTTCTTGAGGTCTGATAATGGTCTGATTCAAAAATAAAGGGTGCTACCAGCTAGCCATTGTAACTTGAGCATGCCCAAACATTTCATATAAGTCATCATGGCTAAAATAAAAACATTTCCATAATTTTTCCCCTGAAGCACCAATGGACTATCTTTATATTTCCCCTTTCAGCTTCTGCTACAGACATCTAATTACCAAATAAATAAAATCTACTGTTATTGCATAGGTTACCATTAAAAAATTTAAAAAAGGACAATATTTACTAACCTGGATTTAAACAGTGATGGAATTGTGTGCAGGTGAAGCTGAAGGACATCTTGAGACAGGCATTTACTATGATAGCTACACACATGAGTACAGGCTGTCGTTACCCCTAGTTGCTGTGCGTGATGAGACAGTTCCACTCCCCTTTGAAGGACAGAATTGAAGATACGTGTGTAAAGCTCCCACTTAACTACAGCATTTCCTTTTTGGATCAATTGGCATATATGGCCAGCAACCTGTGTACTCAATTGCCCGTCATCAATAAAGAGAAGATCTCGATAGGCTTCCAAGGCCTCCCACTTCCACATTATGTTGTGGGATCCTCCAGTTGGCAGAATACCTTCTGATCTATAAATAGGACTGGTAAGGTTAGATGGAGGGCTGATGTCTGTGAGGCCACCTTGCAGAGTTTCTGTAGTATCTGATACTTGGCCGCTGTCAACAGTGCAGATATTACAACTTGCTTGTTTAATTTTTTCTGAAACCTCTCCACCCCCAAGTTGCTCAAGGATCAACTTAGTCAGAATACTCAAGATGCGCTGCTGATAGGCTTTTAAAGTTTGCGATTTTATGGTATAAAGCATGGGGGCAATAACAGACATTGGGTCCATGCAACAGCAAATTCCCACATTATGAATACCTGATAAAATCCACAAACTGGTGCTGTTTAAGGTAACTTTCTGCAACATACGTAGACACTGATGAGCACAAACTGCAATGCAGCAACAACGTTCAGGATAACATATTTCTCCATCCAATGTCTCCTCAAAGGGATTATTACACTGCTGACTCTTGAATGCTGACACTGGGAGGCCAGAAAGGTCTCTGTGGTGATGCATGAACTGAGAATATTCACATCGTCTGTGTCGCTTGCGTGTACAGACAGAATGATGAAGCTGCTCTGATTTAATTTTTTTGATTGTGCTAATTATTTTCATGATACTATTGAGCAGGGTTTTGATATGCTGTGCTGCCTCACTAAACTTTGGTTCATCCTTTGTGACTAACTTTTCCATTTGAAGCAGCGTACTTTCAAACAGCTCAAAGCCGTGATGTTGTGTAAATTCGTGAATGAGGTCCATGGCTTGACTGAAAAAGAAGGGATTTGAGGATGCTGTTTGCAGCGTACAAATTAAGATTTGTAAAACCACTTCAAGTAATTCCGGCACCAGCAATTCTTTGTTGCGAGACTTTGAGAAAGAAAAGTCTTCCCTGACCTCTTGCAGAGTTGTCTTTGGCCTCGGGGCAAAAGGATCAGGTTGTTTTTCAACCCAACTCTTGATCTTTAATGTTACCCTAAGCAAATCTGTAATATTTCTTCTTAGCGTATCTGGCATATTATCTCTGCAATTAATATCAACTGACATCAGATGCAATACAGTTCTTAAAAGCATTCTCTGAACCAAGGCTACCGGTTCTTCTGTCCAGCCTGGAGCTACTTCTTCCTTTTCTGGTACATTACCATTACAGCAATTCCCAAATCCACCTAAAAACTCTGTTAATGTAGGCACTACACTTGCTGCTAATGCTGGATTGTGATTTAAGGCCATGTCAGATTTGCAAACTTTTCTTAATAAAGACAACAAAACATGACAGAGATCAAATGGAGTATTTTCCATCTTATTTAAAATTGACAATGCTGCTGAGTCAGTCAACACCTCCATATCCAAATCTTGTAAAGGAATAGATTGATCACTACATTCTAAACTCTTTCTATTCTCTTCAACGCTTATAGTTGGAAGAAGGCTTCCCCTGGAGGACCCATAGTCTTCTCTTTGCTGGCTCATTACAAATGGATGTAAAGTCTGCTGTCGTCTTTGTCTAATCATGACTGAACTCTTATCATCAGAATTGACCTCAGAATCTGATGTGGAAAGCTGGGTTTTTCTGGCATCCTTCAAAGAATAACGTTGGGTGCTTTTACGTTGTCGCCTGGTTTTCCAATTGCTGGTGCTAAGTCTTGATGGTACCTGAGCAGAACAAACAGAGCTTCCATCTGGAGTGCCAGCTGGCTTTTCCTGAGATTTAGGATTCTTGCTCTCTTTGGTAAACAAGAGGTCTTCTAATGCAGATAGATTATATTCTAAGAAACAAAGCAAATTATAACAAGCCATTATACCCAATGCATTAACATAGCAGATTTTTAACAAATAAATCTGCAGGTACATAAGCAGACAATCCTAGTCAAAATAAAAATGGCACATTAACTTGGCAACAGCATCATTATAACTTGAAACCTACCAACCTAGTCCCTCCCTCCGTTCAGCAGGCTTCGGCCTGCTCCATGTCTCCCGCCCGACCCGCCCTACCATCAGCGGCGGAGCTTTCAGCCTCTCTGCCCCCACACTCTGGAACTCATTCCACAGTCCCTTCACCTCGCTTCCTCCCTTGCCTCCTTCAAGGCCGGTCTCAAGTCCCTCCTCTTCGATTGTGCCTTCGGTCGCCCTCCCATCTCTCTGCCTTTCCTCACCCCTACCCCATGCTTGGATCCTGACCGCTGACTGTCCAGCGCCTTGGGACGTCCTCCCGACTTGAAAAGTGCTCTATAAATGTAATTTTGTTGTTGTTGAAACAGAATTAAAATTTCACATTCCACACTTGCACCCAGTGGAATTATTGCACACGAATAAACAACAAAATTAAATTTTTTTTATGCGTGTCCAATCTGTGGGCAGGAGGTTCCTGGGGGCAATGATTCTTCCCTATTGGCTTCTGTTAACTCTGTCACTTATGATCACTGTATACCCATTTGGTACAAGTAAACAGCCTGTGTTCCAAAGGCTATACTAAGGGTTGGGCAGTTTGTATGAAGTTTCAGCCTGTGCGAGAGAGGTAGTCTGAGACCATAGGGATGGCCCCAATTGTAAAGTGGATATTCTGGAGTCTGTTGGATGTTTGTATTCTCCAGTTTGCTGTGGTAATCCCCCCTTGCTCTAACTAAGTGGCTTGTTGAGCTTCTTAAGCATCTGGTTGTGTGGTCCAGACTTCTTATTTCCAACTGGTTTAGCAGTCAGCCTCTTGCCATATGCTGGACTCAGTGAAGGATGCTGTGAACTGAACTTGGCTGTGCTGTACAACCAGCACAAAATAAAGGCAAACAAGCAGACCTTTACTGACACATTTCCAGAATTTCAACCAGTTTTATAGGCTGATCCTGCACAGATCATTGCTGAAGCCACAAATAAATATGGTTTCTCATTTTGCTCCTACCTTAATTTCTTGCCTTTTTTTTTACTACTTCCTCCTCTCACACTCAATTCTATTTCATGTATTTCACATATTCTTCATCACAAAATGGCAGAAATAGGGCGAAATTCAGTGCAAAAAATATTTCTGGGAATGCATTTCACAGTGCAATGGGACTCAAAGGGATAGCATGCATGCAGCCATAAAAGTAATGCACACATTTCAGAGAAAAATTAAGTCACACAACTATCCCAGAATCCCAGTTGTAGAGCAGAATTTATGAATTAATATATGAATAGACAGACACAAAAAGACATTATAATTAAGCTAATTAAGCATTGATGTTTTGAAGTTACATGCAGGATATCCCCCACATATTTCACAACTATTAAAAAAAACCTCTATCTTCAATGTGAGTGCATTAATATAGCTATCCACATTCAGAATGGCAGATGGATTGCAATGACCTTCAGTCCACTAAATTGTATATTTATCCAATAATAAATTAGAAGATGAGAACATAAAGGAGATTTATTTTGTGGTCTTAATCCTTATCATTTCGTTCCTAATTATCTTAATAAACACAATCCATAGTAGACAGACGATCTGATTCAATTTTAAGCATCAAGTTCTACATTAGCTAAATTGAAGCTTAACATAAAACTGACCACTGCAGTGCATGCACATTATTTAAGTGATTAGTAATTTAATTAAGAAATCAGAAAGTGCCTTGATGAACTGCAATTTGTATGACTTCCCTCCTATTGGTGCAATGCAGTGCCTAATGTTTCTGATATATTTAATATTTTTACCAAAAAGAACTTGCAATTCAAATTACCAGCAATAAAACTTGGGAACCTTTTTTTTGCTAAAATGTAGACTTGCTAAGGCCAAAATTCTGATAGCCAAAAGGAATAGGAGTAAAGCAAAAAAAAAATCAATGTTAATCTCTGCCAGGGTCAAAGCAGATGGGAAATCATGGCTCTTTTGTGTCTAATCTATTATTTATTCCTCTCTCTCCATTCCACCATCAGTGACCAAGCCATCAGTCAATATACCCTACTCCCTGGAATGCTCCTCCCCAAATCTCTTTGACCAACAATCTCAAATTTGTCTCCTTTTCTCTCTTTCTCTCCTTTGCTCCGCAGGCTTTTTGAAGATCTTCAATAACATCATACTATTTAAAGTAGCTATATCAATGCAAATTGCTGTTGTCCAATTCATATTCCTGGGTAATGCACAACTGGTTCAAACAGAAGTAGATCTGCAATATGCTCTGGCTGCTAATGAGGTGGATGGAGTCTGACATGCAGGCAGAAATCCACACAAAAACTGTGCATTTGTGAATGGAATCATCACTTTGCATCCAGAAGTAGGTTTAAGACCCACCTAAGCTTATGGCAGTTAGCACAGTTGAAGGCAACAGTACAACTTTATTTATACTTTGCTGGAACTGGTGAAGTCGGCAGCTGCAATTTAATGTGGTTGGCAGACCAGACAATCCAGGAAGTGAGGAGAAGGGACGGTTGCAAAATTATACTGTGTTATAAATGTTTTTGGCAAGTGATCTCATTATTTCAAAGTACTGTAGAAATTTGTATTAAAAAAACAAGCTAAATTGTGGACACAGACAAACACATACAATTGCTGCCCTTGTGATTACGTGTTCCACATTCTTTAAATACATTTCTTATAAGTTTTATCTTCTAAACTAAAATTATGCCTCAAGCTTTAACACACTCCTGATGATGTCCCTGACTGGTTGATGAGATCATTCAGAGTTGATATAGTTAGTAACGATTCTTCAAAAATTAAACACATTGCTGTGAAAACTATTTATAAACAGAAAACGAATAGCTGATGTGGAAAGGAATGTAATTTTAGTAGGTGAAGGTAACTGAACTTCTTTTTAAAAAAAGTCAGTGTAGAATATCAATTCATTGTTACCAATATTAAAATTGATCCAGAGATTATGGCTTATTTCTATTTTGAGAAGTAATAAACATCAAATGAAAATTCAATGTTTGCCATTCACAATCCTAAGCATGTACAGTATTTCAAAAGATTGCAATTTTATGGAGTCTTAAATGAATAGATGTAAGAATCACAACTGAATAATGAGAAACATTTCTACAACTTTCTCCCTTTCTAGTCTAAAGCCACCAACTCATACTAGGGTACCGAAACACTTACTCTTCATGTGCAATCACAATAGCAAATTATCTGACTATGGAGGCACCACAGCCAAGTCTGACGTATTAATAAACAATGTATACTTTAAAACTGGTGAGGTAGGGGGTGGTACTGGATAATAGACGTGAGCAGGATCTTTAGCAAAAGAAATTCCACCCTGTGCTCAGGGACGCAGACATCAACTGAATCACGGGTAATCATTTAATTTCTTTAAATGTAAAAACTGGGTTTACTAATAAATCAATTATCTCTCACCCCCTCTCTCTATAAACAGCTTTGAGACACTTTAATCCATACATCATTCACTAATTAAGGTTTTAGCAAGTAAGGCATAAATATAAAAATAATTTTCCAAATAGTTATATTTGAATTCTTTTAAGAATGACAAATTCAGCAAATAAGAGTACTAAATTCAACTGAATTATATACATGTTCTTTTGCCATATGCATGCACACACGAGGACATATTAAATATAGTTTGAAACTAGTAAAATATGTATAAAATATTTATTCCTTTTTTAATAGTTGTTTGCAGAAATCCTACAAATAAACTCTCACAACGGTTTCTTTTAAAAAAGAAAGGATCTGTGACAAGTTCTACATACATTTTATTCACTAATGGAACAAGATTTTTTTTAAATATTAAGAAAATGATAAGACAAACCTGGAGCTCTCTCTTCTTGAACAGGTATCTTCCAAACAAGGGGGAGAAGTGACAGCAAAAGAGTAAGAAGTTCTTCCCTGCAGTCAATTCCTGACAAAAAATAAAATCCACAGATATGAGTAGTCAAATCAAAATGCAAGCTTTCCTCATTCTCATCAATTCCGACTAATTGATGCATCCATTACATTTTGGACAAGTTAAAGATCACTTGAAGTATTCAAAGTGAGCATTCACCCATTTGCCTGCAAAGATTTCAAGTCACAATCAGACGCAATCCTTTTGCAGACCATTCAATCAGAAAATACTGCTGGTATTTAACACTTCTCTGTGACTGCTTCCACAAGTAACAAGGCAGTACAAACCTTTCTTCTGAAGAGAATTCCTCACTAGGGGGAGAAGAGAGCCATTAGGTGAAAATTAAAAGCAAATAATGTATGTTCTGAAAAAGGCAGCAATAAGGCACATGAACACAACTAACATACTCTAGTTAATTTAAGTGCTGCCATGAGGTCTGAGGTTACTACACAGTAAACATTAAACAGCAATATCAAATAATAAAATCATGATTTCATTAATCACATTTTAAAACATGGCTGACCCTAACAGAAGAAATCGATAATAAAAATATTTTTGTGCCTAAAAGATTATTCTGAACATTATTTGAGGAGGGAAGACATACATGGCAGCACTGGAAGGGAAACCTGTTATCAAACATAGGTTTATCTCACACACAATTCTTCTCAAAACTGTACTCATTTAATTTTTTTCTAACCTACAATGTATTCTTCTTCAGAATAAAGCCCATATCATCCTGGTAAGCTATCAAATTTGCTAAAGGTACGGTTTACAAAGCAACTTGTGTTCTCCTTCACAATTGTGCATGAGATAATAGCAATTTTCACTGTATTTGTATGTTTTGCAGATGATTTTTATTGACAATCATGTTTTAAGATAACATATATTATATATATTGCGTTATATTAAATGCAAATTGACTGACACATTTACCTACAAAATATATAATCACCATACTTCACAGTAAAACCTGTGAAGACATCCTCCCAACATGAAAAGGCGCTATATCCATAACTCTTATCCATGTTTTCGTCACATCCAGGCTTGACTACGCCAACTCTCTAAAATGGACTTCCCAACTCTTCCATCCATAAGCTACAGACCGTTCAGAACTCTGCAGCTTGTGTCCTCTCCCACATTGGGCTCCGCAAGCCTATCACCCTCATCCTTACCTGGCTCCACCGGCTCTCTATTCCCTCGAGGATAGATTTCAAGAATCTTGTCCTCACTTTTAAATCCCTCTTCTGTCTTGTCCACCCTACTTGTGACCTTCTAAAATCCTACTAACCTACCCCTCGCTCTCTTCAGCGGGCACTGGCCTGCTTCACATCCCTCACCCTGCCCGCCCCACCATTGACAGTCGGGTATTCAAACTTTCTGCCCCCATTCTCTGGAACTCCTTTCCCGTTCCCTCATCAAATTCAAGGTCCGCCGCAAGACCTTCCTCTTTGACCGCGCCTTCAGTCAATTTACCTCCTCCAAACCCTTGGCTGCCACTTCTCCCGAATCCAACCCTCGAATGCAAACCTTTGACTGTCCAGCTCCTTGGGACGTCCTCCAACATAAAAGACACTATATAAATGCAACTTGTTGTTGTATATCAAATGCAAGGATGATTATTATTATTTATGAAGTCCTGAAGCTTAATGGTTAGAGCACTTGCCTCACAAGCGAGAGAGAGGACATGGGTTCGAATCCTGGGGAGGGCGAAATGTTGAGCAAGTTTCCTTATTCCACACGCCACTGTTTACCTAGCAGTAAGTAGGAACCCGAATGTTAGTTGATTGGCGGATTGCTTTTCTGGGGTAATAATAATAGTCACTCAATCCACGACTGTTTGTGGGACACTGCTGTGCGCAATTAGCTGCCACATTTTGCCCACAAAATAAACAGTCAAATCTGTCAAGCGCTTTGACATGTCTCGTTGACGTGATAAGGCGCTATATCGAATGCAAGGATTATTATTCTATTTAGATCTTTCTACCCACACTTCAGGTACTTTTAGGCGCTCCTTCTCCCACCCTACTATTCCATCTGCCTACTCTATACAACTAACTCGGGCTTGCTGCGCATCCCCTTCTCTGTGCCACCATCAGCAACCAAGTCTTCAGTTACTATGCCCTTGAACTTCTCTCTCTACCACTGTGTCTTGCCCCCTTTTTTTCGTTAATTACCACCTCAAATATACCTCTTCCAATACACTTATAGCCACCTCCCCCTCTCGATGCTCAGTATCCAACCCCATCCTTGTAATGCACTCTAAGACATGCTACATAAGTGCAAGTTGTTGTAGTGTGGAGTTTTTTTGGACAGCCTTGTTTGTGGCATTCAGAAATCCAACACCACATTGAAGACGACCCAAACCAGGCAAAGTTCTACATGTGTATGCCATCTACACGGCTGGAATGGATTGAACAAAATGGAATCAGACTCTCTCCTTGAAGGGACACACCCTACTTACCTAATTCTGAAGCGTATTGGGTGCAGATTGGCAAGAGGCAAGGCTTGGAGACCCCTACCGGTAACTTGACTCGATTCTGACATTCTGTTGCCAAGTTGCTGTTTCAACTTGTCCAGAATATTAGAACCACAGGACATAGCATGTGATTGAAAGGGGGTAAATTCAGAACAAATGTACGCAATCACTATTTCAGTGAACAGTGAACCTGTTGAACAGGCTCCCGAGGGAGATGGTTGAAGCAGGAAATGTTGATTCCTTCAAACACAGATCAGATACGTTTTCGTTTAGGAAATAACATGATGGGATGTAGCACATAGGTAGTTTGGGACATATGTGCATGCGACTGCCAGGGAGGTGGAAGGCGAACTAGATGGACCTTGGTCTTCTTTCATCTAGCATTTTTTATGCTCTTATAAATACTTCACCTTGGAGCCAACACAGCTCCAAGGAGATCCGACTTACTCCCCTTCCACTGATGGATAATCCTTCAGGTCCAATGGACTTTCCAATCTAAATTTGTAATCCAAAATGTTTGTCGGGAGCTGAGAAATGCTACAACTGTTTGAAATTTATAATAAGATGGCTAGTGTAAAAAATTAAACATTGTATTGTTGTATAAGGGTGCTTTTCTGAAGTTGGGTTTAAGGCACAATTTGAAACAGAGCAGAAGCAGTTTTACTTTGCATCTCATCATGCCATATCTGACCATCGGAGTTTGATCCCAAACAATGGATGACAAAATCAGAAAAAGGCTTCTGTTCCATACAATGATATTAGCTACCTTGATAAGCAAAAAAATTCACAAAAAACTCAAACAATTTCACTCTTGACCCAGCTGCTGGGAGGTGCAGTCTTTGTAAATTCTCCACTCTTAATGCTGAATATATTTTGCAGCATGCTGTAGAACTGGATTAAGTAGATCTGGCTCTGAAGTACTCAAAGGCTGAAGGGTAGAATTGAAAGCACTAATACAACTTAGAAGCAATTCTACATATAAAAGCTCATGAATGCACATAATTTTCCAACTTGCAAGTCAAAATTTTAATTTCTGGTAATGAATCATCCTCAGAGAAAGTGAAGAGTTTGCAAAAACTACATTGCTGCTATATAGGGTCAAGCTGACAGCTCACCTTACAAAGACACGATAGTCAGTACAAAGGGCTACTTACCTTCCTTTCTTTGGAAAATTGATTACAAAAAAACTTGGAAGGCAGTAGCAGTTGAAAGAAAGGCAGCTAGTAGCAGACAAACTGTAATATAAATGGCTTATTGGGAAAGCACCTAGACTCTGTTCAGCAAAAGCAATCCGTCCAGGATCAGGAACATACTGATGAGAACGGCCAGTGCAAAGTTACATCTTGGTGCAACTATGTGCTGTGTCATCAGAATTCCAATGTTCAAAGTATTTGAACAGATTTCTAACATAATTATGCACAAAAGATGCATTTAATTGTAAAAAATGCAAGATTCATCAATAACTTTTTATTATGTGAATTGTACTGTAAGCCTTAAATTAAACCAATACTGATCTTACCATAAAGAAATTGAGGTGAAAAAAAAACTGTTTCCTTTCCTTCCAGACAATATACCCTTTAAGTTAGTAGTATTCACTGTCCAATTCTACATACATCTAGATCTATAAGCCTTTCATCATACATTAGAAAAACAGTAAAGTATTACCAAATCAGAAGAATCAATTTTGACATACAAACCTTTTATAAAAAGAATTCATAATCTTAAAAGGCGTTACTGACACAAATTCATTTGGTTCTAGTCATTCTGCTCCAAAATCAGAGTTGTGTAATCTGAAATTCACTGTATAATGACAAATATTGTAAAACTTAGATACTACAATTTCCTTGTCTCGTGCATAGAGTAAAACTCACATAAGTCTGATCTGTATAAATCATATTTAAGAGTTTATATTCTATGCAAGTTTGACTTAACTCATAAATCATATTAAAGGTAAGGTCCCAACCATTATGACCTGTGACGTTTACTGTAAACCATACACCATGTAACATGATGGGTAATTTGGTACAATTTAAATAAGAGGGATAGTTTTAAATTTGGACAATTCTATCATAAGAACTTCAAAATAAATGTCACAATCAATTCCATAGTTTATTTTTTTTAAAGAATGATACATTGCTTCTAATGATGACTTGCCGGCATAACATAGTAGAAGAATATGAAGTTGCCCTGAATTCCTGATTTCACTATGTGAATGCCACTTTGGGTAAGAATAAAATTAAACCCAAGTTTAAAAAAAACATTCAATTGCAAAACCAATATTTATTACATGTCATAAACTCACATAAGTCTGAGTTGTTTAAATCATATAATCGTCTAAGCCATACGTCTGCCCAAGTCCCATTGAATTAAAAATGCAACCAATAGATTATTAATTAGAGATGCTATGACACTCCAATCTTATTTCTCCACTAAAAGGTTCAGTGGCAATTGAAAAATTACTTGAAAGCTCAACAGATTAGTTTTACTAAATGTACAACTTTGAGGCAATTTTAAAAAGGTTTAGATCATTGCTGCAATTTTAAGCAACAACATTATTGGGATGACTACTTTAAAAGGCTTCATTAAATTACCAATTTAGCATTAGCAAGCTTATGTAGAATATATTACTTGCAACGCATTTTGGATCATTCATTAAACAAAAAACTTTCACTGATTTGCAGAGAAATCAATGAAATAACCAGCATTAACCGCTGTGTGGCCAGAAACTGACGAGGTATTAGCAAGCTGATGCAATGTCAGCAAAATAAACTTAAACAAACTGAAAGGCAATTGATAAAGGATAAGTTACTGCATGGTGGTTAATCAAGAAGCTATTTGTTAAATTCAGACTTGTAACCTTAACAAAAGGACAAAAGGTCAAATAATTTGTTTTTCAACATTAAAATCATTTTTAGTGCACTACACTGAATAAAACATCAAATGCAAAAGTTCCCCCCACCACCCCCCACAAGATATTATATCGCCTGTAGCTTAGTGTACTCTCCCTAACCTGATTCTCTTTCTTGTGAGTAAATAAAACAATTGAGAGTACCATGTATGCCACGCTCCTCAATATCCTCTAAAGTCCACTACAGCACTGAGAGACTGAGTAACTTGGGAAACTCTAGCAATGTAATTCCCATACCATCAATTGGCTAGAAAATGAGTAAGACAAAGGGAGGTTAGAGAGACGGGTTTTCATTCAGCGTAATTTTTCTTTTGATGGTACAGTATATCCATAAGGAATCAGAACCAATCTGCCCAATAACCGTCCTAAGGTGTTAGGACACATGGCATAAGGCTGACTTTATTTAAGAGATATTAAAATTGGGATAGCATTTAATTTTAGTATGCAAACTCGACATGCGATGGATTTTATTGCTGCAATGGTATTACCCCAGCAAGCTTTGCAATCTTCCACCAGTAATATTTATCATACTCTTTCAGACAACTGAAACTCTATACAAAGTCCATTATATAGATCATTTACTTATTTTGTCAATTACAAAGCAAACCCATTATAACACAATGTTCGGTGCAAAATATTAGACCCTACGTTACAACTAGTTTGTAAAAAAAAATAGCCAAATTGCTGGACAGGAAGTGGTGAGTGGCATTCCTCAGGGATAACATATCTGTAGGGCAGAACATATCATCGAGACGTCTCAAAGCACATCATTGTGGAGTCCTGTAGCTCAGTGGTTAGAGCACTCGCTTTGCAAGTGAGAGACCTGAGTTCAATTCCAGTCAGGGCAAAACCTTGGGCAAGTTTCCTTACTCCACACAGAGCCTTATAATAATCCCTCCAAAACCAAAAACAATAATAAATTGGTCATTTTCAATCTACGACTGTTTGTGGGACATTGCTGTGCGCAATTGACTGCCGCGTTCGCCCACAAATATACAGTCAATTCACTTTACAGTGTGTTCTGTGAAGCGCTTTGGGATGTCCTCCCGACTTGAAAAGCACTATATCAAATGCAAGGATTATTAGGACTATTATTATTAGCACAGGATTTACTGTAAAGTGCATTGAGTGTGTATTTCATGGGCGAAAATACTTTTGTGGGATCTGTTCTGGGACCACTACTTTTCACCATGTATATATATGATTTAGACCTAGCAATAGAGGGAGAAATCTCAAAGTTTGCAGAAGATACAACGGTAGAGGGAATAGTGAATACTGAGGAGGGTCAAAATAAAATACAGGTAGATATTGATGGAATGGCTGAATGGGCAGACAAATGGTAGATGGAGTTCAATGAAAAACGTGTGAGGTAGTTCATTTCAGAAGGAAAAACATAGGAAGAACCTATGTTCAATAACTTAAAGGTGGCAAATCCTAAAGGGGTTAAAGAACAGAGGGATATAAGAGTACAGATTTACAGGTTACAGAAGGCAGTGACCCAACAATAACAAATTATATTTGTAAAGCGCCTTTCACGTCAGGAGAATGTCCCAAGGCGCTGAACAGTCAGGTGTCAGGGCCCAAGCCCTGAGGGAAGGCAGAGAGGTGGGAAGGAGACCAAAGGCACGGTCAAAGAGAAGGGTCTTGAGACCGGCCTTGAAGAAGACAAGGGAGGAAGCGAGGTGAAGGGACTGTGGGATGGAGTTCCAGAGTGTGGGGGCAGATAGGCTGAAAGCCTGGCCACCGATGGTAGGGTAGGTCAGGTGGGAGACATGGAGCAGGCTGGAGCCCGATGAACGATGAGGTTGGTAGGGAATCAGCAGGTCAGAGAGGTTGGAGGGGACAAAGCCATGGATGGCCTTGAAAGTGAGGACAAGGATCTTGAACTCGATCCTCTGGGGGATGGGGAGCCAGTGGAGTCGGGCGAGGGTGGGAATGATAGGGTCGCGGAGCCTGGTGCGTGACAGTACATGAGCTGCAGAGTTTTGGATGATCTGCAGCTTGTGAAGGGAAGAGTTAGGAAGGCCGATGAGGAGGGAGTTTCAATAATCAAGCCTTGACGAATACGTGGGTGAGGGTTTCGGCAGCCTGAGGGTGAGACAGTGGCGGAGTCTGGCAATGTTGCGGAGGTGGTGGTAGGCAGTGCGGTCATGGCGTAGATGTGGGTGAGAAAGGACAGTTCAGGGTCAAACAAGACACCCAGGTTCCTGACTGGCTTAGTGACGCTGAGTGTGCAGCCGCGGAGGCTGATGCTGCCAGGGCCTGAGGTGCGGAGGGGCTGGTGCGAGCCAATCAGGAGGGCCTCGGTCTTGCTGACGTTATGTTGGAGAAAGTTGGCCCTCGTCCAGGACGATGTCGGACAGGCAGTCGGTCAGGACGCCAGTAGTCCTGGAGTTGAGGGTGGAGGCAGAGAGATAGAGTTGAGTGTCATCTGCATACATGTGGAAATTTACCCCATGTCTGCGGATGACGTCACCAAAGGGGAGCATGTAGAGGGTGAAGAGGAGGGGACCAAGGACAGAGCCCTGAGGAACACCTCATGAGACAGTGCGGGGCTGGAGGAGAAGCCGTTGGCCGTGACGAAGTGGAGGCGGTGTGAAAGGTGCTAGGGGAATTGAGTAAAAGGATAAAGGGGTCATGTTGAATCTGTACAAAATGATGGTCAGGCCACAGTGGAATACTGTGAGCATCATAGGAAAGATGTTAAGGCATTGGAGGCAGTACAGAGAAAATTTCCCTGGAATGAGAAAATGCAGTTATAGTCAAAGGCTTGATAAACTGGGGCGTTTTTCTTTCGAGCTCAGAAGGCTGAGGAGGGATATGACAGATATATAAGATGACGTGAGGCTTACATAGTGTGGATAGGGTAAGATTATTTCCAGTGGTTAGGAGATTTATAATCAGAGAGCATAGTTTTAAAATCAGAACTGGGAGGTCCAGAACAGGGATTAAGAAGAACCTTTTCACAAAGAGAGTGATTGGAGTGTGGAATTCTCTGCCACAGTCAGATGTTGGGAGTGGCCACCATGTGCGCGTTAAAAAGACTGGTTAGGAGACAATAAAGTTGAGGGAAATGGGTGGGGGGAAAGCCAGAATATGTGACTAGGGATAGAATATAGGGTAGACTTTTGTGTGGCGTATAAAGACCAGCCAGATGGACTGAACGGTCTGTTTCTGAACTGTTCCTTCTACGAATCGATGAAGATGACGTGAAATGCACTTCCTTCCAGGTCTAAAGCACGCCAGTATTATAAGCAAATTTGTGACCCTAATAATGGAGTTGCCTTGTATCATTAGCAAATACTGTGGAGTCCTGTAGCTCAGTGGTTTGAGCACTCGCTTTGCAAGCGGGAAACCTGAGTTCAATTCCAGGCAGAGGGTGAAACCTTGGGCAAGTTTCCTTACTCCACACAGAGACTAATAATAATCCCTCCAAAACCCAAAACAATAATAAATTGGTCATTTTCAATCTACGACTGTTTGTGGGACATTGCTGTGCGCAATTGGCTGCCGCGTTCGCTCACAAATCTACTGTCAATTCACTTTACAGTGTGCTCTGTGAAGCGCTTTGGGACGTCCTCCCGACGTGAAAAGCGCTATATCAAATGCAAGGATTATTATTATTATACTGTACTGCACTCCAAGAGTATTTTTGCTAGAACCAACAACAGAAATGTTATCGCTGCTTCTCATATTCTTGCAGTAGGGTTTTGATGAAAGTTTCTCATTTTGCTAATACAAAGGTTAAAAATTATTCAGTGCATCAGGAAATTACCACTGGTGCAAAGGTCAATTTTGAACGAATAATGAAGATATAAACTGAAGTTTAAAACATTCCGTATTAAATGAAGACATTTCAAGCTTTTATAATGCAATAAGCAATAATTACAATAACAAATTACATTAAATCAGTAGAATAATTAATGGCCTAAATATTAAAACAGAGTATACACCAAATATAAAGAAACAGGATGCTAGGACACCAATCCTGGAAGCATCTGACTCATTCATTTTGTTTCTCTCACCTTAGACAAATTGTATGGCTATGAAAATCAAGGAAAACAAGTGTTACATTTATTGTCATTTAAATAATGAACTGCTTCCAATACAGTACCTGGTCAATTATGGAATCCAGCGTGCTAAGTAGTAGGTATCCTCGACCTTGAACGAGGTATTCTCCTAAAACAACCATGTGGCTTTCTTCTTCATCACCCTCAGACCTCTGGGCCACAGCATTGCAAAGCTGGTGTACATCCGTCAGGAATTCCCGTGCCAACGTGTTACAAGCACTGCTCATGTCTGAACTATGGGGAGGGAGGAAAAAAAGCACTTTACAACATTTTACTAAGTTTCCTTCATATGACCATCACAATACTGCTCACAGTAATTAAGAGATTTTCCTCCTCCAATACCAAGATTCTTTCATATACAATTAAAATGATAGTGCTTGTGTGAGAAATAGTACAAATAGCACCTTATCAGCACCCTCTAGTTAGATATCACATATATATAAGTGACACCTTGGAAAGAATTTCACAGAAATTACCAAAAAGTGAACTTACCTTTGTTGAATGAATTACATAATCACACAAAATCACTTTATTCACTTTATTCAGAAATGTGATAATGTTTGTTGATAGTAGCACCTTAATGTTCCCAGAAAGATTGAGCTATATTTTTAGAAAAAAAATTCTCTCCAATAATAACCCTTGCATTTGTCCACAATGAATGAAATCAAAAAGGGTTGAGGCATCAAAAAGGGTTGAAATCACATGACATCATGTGATATCACATGGGCATCTCCATTGATCAAAGTATTACATATTATAACTTAATAAATGTGCTGCTTCATCCATGATTTATAAATTCATTTACTAAACAAGAAAGAAAAATAGGCTGCTCATTATGATATTCTTCACAGTAATAAATGTGACTTGAATTATATATTTTAAAAATAGCAAATTAAAGCACATCACTAAATTCGTAAAATAGTGCTGCTGCTTGCTAATTATCATAACTCCGCCACCCACATTTTCATCTGCACTAAACTCCCTACCTCTACTAACTCAGTCCTTGTAAACTCCATTGACTCCCTGTCACTCTTGTATTGAAATCCCTTCATGCCACCCCCCCCTATCTCTCCAACCTGCTCTCTCCCTACACTACTACCTGCTGCCTCCGCACAACTGGCTCTGGGCCTCTTCCCTGTTCCCCTGGACCCTTCGCCCCACCATTGGTAGCTGTGATTTCAGCTACTACGCCCCGAAGCTGTGGAACTCTGCCTCAATCAATTCACCGTGCCCTCTCTCTTTCCATTTTCAGGTTGCACTTGAAGACCTTTCTCTTCGACCGTGCCTCCTGTCATCTTCCCCCTTCCCCGGCTCCGCATCGGCTCTGTCACTGTTAAATGCTCCGAGACACCGTCTGGTGTGAAGGGCGCTATACAAATGCAAGTTGTTGTTATCATAGATACTCAGGAGTAACTCTTGAAACTGTCAACTACTTGAACTGTTTAACTGTAGTAATTGTAGCTGGACAAGCAGTGGAAGCTGGTTAGACAATCCGTGTAATGGCAAGCTATTTTAGCTGGTTAAACTCCAATGCATTTGGTTCTTGCAAACTATACCTAATATTTTCTGGAATTAGGTAAACAGGGTACATCCCTCCATGGAAAATGCATTCTCCATTCACAAAAATAAAGCACTAGTGAAAATCTCCCAGTCTGAAGCAACTAATAGATAAATAGAGAAAGGTTCTATATACTTCTGTAGCTTTCAATATTCTGGATGTGGAGTATCCTAGATCCTACAGTTCCACAGACCCTACTGAAAATTTCAGATTCAAAATTTTGGGATTAGTCACTGTGCTACTCCTCAAACAACTAAAACAACAATTTTACATTTATATGGTGTATTTTCATGCCAAGAGGATGAATTAAAGAGCTTTACAGAGCAGACTAGGGGCCGAGTTGGGGGGTGAGGGCTAACGGGAGAAAAGAGAAAGGCGATGACCAAAAACACAGTTGCAAAGATCTTAAGGTGGACTGGGGAGGGATTGTGGGTTGGAGTTTCATAGAGTGGGGCAGAATAAAATCTATCGTGCTCGTAGTCCTTTAAACCTTTTGCCAAAGGGGCCCATCTGCTCCAAGGTCAGCCGACATTACGCTAGAATTCATTGTCAAATGGATTGCAGATGCAGATTCAGGTCTTCCTCTTGAAGTCAAGTCAGCTAGCTACTCCTTATCCTAATTGCAGGTTGTCTGCCTGACTCGAGTATTGGTTAAGTATTTTGAACTGTGGTGTCAGCATATTTACAAAGCAACACTGCACATCTAGTTTTCACTAGTTGCCATTTCAACAACTCCACACACAAATTAAAAAGATGAAAAATGCTTATTTGTAAATATCTCAAAGTATAACTGCATTTACAAATGCGTATTTGTAACCACTTCATTTAATTTAAATAACCTTGGATTAGATTAGATATTGCTTTACTGCTTCCAGATAATGAATATCATTGAAATCATTTTAGAAAACAAATATAGTCAAACCCCATTATACTGTGGATGCGTATCTAACACAAGTGTAACCAGTGACTTCCAGCATTGACTGGCCAGCTTTGTGCACATAGCTTTGCAGCTGACTGTCAAAGATGGTGTCAACAGCAATCTAGCAGTCGTTGGAAATGATCACAAGAACAGTCGATGCTGACCAGCTGACTTCCTGCACAGTCTAGCAATCCAATAACCACAGTCATTTTTACAGTGTGACCCATCATAACGTTTTGATGTACTACAGATCTGTCTGGCTCTGGAAGTGGACAACTGAAATTGCCAGAGAGTTGCTTCAATTTCAACAATCTATTGCTGAGTATGTCACCTTAAAGCCAATTCAACCCCGAGGAAACCTGGCTTACCTTCTCTCAAGAAGGAAAGTCATTAGTTAGTCAGCTGGAATAGACATGTTTGAGTCTTTACTGGTAGATAACAGATAGCAGGATATTCTTGAAAGCTTCCTGGTGAGCAGCACAACCCAGCTTGAAATAGTGAGAGCATTGTCACCATCCTCCTGCCCACGGCTTGGATACACATCCCTATCCATTGAGTCACAGTTCTACCAGTTGGAATTGTGGAGCTTGGGCAACACTTGCTTACCTCTCTGCATCCATTTATATTCAGTGACAAATGTAGGGGTGCAAGTGAACAATGAGTGAAGACAGAACTGAGCTCCACTATAAAGCCAAATCCTCACAGTTATACCCTGTCATGAGCCTTCAGAAAACTAATGTAGAAAATTTGAAGGGGAAAAACATATTTCCAGGTTGTAAAGGTGCTCCACTTTACAGATGACATATTAAGAACTTTGTTCTGCGCCCTGTAAATAAAAGGGCAGCAGATCTCCAGGTATGGAAACCTTGGTCCCTCCACCTAAATAGACTGTGCAGACGCACCCCCTCTCCCCCACCCCACAGCCACATAGGCTATATATATTACGTATTGCATTTTTCTTTTCTGTCACAGGAGTTTTTGATGCAATTGTAAGCATATACTCTATTACAAATACATTTTGTTCAATAAAAAGGGACTGATCAATATTTTAAAAATGTAAAATAATTGAGAAATAAATCCCCTTGTCCAGTTTGACTGCAGTTTGACTCTGGGTTAAGATGGAGATATCAAATTATAACACGAAGAAGTGATTAGGTGATGCTCACCATGTTTTTTTATAGATTGTACAGATAAAAAAAATTGAGGGAAGTGAAGGGTTCTGCATCCTTGAGGTCTTAGGAAAGAAAGGTAGTGTGATGAATTATGATCATCGCCAGTGAGGATGTAAGGAGCAGAAAGAGCACATGCCAACACATTTGAATATTGGAAGAAACCAGATTACTGCACCATTTCTAATTTTAAAGATATTATTGGAAGAATCACAGTATTGACAATTCCAGTGCAAGTAATGCCAAATAAAAGCACATCACTGCTTCATATTAAGTTAACTTCAAAAGCAATTTGGTATCCAGTTTACATGTTTAGAATATTCTGGATAACTCAATCAACTGTTCAATCAAAACGAAATGGGTGGGCACTCTAATTTTACTTGTAAACATCATTAACCCACCAAAAAAGCACACATTACTATAGTTGTATTAGAACATACAAGTAATTCACCTCACATTCATCCATTCATAATTTACAAGTTGTCTAGAACTATACAAATTTAATCTGGATCAATAAAATGGCCAAGTTTTTGGCCATCATAATTACCACATAGGCTATTCACCCAGACTCTTACCAAATACTGTAAGTTTGAAACACACATTTGTTATCTCCCTCCTCGACTATTCCAACAACCTGCTAGCTGGTCTCCCCAGCTCCACCACTCATAAAATCCAATTGATTCATAACTGCGCCGCCTCGCAAGCACGGTTTCAACTGCACCTATGGTCACATTCCCTTTTGTCTCCGGGTTTGTGTCAAGCTCCATCACTGTTAACGGCTCAGAGTTGGTACCCTGTAAGAAGGGCACTATCTAAACACAAACCATTGTTAACTGAATTATAGTATGCAGGATTCACTTTTTCAATTGTTTAATTAAAAGCTTTCGAAGCACACATATGATTCTATTCACATTAAAAAAATGTGAATCAGGTAAGAATGGCAAAAGAACATTCGTATTAGTAACATTATATGATACATTATATATTATTTTAACATTATGTTAACAATGTACTAACTAACATTAGTAACACATTAGCATTTTTATAAGATTCTTTGAAAATAATGCTGCCCCTGAAGTAATTGAGATATCTTGCAATAAGAACTATATCAAATGCAAGGTTTACTATTATAATAGCCTCAATTGTGTTTTTAAAATGGTAGATGTTTTATGGAATGGAGGAATGGAGGATCGATTTCAATACCAGTAAACTGTAAAGTCACCCTTTTATACCTCTTTTTCTTGGCCTCATTCATTCATCCAACAGTAACTACAATAAACCAAATTCAAGCTTCAATATGATGATCATGGTGTTAGCATCATACTGGATGACAACAATGAAACATGGCAGGAGACTCCACATACTGCTGACTAACTGGAGTATCAATCTCTGTCTGAGCACCAATGGAATACAAAATGCAGATTGCCAGATAATTCAACTATGCCTGAATGTACTTATGAATATCAATCATCAAGTTGATTAGAATCGGAGCAGTAAATTCAAGAAAGCAGCTAAAACAGAGAAACATTCTCTGAAATCATAAAATACTCAACATGCTGTGACAATGCCAAAATCTACTCC